ACTTAACAAGCTTGTTGCAGGGGACCTGGTCCGCGGACTACCAAAACTGAAGTTCTCAAATTAAATGACAAAGTCTGTGACGCCTGTGCAAAAGGCAAACAAACAAGATCTTCTTTCAAGGCAAATAAGGGTGTGAGCACTACCAGACCTTTGGAACTTCTCCACATGGATTTGTGTAGACCTGTCAAAATTCAAAGCAGATGAGGTAAAAAATATATTCTTGTGATTATTGATGATTTCTCCAGGTACACCTGGAATATGTTTCTGTGGAAAAATGATGAGACTGTTGGAGTTCTGATTACTTTTGCCAAAGCTATCCAACTAAATGTGTCTTGTTAGATTGTTGATCAAGAAAACTCCCTACGAGTTGTTGAATGGCAGAAAATCCTCAATTGCCCATCTTAAGCCATTTGGGTGCAAATGCTTTGTACTAAATAATGGAAATGATGACTTGGGTCAGTTTGATGCCAGGAGTGATGAATGTGTGTTTGTAGGATACTCTTCTACCAGCAAGGCCTACAGAGTATCTAACAAAAAAAAAAACTCTATGTGTCGAAGAGAGCATTTATGTGACATTCGATGAATCTGAGAAAATTGATGATCAAAGGGAAACCATGAGATGGAAGAGCTGATCTAGGAATGGGAATACAAGGATATCCAAAACCCTGGAAACAAACAGGTTGCAAAGGAAATTGCTGCAGATCTCACATGAGCACCTAGTCCTCTTGATACTACCCAGAAGGTTCCATCTCAAAATCATGAAGATAATGATGCTGAATCTGATGCTGAAATTGAAGAAGAGTTGATCAGAAAGTCCGGATAGAAACATCAATGCAAGAAGAACTCCATCAGTTTGAGAGAAGCAAAGTGTGGCACTTGGTCCCCCAACCTATCAACAGAACAGTTATAGGAACAAGACGGGTCTTCAGAAACAAACTTGATGAGCATGGGATCATTACTAGAAATAAGTCAAGACTTGTGGTACAGGGTTACAACCAAGAAGAGAGAATTGATTATGATGAGACCTTTGATCCTGTAGCCAGAATGGAAGCCATTAGAATCTTGATAGCTTTTGCTGCTCACATGGAATTCAAATTGGTTCAAATAGATCTCAAGAGTTCTTTCTAGAATGGGAACCTGAAGGAAGAAGTATATGTCAAGCAGCCTCTAGGCTTTGAAGATGCAAATCTGCCAAATCATGTGCTGAAATTAGACAAGGCTTTGTATGGGTTAAAACAGGCTTTCAGAGCTTGGTATGAACGCCTGTCAAAGTTTCTTCTCACCAATGGGTTCAAGAGAGGTAAAATTGATAATACCCTGTTCTTAAAATCCAGAGGTAAGGAATTGTTAATTGTGCAGGTAGATGTGGATGATATCATATTTGGAGCCACTTCAGACTCACTTTGCAAAGAGTTTGTTGATTTGATAAGTAGTGAGTTCGAAATGAGCATAATGGGGGAACTCACATTCTTTCTAGGCTTGCAGATCAAATAGTCCTCTCAAGGCACTTCAATATGCCAAGAGAAGTTCATAAAAGAGCTGCTCAAGAAATTCAATTTCCTCGACGCAAAGGTGTTGGATACTCTCATGAGCACAAGTGTGAAGCTTGACTTGTATAAAGGAATCAATGGGTCACTCTTGTATCTCACTGCAAGCGTACCAGACATAGTCTTCAGTGTACGGATGTGTGCAAGGTTTCAAGCTGCACCAAAAGAGTCACATCCAAAAGCTACTAAACGAATACTGAGATACCTGAAAAAGAACTCAGGACCTGGTCCTCTTCCTACTCAACAGGTGACTCACTTGATCTAATTGGTTTTGCAGATGCTGACTATGCAGGCTTTCATGTAGATCGAAAGAGTACATCAGGCATGGCACATTTTCTTGGATCATCACTGATTTCTTGAGGGACAATGTTGAGAAGCAAAATGTGGTGATGAAGTTTTGTAAGACTGAAGACCAGCTGGCTGATATCTTTACAAAGGCATTGAGTAAAGAATGTTTCATTAAAAAAAGGATGAGGTTGGGGATGCACAAGATTACCTGATTCCTTGACAAGTTTGCACAAAAAATCTTTTATTTTGACTATGCTACAGAGGGCAGGTATCTATACTTGTTTCAATGTTGGTCTTAAAAGAATTCACTTTTTGTACCTTAATGCAGATATACACTCATGGTGTGTCAAGCTGAAGGGACGATTTAATCACACTAGGCAGTGTTGCAGATTGAAATGAGGACCTGGTCCTCATAAGGTTAGTATCACTTATACTATACTGTCTAACTGTCAACATCACTGCCACGTGTCCCTTGCCCATTCATCGTGTCAGTTTCAGATGTCTTTTCGCTTTTAAACCAAAGGTTGCTACTGTTGGGGACCCGATGTCTTTTTGGTTTTATATACTACTTCTCTTAGTGAATCAAATTACAAAATCTCATCAAACAATTCTTGTTGAAATTCACTAATCCCCTTTCCAAAGCTTTTCTCTCTTTCTCAAAATGCCTAACTCTAATTCTTCTTCAAAGATCCCTAACTCCCAAGAAGTTGAAAACCTTAGTTCATTCAATTTCTCCTTTTCTACTCCAGAAGGCTGCAAAGAAATCTCCTATGAAAAGGGAGAAAGTTAGAAAACAGGTGGCTGAAAATTAAAACTCATAAATGGACCAGGTTCTAGGGTGCAAAATCAAAGTGAAGAAAAGGAAATGAAAAGGGAGGAGCGGATAACGACAATGGAGAACCAAAAGGTTTTGAATGGCAGAGTCTTTGACCCTGACATCCTAACCAAATTTGGCATGTCAAATATTTTTTATGCTTTCTCCATTCAAGGTTGGAACCATCTCTTTGAACCACTAGTTCTGTATTTGCACGAACATGAGGTGTGTGAATTTTTCTACAAAATGGAACTTCTGGAAAGTGGTAGAATCGCGACTACTGTCAAGAATGTTGAAACATGTCTGGATGAAGAAATATTGGGGATCATTTTAGGGGTTCCTGTGGAAGGAATTCGAACGATCGAAGGTTGTAAACCATCCAGTGACTTCACAAAACTTACCACAAAACGTGGAGATGTCAAGAATGCAGGGTTACCAAAAAGGTTTCTCAAAGGGGAATATCAGTTGCTTTTTGAGTTCATCAACAAGGTGTTAGTGCCCAGAACTGAAAAGAGAACAATGACATTTGCTGCTGATCTTTTTCTCATGGAGAAGCTTGATGAACTTGAAGAGATCAACCTCCCTGCCAATATGCTGGAATGTGAGTGTGTTGAAGAAAAATCTAGGGGCAGATCTCAAGTGGCAGATGTTCTAAAGCAGCAGGCTGCTCTTAAACGGGAAGTGACTGATCTTACTGAGATTCTGAATAACAAGGAGATTGAAATCGCTTCACTGAGATCTGAATTACAGAAGGCGGTTTCGAGGGGACCTGGTACCAACGATGGAAATGAGCAGGTGTTGCAAAAGTTAAGGGATGAAAATGAAAGGCTGCTGAAGACAAATGCCTCACCCAGTGAGGAAGTTAAGGCTCTCAATATGCAACTTATCAAGGCTCATGAGGATGCAAATGAGTGTCTGTCTCTGTTTATGCGCACCCTCAATCCCCTTCCCCTCCGTCCTAAAAGTGTCTTGTTTCCCTAGTTTCCCCCTTTGTTCTTCAATCCTGATTAAAACTTTTGTGGCTTTGTGTTTGTTTTGACTGACTACAATGGTCAGTATTTGTGATCTAACGCTATTTATGTTTCTGCCCTGTTTATGTGTGGCTTAACATTCTCTTTATGCTTACATACACATGTTCTGTGTGGCCCAAGGCCCTGAATTCTTTATTGCCTTGCATTTAACTTGAATATGTTTACTGCTTCACCTTTTCAATGATGTCAAAAGGGGGATTTGTTGTAAAGTTGGTTGTGGAATTGTTGTAAAGAAACCTGTGGTTGTTAGGGGCATTGAACTAAGGGGGAACTGTGGTTGTTACTGGTGCACTAACAAAGGGCGAATTTGTTATGTATTTGAATGAATGTTTGTTCACTCACGTGAGGAGTTATGCAAGTTGTTTGTCATCATCAAAAAGGGGAAAATTGATAAGTTCTTATGTTCCTTGATGTTTTGATGATCTCCTCACAAGTGCAGGGACCTGGTCCTCTGCAGAGTATGAATACTCATCTAGTGGTCAAAGTGCTGTACAGCTGGAAAGTTGTCTGCATCAGAAAGTTGGTGAAGTTGCAGAGTGCTCCACCAATTAGAAGCGATGAGGTTGCTTGTTCATTGGATAATAACTTTTCATGTCTAAATATATCCAAGGAAAAACAACAAACTAATTCATTCATTCAAAAGGTGAGAGCCAACACGAATTCTCAAGAACTTCTAAGAGAAGTTTGCAAGGGACCTGGTCCCTGCAAGACTGCGATGTGAAAGGACGACAAGACAGTTGTCAGAAAAGCTGTCACTTCTGATGTGGTAGGTGCACGTCCTTTCTAGGGAGGCAGACTCTCAGCCAATGGGCGGTCCCAAGGAGTTTGTGTTCATTTTGATATATTATCTCTTTCCAACAAACACAAACTTCAGATTTTGGCAAACAAAAACTTACAAGCTTAGAAGGAAAAAGTCATCTTCAAGGTAGAACAATACTCACACTCAACAAAAGGATCTGATAAAGTGCTGAAACATCTTTGTTGAGTTTGAGTTTTGTGTCTATCATTTTATAGGTCTTTGCATCTTGAAATTTCTCAAGTATACAAGCAAAGACTATCTTATTGTAACTGTGTTGAGGACCTGGTCCCATCTAGACTAGTGGACGCATATATTCCAACAGTATATTTTATGTTACTATTTCCATTGTGCAAAAAAAATGAATGTAAGAAATTCTGCACATTTTTCTTTCAGAAACTAATTGTGTCATGATCATATACAGAAGGAGACTTTGTTCCAATCGTGTATTTTTTCTTTATTTCTCGCATTTACTTGATTCCTTTTTTGTCTAGAATGTTGGATCTGACCCAAAAGAAATAGAGTGGCGTCCAAGCTGGTTACATGAGCAATTATAACAAAGGAGTATACATCTTGTGCTATAGTATTCTGAAACTATAAATAGACAAAGAAATTTTATATTCTACTGACCAAAGAACAGAAGGCTTGATAAGGAATCTTGAACAATGGTGTGGGAGTCATTATCTTCTGCTTTGCCAAAAAAGATACAACAGATTGTTTGTTGTGTGATGATAACAACTAAGCTCACTTGTGCTTCTTCCCACCAGCAAGAATACGTTGAATTTGAAGCCCTCTGCTGAAGGCCTGGTTGAAGAGCAGCCTTGTCTGGAACTCGGAGACAAAAGGGAACCAAGCAAGAACAGCAACCGGTGTGAAGATCACAAGCCCCATTAAATAATCATATCCTCTAGCTAGAGCCTTCACAGATCCCCACATTCCTATGCCCTTCACTACTGGCCTACATGCCTGTGCAATCTGCAGACGACAAAAGTTTACACACAATTATTTGAAGTCTAGGGATAAAATTGAAGATGTGAAAAATATTTACCGAAAGAAGAGCCCATCCAGTTGGCAAGAAGGCCAATAAGCTGGCAAAAATATCTCCAACGGTAAGGCTTAGGAATTTGAACAGCATGACAAATGTGACTATGAAGCCAATGAAAAGGAACAATTTCAGCAGCCTGAACATCAGCTGGAAATCAGCACTGAACTTCTTCCTGCCCAAGGATACAATCTGCAGATAGGAAGTACAGTTTCAGAACACTATGTATGGAAAGACAACCTTCTGCAACCAGAGTTTAAATTAATCTTTTTCTAAATAATGGTATCATGATGAAAAAAGAGGTTCCACCAGTACTAACCTTCAAGACGACCATGACAAACACAATGACCAACCAGGACAAACCATAAACCTGTGATCATATCAAAATGAGGATTAGCATATAAATGGGATGAAAATTACACCTTCCATATATTGTATTGAAGCTGAAAATTCAAGATGTACTAACCATGATACTTTTATCACCATTGGACACATTTAGCTGATAAACAATTCCATACTGGAAAAGTAAGAAGCGCATAGAAAGAAGAACTTCACAGAAACGGCCAATTAGACCAGAGCACTGCAGATGTTCTTGCTCTTCATCCCACCAAGACTCCCAACTCTTGGTTGCCGGAACACCAATGCCTCCATGGTTGCTTATCCACTTGCCCCAATCTTCCCAATCATCAACTATCTTTTGCCACTCAAAGCCTGAAGGATTAAAGAGGAAGGGAGCAAACAACCATGAAACCACAAGGAACCACATTGAGCCACTGAGAAGCAAGAAAGCTACATTATCAGTAACTGCCACACCGAAAATTTGATAAGCTATGAGGCAAATCATAATTTCCAGTGCTTTGGTGAAATGGCTCCTCGAGTACATCCTGTAGTTCTCAGCAAACTTCTCATGTCTCACGACAAAACCACGCCCAGTTGCTCTGTATTTCGCGCCACCATGTAAAATTGTGCGGCCAAAGTAGTGGAGTTTTGTTCCAAGAGAGAAGGTAAAGAAAACAGCAGCCAACTGCAGGTTCATTATGATAATGTCACCTAAAGCAGTCCTGAAGCCTCTTTCGAGCCCAATCTCCATAACCATGGGAAGGGCCATCAATAAACCAAGTTGAACGACAGACTGTGAGGCCATTGCAGCTTTAAGAGCATTGTCACCCTTGGATCTTGCAACTTTGACGATGGACTGTTCCAGTCCACTCAATGCAAGGTAGAGTTTACCATATAAAAATGCATAAACTGTGAGGACTACCAGCTGCAAGGAGTAAATAAAATTGTATCATAGGTATATCTTCCTTTAAATCATCTCGCAAAAGCAAAGTGATTGACGCACATGCTTTATAATTGAATTAATTGGGATACATTGTAATTCTGAAGTAATGAAAGTCCATACCATATGAATTGAAATTTTATATATTAATGTCATCAAATGTTAAACAGGAATTACCATTGAGCTGATATAAAATCCAGTAGTTGTGAAATAACAGGACAGCATACGGAAGAAATCAAATCGATGTCCTAATCTGTATAGATCTCGGCTAAGAGTCTGCTCTCCATTACCACATGCCACTTTTGCCTCAAAGAGAGAGATTTGGTTAAGACCAACATCTCGCCCTTTTCCAACTTGAATGTATTCATGGTGAGTAATATTTCCACGTCGCAATGTTGAATTGAAACCTATAGAGCCAAACGTTATTGAACAATAAAAGTGCTCTGTCTATGCATCAATAGACATATTTCTAAAAGCTACCTGCAAATATGTCCTCACTGAGATTGATACCCCTTGAAGCTTTGCTAATTCCACCACGAGTGATGTGGAAAATTCTGTCAAATACATCTGGATGTCCATAATGGAAGCGGACCCTAAAATCATCAAGGTACAATAGAAAATAAATCTCATGGTCTCGTCCGAAATGAGAATATATCATACATGTAAATCAGTTGGATATAGCAGGTGAACACTAACTGCAAGCAAACCACCAAAAGAGGAAAATGTGTGTTTGTTCAAGAAATGGTCTTGCTCAACTTCACACTAACAATCCAGTATACTAGTTTTTCTACTCTCCATTTCCATTTTGGAGAAGGAGAGCAAGTAACTAACACTATGTTTAGTTCTTAGAAGATTTAAGGCTACGGGGAAATAATGAAACTAACTGGTTATTTGCCCTTTTGCTTTGATATTGGTGATTACTTCCAGTTGGTAGGCCGGAATTTGAGAACGGTCCATCCCACCATAATAGATCTCTCCTACCGCTACCTACGAGTGGACCGGGTCGCTTCCAATGTCAGTAATTGACGATTACACAATTCGAACAATTTCGAATTTACCTCAAATAAACAATGAATAAACCATTACAATTAGGAGGGAAGTAAAACAGATATAATCGCTCTTCCTATCAAGTTTTGGATGGATTGATAAAGCTGACCTGGAATGTTATTCAATTCGTCCATTTTTACTTGACCAATTTATTACTACTTCTTTACCAAATAAGGGAAATGACTTGTACCCCTCCACTTCTCCTTCTACTCCTCCAACCCCTTCCCCCTCTTTTGATCCAACCACAGATAGATGAATAATGCAGGAAAAATAAAATAAAAGTTTAATAGCGCAGCGCTGCAATTGTTTTGCCAAAAAATGATTGATATGGAAATACAGGACTGTCTGTTCAGTAGTTTTATGCATTAAGGAAGAGAATAACATACCTTAAAGGCCTTGCAAGAACTCTCTGACCAATGGTGACAAAACTTGTCTCTTGATTAGACATAAACCAAGCTAATGAAGACACACTGTAATTGAAAGATGTGAGGCCTTATCAGATATGTCAAAAACCTGGATTAGATGAAACTAGGCAGGCTGAAAGAGAAATTATTAGGCAACCTTCCAGTGAAGATATGCTCACGAACACCCAATATTGTAGGTGGACGCACTCCGTGATCTTCATTAAATTCCTCAAGAAGGTTACGCATTTTTAAAGCTTCTTCCAAGTAATTGTCCTGCAAGAGAAAACATTAAGTTATTATTTTCTGATTACCTATCTTTATTTATTTGAACTCTGTCTCTTTTCACCTGATTCATGTCAATGGTTTGAAGAGCTTCCCCACGAGAGAAGATAATGGCATGATTCTGATTTTCAGGCTTTCCTTCTCCTATCTTTGCTGCACCAGGCAACTTTATTCGGTATATTTCCTTCAAACGTAGATCATAGAAGAAATAAGGACTTGTAGCGCAAAGAATCAATTACAGTCAATATTTAATATAAAAGAACTGTGATAACCTGATCAAGATTATCAACTGCTTTCACCAACACTGAATAATAAACCTTCTGAGTTTTTCCACCTTCCCGTTCTTCAACTTCATCAATATATGCTACACGGAGAGAGGGGTTGCTGCACGGAAAAAGGAGAAAGAATGTTTCAGCAGAATTCTAAATACAGTCGAGTATGGGAGAATACAACTTCTTTTGGTTTTTCCTTGTTTCTTTGGAGAAACAGAAACTTACTTGACCATCAAATTCAGAATATCAGTTGCATGCCGATCTCCATTTCGCTTTTGAATTCCATAATTCTGGCAGGTGGCGACATAGGTGAATTTCATATCAGCCACAGCTTCTAATTGAGCATACAACGATCTTTGGCTTTTCTTATCCTCCTCGGATGGTACTGTAACAGCTTTGTATCCTTCGAGAATCGCTGTGTACAAATAGTCACAATGTAGTGCTTTACCAGAAAGGAATTCAACACTTGATACCCTACTTTATGCACCATAGCTGACGTATTGGTAAAGCAAACTAAGCAGCTAAAAATTGTCGTTAGTTTAACAATGTATGTGTTCTCTTCATGTTTCTCAATATAACTCGCTATAATCTTAAACATAACAGATTAGAGTGTTAGTATAAAAAATAGTTTTCTTTCCATTCATCATTGATAGCTCCCATTACCATGCAACAGATCCAACCACCATAAAAAGTTCTGGTATGACAAATTAAGTGATACTCCTGTAAACTAGTATAGAATTCAGCTCTCACACCACACCTGTATCATGATCAGAAGGAAAATACATGTACATAACACTTATGTGGGTCCTTTTGTTGGTTCATATGGCTACTTGTAGGCCATAGCATGCCTGAATAAACTTCAGCTGCCAATTATGTCAAGCACATATCATATGCAAGGGAAAATACTCAGAGCAGATAGAAATTATTTCTTACTAAAGAAAGCTCAGCAGATGTCACTCATTATTCTTTTTATTACAAGAACTGTCAAGGTTCTTAGCCCAAAGATAAAATCTCTGAACAGGAAAATGGCATTAAAAATATTATGGTTTACCTCCTTCTGAAGCCATGTCAAGAAATGCTTGAAGCTTCAAAGCCCTTCTGTAGTACATCATTCCTCTTACTGAAAAGAATAAACAGTAACGATGAATAGTCTATAGGAAACTGTTATGTCCAAAAGTATATTATAAGAAAAAAGTATTTTAAGGTGCCTGTTCTGCAGAGAGTCTGTCCCCTTAATGAGGCCCAATGACGTAGCTGCAAGATGTTTTCTTCATTTTCCCAGACCTCTGGCTCCTTTTTACATCCAAGACGTTCCATGAAGTTCATCCATTCATCTAGAAGGATATAAAGTGGTGTCAATAAAATAGGGAGAGGAACATCACACTGAACGGAAGTTCATTTTCAAGTAGTTGATAATAGAATGAAACCTGGATAAATCTTTTGGAGATAGTAAATGATTGATATGCCGTCTTCATTTTCCATCTCAAGATCACCTTTTGAGTAGACAGTTTCCTCACTGTAGTATGGGGTCATGACACTGCATATGAAAAATTATTATTGCACAACTGAATTTGGGATAATAGTACAATGGATCCATGTGACAAATGAGATAGTTTGAAAATTAATAATAAACAAAAGCATTGGTATTTCTGCCGCTATTTACATATTAATAGTGTGTTCTCATGACTTTAATAATGCAATGTTACTTATTAACTTCATATAATTGATTGTTGACTGACTATAAATCTTATGCTCACTCCAATATTAGCTGCATGCCATAGGTAAGTCATATTTTCAAAGGAGAAAGCTCAAACGCATCAGATAATTCATCTATAAACTTGAGGATGTATGCTGTCGTGAATTATGAGAAGCACCTGAATGAAAGCATTTTGCGCACTCGAGGTGCACGTGGCATTTCCATGAACAATGAATTTGTGAAAAAGGAAACCCTTCTCCGTGCTTCGAGGTTAGTTGGAACTTCAACTGCTGATTCTTTCACAGTCAAGAGAAGATAAAGACGCCGAAGCTGAGAAATAAATCAACATGATGATTGTTTTTCTGTTTATCGATTAATTGAAGATAAATCGTATGATCATATAGATATTAAAAGACCTGTTCTTCCCACTGTGCTGTTACTGGAGGAGGGAATGCAATAGCTGTTCTTGAGTCAGTATTAGCAAAGAGCTGTTTCCCAGAATCCCTTCCACTATGACCAAGTTCTACAAGTTCCCTGAAATAATTATACATGACCAGAACAAATATAAAATTGAATATTTTAAATAACATCAATGCTATGCATTTATTATCTGAAAAGCTCATCCAAAAATGGCACAGAATTCACTAACCCGATTTCATTGACCATCATGTCACGGGTCACTATTTCTAACATATCCTGCAGTGCTATGACAACGTTGTTCCTTTTAGATGGATCGCCATCTCTCTGCAACAAGAAAGAAAGTGAAATATCTGACATATGAAGTTCCACTGCTACAGACATCAGCTAGTGCACTTACCAGTATCTCAAGTAGGTCTACAAATTTCTTGCAAAGGTTTTGCAAAGGTCCTGTTCTGAAACTCGAAAGGAACGTGTTCTTTGAAATGCTGTTTTCAACTTCTTTTATGATGATTCCTATGATCCTAGACACACAAATTAGACAGGATCAAGAACATATGCATGTAATGAAGAAGTATGAAGTGTTACTTGATGCAGCAATTGGAAGGACCACATTAAACAGCTGAAATGGTGCATGAAGGTTGCAACTACTGTAGGTATGTTGAATCACCACTTTATACAAGGTCGCTGATATGAGCTTCCACAGAGGTAACAAAACAATGGTTCAACAGCAAAAATTAAATTGAAGAACAGGTAGAGGAGAAGTGAAGATTAGAGAGAATGCAACTTATTTTTCAAAAGACAAAGAACACAGGTTAAATCAGACAGTTTAATGGATAAAAAGAAAACTCAAAAAATGACAAGAATTAGAAATCTGATTACCCAATTTAAGGACTTAAACGAAGCAAAAAATGTAATAAAAAGACCATTCTTATGAAACCAAAACACCAGTGATATAAACCTAAGGTGATTCAACAAACAATATCACTTTATCTGAAAACCAAGCATTACGGCGTACTACAGCTAGAAGAAGTGCTGCCTGTCTAAATGAACAAAAAAGGGGGTAGCGGAGGGGAAAGAAAAAAGTTCCAAATCATCCTGATGGGTATTCAAGAATATATTTGAATTCAGATGCACGTGTTCATGAAGTTGAATGATGATGAAGTTAATATAATGATTCATAGATCTATGAATCAGCTGAATAAGCAACCTTTTCTCAGTTTCTCCAACAACCAGGGCATTAAGAACAAGTTTAAAAGACTCATAGCATTCAATAACGGCACACTTCATGTATTCATCAGCACATATGCGCTTCCAAAGGTCAGCATCTTTGGAACGAAATTGTAAAGCCATGTCCAATGCAATTGGAATCTGCAAACGGAAGACAATCAATCAGTGTAGAAGAAGAAATTAAAACAGTGGTGCATCAGCTGACAGTCTTTACCTTGCTAGCAAGTAAAAAGGGTGGCCATTGAATAACTTTCAGACTTGGATCCGAGGAATAAGGAACAAGTAATAGGTCCATCTCTCTGAAATAATGTGCACACAGTTCAATTCTTTATGTCAGATGAACCAACTAGAAAGCAAAAAGATAAGTTAAGGGACTATTCCTGTCACTTATAAGATCCTCTTCGCGAAAACTGCATATAAATTCATTCCATAACTGAGCGAACTTTGCAGCTTCACTTCTCTTGCTGGGCGAAACCTAGACATCCAAAAATAATATGTTTTATACGATTTTCACTTTTATAAGTCTTTGGCAATCTATTTCTCTTCATGGCCTGAAGAATGAAAAGCATATACACGACGGAATAGGTGAGGACAAAATAAACCTCATTAGAACTCTTGGAGAGTGAAAATCTTTTTTTGTCAGCTTTATCATTAGGCACCAAGTAAGTGTTGAATGCACCAGGCAGAGACTGAAATCTTGACCTTAACATTCCTAAAGTTCTTATCTGTTTGAGAAGCAACAAAAAGCGCAGATCCATATGTTAATAAAGATTGACAAACTCAACAAATTAACAATAAAAATTTAATAAGATGAAAGCATAGTTTTCAGGAAAGCATAATTTAATTACTTCCAACCTAAAATATCTCAATCAACTCTGATCTTAGATGTAGCAGATTCCAGTAGTGACTAATTTAGTGATGGAACCACAGCTATGCTACCAGAAAAGGAACTACCACTTATAAAAAATTTATACATGGATAATTAGTTACAACAATAATAATAGTAATGCAGCTCACTGACTTTCTAACCAATCTTTATCACTGTCCACAAACATTAAAGTTTGGTCTAAATTTTGCTTCTGTGATTAAAAGAGGACACACTTCAGATATCCATCTGCAATCTACTTATGATCGCTGCTCCTAATACTCTACAACATCCTTCTTTAAATTGGAATTTTTCCAGATCAAAAAGAAACACATTGAAGAAATAAAGTTAACTAACAACACAAAGGTTGTCTCACTTTCAACTATGCTCATTTCTGTCTCCAGCTTACCTGATGTTGGATTGAAATCAGGAAATTATAATTATTGTACAAACACCGATTTCCATTTTTTAATATTTTCCAAGGACCATCACTACTATTGTAATGATGCTCTACCCCAGACGTCATAACGAGCAGCAATAATCAAGTTCTCTCTAAACTAAATTTCAGTAAGATCTATTGACAAGTGATAAGACATCAACCATATATATTGACGGCAAAGTAAATGACAATCAAGATGCATTCTGAAAGTCCTTACCTCACCCAGACGATCAAAGGCACCTATAACACCACCACACAAAGTTGAGAAAATAGCATACCATATTTGAGCATCCATAAAGTAAACCTGTATAAATTTGGAATACAATATTTACAGGTAAAAGATAACCATGAAACATCTACAAATGAAAACAAAGACAAGACATACCATGACAACTGGTGCCCACAGGGCAAGCACAGCCCCATAGTTGCTCCTAGCTGCACAGATAGGATAGATTCATTAGCATCAATTCGCAGATAGAGAATCTGAAAAAAGAGAGCAAAATTTGGAATATATACCATCGGGGAAAAACTCATGCCAAGCATACTGAACGTGATTGATGTCCATTATCATTTTCGTGGGTTTTATAAGAGGTTTTATCTGAAAACACAAATATACCATGATTAGAAGATAAATATAACTACCACGTCTCATTCCAAAGTAGAGCAATGGTATGTACATCCAATTACCTGAATAAAGTAGCTGAATGCAAATTTTGCACAAAGAAGTAGCACCCAGAAGAGAGTATACCTGATACAAAAAGCGGAGCATGCGATAGAGCAAGCGTCGAACACAAATAAGAGAAAGTTGGAAGTAAAAGACTTGTAAACGTACTTTATAAGTGCAAATTGACTTTCATGCATTCCCCTCCCAACATATATTCTTGGCTGCAGAAAAACAAGTAGGCCCAGACAGTTAATAATGTTTGTTATAGAAAATAAAATATTGGCATATCAATACAAAGTAGACAGATGAATGGACAATATGAGCTGTTGTCTTATGGAAACAGATAAATGGATGAACTCTATCCTATTTTTGCAAATGCTAAACCATATGATCAGAGTACACAAGCTTAGTTCACCTAAAATTCGAAAACTTATGAAGTTTCGCATAGATTCATCTTGATATCTAAACTATTTTACCTCTGTTCTTTTCCCAGGATTTTTGTTCTTTCAGCCATCGTTTTTTAAAAGCATGGGATACGTTAGTGTAAATCTTAAAATACTGTGCATTATTTCATATGTAGAAGATCTTCACAATTCGTAAAGGGACTCAAAACCCAAAAGTCTGATGTATTATCGGTGGTTATAACCCAAAAAAAAAAAAAAAACACAATTAAGTCCAGATTTGGTGAAAGAAGAAGCAGAAGCATAGAATATCAATAAAATATTTGCTTTCAGCTCAAGAGATTGATTAACTGGAGATAGCACGTAAGCCTTCTAGACTAACAACAATGGAAAATAAAATGTTCGTAAGAAACTAAGCGAATGCGTTTTCGTGGATCAGAAGGCATATTGTTATTACCTGTGACCACCACAGAAGGAACCTTACAACAAGCCAATCCGAGTTCTCAATCCATCGACGGAGCATTGGGAAGATAAACAAAGCTGTAGTAAGTAAATTGGGTAGTAGATACACAGCCACGGCCATTAGGTACATAGGAGGAATGCCCTTCATCTTGTCTAGAAATGTCAGGGAACTTCGGATCTTCGTAAGTATCTCTGAGTTGCTTTCTTGGAGATAAAATAATGGGAGGATGACACACCATGCAAGACTGACAACTACCTTCAGAACATTCCTCAGTACATCTGTGAACTTCCATCTATGATAACCCGGAAAGTTAAGAAAAAGGTCCAGGATACCTAATGTAAAAATAAGGGATGGTTATTTTTCTACTAAGCTGCTACTAATTAATATGTAAAATGGGAATAATAAGAGTAGAAAATCTTACGAGATATTAATACATCAAAGAAATTCATAGATTTACGTACTTTGGAGGAAGCGAAGCATAGCTGCCGTTATGAAAATACTGGACAGGTTGTATAAAGAATCCTTCTTAAATATATCCAACACAGGAATCCCACTCCATGCAAATATGACCATGGCCTGAAAAAGTAAATTCCAAAAATGGCCCAAAACGGAACAAGTAAGCTATAAGGAGCAAAGAAACAATAGTATATAGTAATATTCACAGTTCGAAATTTCCACCTGCAAAGACAGGAGAAAAAAGGTCCAAAGACGGTCATAGCTTCGGAAGATATGCCAAAATGACCGTGTCTCAACAAAGTATGATTTTCCCATTTTTCCAGGCTTTTTATTAGCAACTCCTTTTCCCTGTAATAGCAGTCATTAGGTAAACAACTCTTCTGCTGATAGAAGCAGAAGCTTTCGATGAAAGTACAAGTCATACTTGTGTGGTGTCACGTGTTGATTTAAAGAAGTCACCATCATCGCGCATTGGCCAACCTAAAGAAAAGCAATCTTGCGACCTGTCAACGTATGTCAAATTCAAAGATTACATATGAAACCATTTGTCATGTTGTTATTTCTCTTATCACAGCACTGAAGTTATTGTTCTAATTAAACAAGTACCAGAAATATTCATTCAGATCATCATAATTGCACCAATTTGAGTACGGTGCTTTTCCATTTTTGCTTTTTTTGGCTTCCTGGAAGAGCAAATCATCGTTACAAACATTCATAAAAAGGAAAATTGAAGTGGAAGAAAATGCAGATATATGAGACATATTACCTTATCAATCACACGGTAAATGGGAGTAATGACCTTTCGCAGGAATGATTCGTCATCCCCACCATAAGAAGGCTTGATATTTTCTCCAGTGACAATGCTCACATTTCCTGCTAAGAGGCCATGGAGTTCATATGCCATCTGCATCAACAATGTAGAAGTTACTTTCGCATTGAAGGAAGGATTCCTCAGCAAATCTGTGTTATTGGAGGAGTACAATTTTGACATCTATAGACTAGAAGTGGTGATATAAAAGAAGATTAATGAACCACTCACATTATGGAAGATGTAACATAGACACTCTGGCATGAAGCGGAGATTAGCTGCTTCACCCCATATTAGAAGGTAAAGGCCCATGTAAAGTATCTTTCTTTGTTGTGCTTCTTGTTGGGCTTGAGGGAGCCTAAATGCAATAAGTTTGTTGCGTGAAAATGTTACTCAATATTTATGGTTTATACACTTCTAAAAGCCAAAAGAGCAAAAGCATAATGTCCGCTTGAAAGAAAGTCTATGTATTGCCAATATCTTACCGCAAACTGTGTTTTTTTCCCAAGTACTTACACCATGTTTTGTAGTTTTTGAACAACTTGTTCATTAGAGCATCCACAGCTCGATCGTCAAGCTACATTGGAAACAATGGTTTATAAGAACAGATTTTGATTTTGTCACTGTCTTGTATAGCCTTGCTTTCTTGCTATTAATACATCCAGACAAATAAAAAAATGCATTTACTCAAGATTCTGGAGTAATCAATTCAGAAGAGATTGATAAGAAAATTAAGTAATACAAAGCATGCGGTTGAGGACTAAACTAGAAGGTCTATTTTAAACCAAGGTAAAATGAATAAGAAAGCCTAGGAGCATCAGATATTAGATATTGAGTATAATGGGGAATAGAGAACACATAGCCTAGCTATATGTGATACATGCCTTGTTAAGTGGCTCAGCCTTGGGGATTAGCCTTATATGAATATTCGCAAGGAGCAAACTCAGATTCTCCCGCTGGTTTCTTACGTTGTCCCTCTGCAGAGAGCACACAGAGGTTAACAAATTCTCATTCTGACCAAAGACCTGAGTAGAGTTCAAGCAATTATAATCTCATTCTTTGAAGTAGGAACTGTTACCTGAAACCCAAACATTGCCCTTAACCAATCCAGCACATCCAGTTCCCCTGTTTTCTGCCTCTGCTGTTCAAATGAAGCTGGCCAATTCAACCCACGTGTATTTGAGAGAGCAGAAACGGCTGCTTTAACCTGGTGAGGAGTTTCAAAGGAAAAGCTAAAGATCTTGACATAATGACATACTATTTCAAACTACATGTGCCTATATTTCCGTATGTATGAGTTTATGTAGTACCTCCTCAAGTTGCATAATGGACTGAGATGCTCCAGCCGAATCCAGGGGAAGAATATTATAGGGGGCATATATTTCCTTTTTGGCCTGAACATCATTTGCTGCAGCAATGATCTGTTCAATAATTCATGCCATTAAGTTCTTGCATAGAATCCTCCAGTGAATGCTAGAAAAATTGAGGACATTTAAGTGGAAGATTCGTAATTGTGAACCTAAGTTTTAATATAAGTACTGACCTCAGGAGCAACTTCTTCAACTTTTTCAGACTTATTAACGGCACAAAGAACTTCAAAAAGCACCCCAGCAGTCTGATATGCTTTACCGAGCTGAGCTCTGTTTTCAAAAGATTCAAAAACCTTGCACCAATTAGTACCAAACCACGGTAACGAATTTATAAAGAGGATATTTATGATACCACGAGAGTTACAGTTACCTGTCTGCTTGTTCTCCCTTGTTAAGAGACACGACATACTGCTCATAGTATTGCTTGTAAAAGCTCTCAATTTCCCGTGCATCAGTCTTTTTCACACGAGAAGCAAGACTCGACGCATTGTCCTGAATGAAAGCAATTCGTTTAGCTAACCCCTATATTTAACGATCGGGCACAAAGGAACTTTGTTGGGAATATTGAGGATCTCCTAAGCAATTGACTCAACCGTACTCTACCGGAAATTGATGGTTATAAAACACCCGAGAAATTCTGGAAAAATAATACCACAATGCTTTGAATCTGAAAAAATATGCTTTGTTGCATACTTTAACTGACAAATTCCATTGAAAATTATCTGTACTAAGTAAAAATTTCCCCATCAAACTGAGGAAGTTATTAAAAACTGAACTGAACCGGTTTAATCTCTCTCTTTCCCAATAATAGTGAAGTAATCCTATTAGATTTCCCAATGTCTAACGCTTGATTTACCCCCTCGAGTTTAAATAATTCTAATTTAAAAACAAATACAAGTAATAAGGGGAAAACAATATATAAAGAGAAAAATAAAAAAATCAAATCAAATCATACGTACACGCTCTAAACGTTGGAAGAGATTGGTTTTGAATTGCCGAACACCACGTCCACCTGAGGTGGGGTCCAATCTATGCGCCTTCTCAAACGCATAGAACCGACCTGTAACAACGACACCAAACAGGAAAAAGAGGGGAAAATAAGAAATTGCAGAGATGAATGTGTATGTAGAGGTTGAATGTAATGGTAGGAGGAGACAAAGACATACAAAGATAAGCAACGCGAGGGCGTTCATTTTGGATCTCTCTGGCGACGCGAAGGATTGGTGCAATGGACTGGAGAGAAGAGGGAACAACCTCGTTGTCAAACACCTCCATAGAGAAGGTAGTGGTGGCGGCACTTCGTGACGGTCGCCGAGTCAGTGACGAGGGCCCTGCGCCCCCGACCGGTGTTTGGGGGGGGTCCATTCCCTCCGCCGGTCTCGCCGGATTCGTCATCCTATTTTTTGTCCTCTCCTAATCAGTGCTGTCGGTAGCTTAGCTAACTAAATGTAGCTCTGGCTTCGACACCACCGCTCTCTTCCAGCTCCTCCAGCTCCTTTCCGTTTCTCCCTCTCTTCCGTTCAATTTCTGTTCAAAAATATCTCCAATTATACATCCATAAGGGCCATAATCATCATCAGAATATACTTCACGATCAAACACGCACCATATAAATCCACATACATACATAATTATCATACATTCACAATCACCATTAAACACATAACACAGGTTATGCAGATGCATACACATGTAGATTCAAGTATTACTAGTCTTAACATTTACAATTGAACCTGTATAATGAAGATCTTCTCTGGTATATAATGCTACATCTATCTATATCATGCTAATCAAACATATGCATAAACCTTCTCCTAAATCCATAATCAAAATCACTCGAATAAACATGCTAGTTCGTTCCTCTCCAGAAAGTAACATACATATACATCCAAATTCATAATTACACACATGCACACTCACTCTACCACACATTCATTATATACATTATCATGTACAAAAACTCATGCATACATTCATACAATTCCAAAAGACTAGAAAACTTACAGCCTAGCATCTTAATTAACCGATTTAAACTTCATCTTTTGTGTACGTATAGTTCTACAGCTATACACATAAATCGTCAAACAGGCTCGTTTCCAATTGACATACATATTACTATACAAGCCAAAACGGATCAATTAATTCACTCCACAATCTGAAAGCTTCTACATAAACTACAGCTATACACATAAACCTTCTCATAAATCCAAAATCATAATCAAACAAGCTCACATTTCGGAAATTAACACATCTATATACACGAATCAATTACGTAATTGATACAATATGAAAAAGTGAAAGCTAAGTACGTACTTACGGTTGAAACTTGACAATGATGAAGAAGAGAATGAGCTTGTGCTGCCTGAAAATAACCAGCAAGTAGGCAGGGAGGAGGAAAAAAAACAAACCGATCAATTAAACTACAAGAGAAATGAAACTAGTTTTAGCTGAGAGAAGAGAAAAAATGATTGTTATGAAAAATGTAATGTAAAGGAAAACGTACCAAGCGGAGACCCAAAAAAGAAGAAAGAGAGAGGAGAAGTGAACGGATAGTGGGAGAGGAGGGAATGGAGGGAAGGATTTAAAACGGAGGGAGAAAGACAGTTGATAGGTTCAGAGCCAACGGACACGTGGAAGGTAGACCGTCATTTACGCTAATTCTGTTACAATTCTCAAACCGGTGGTCCCCATAATTTTCACCTCTCTTTCTTATTCTTCTTGTTGCATGGTTCACCAAATTCTAAAATCCGATAATACATCATATTTATACATAAATATTCCAAAATATTTTTATTATATTTATACGTTAAAGATCAAGTGAAACCAAAGCTTATACATTAAGAATCATTTAAATAATTATTAATAGAAGTACATAAGGGAAGTTCAATGTTTAATCTTTTTGGAAACGGTCTATCCACCTACATGCATGATGTATTAATAAAGTTTGCATACATTTTACTTTTTTCAGGTCCCTTTTAGTACGATTTCACTGACTATGTTGTTTGATAAGTCTAATTGTTTCTAGAATGTTTTGATGATCCTCACAAATGTAGGGACCCGGTCCTTTGCAGAGTGTTCTCGTCCAAGGCAATGTGCTATACAACTGGAAAACTGTCTTGTCAGAGGTTGGTGAGGTCGTCAACGTACTACACCAATTAGAATGGACGAGGTTGTTTGTCCAACGGTTAATAATTCTTTATGCTTGATATATTCAACAAGACAAATAACACATCACTCATTCATTCAAAGAAAGAAAATTCAAGCTTCGAAAAACAGCAAGGGACCTCATTGACTGAAGATTGCTTCATGAACATGTTGTTATTTTGATTGCTTGTATTTGTGCTTACATTGTAGGATTCGTTTCACTTGTGTTAGAAACGTATCAAAACCTTGTGTGAATCACGGTAAGAACATAGTTGAGTGCAACTTTGTGTCTTACGTTAAAAGTCTATATTAATCAGCGAGGGTTAGTATAGTGGGCAATGCAGGCATTGTTTTGGCTCATTAAGTAATAGGTTGTATTACTTAGAATAGAGATTAGGAGGTTAATCTTTTGTGTGGTTGTAAACTGTGTTTTACTTTTGCTTGAGAAGATTAGTAAAAATAGTTTGGAAATCTTGTGAGACAGGTCGTGGTTTTACTCCCTTGAGCAAGGAGGTTTCCACGTAAAGTTGCGTGTGCTATCTTTACTTTCAGCATTTTCTTTTGTGTATCATAACTGTGCTAAGGACCTGGTCCTATCGTAGTTAGTGGACGCATACACTCCAACATTGTTGTTGAGGTATGTTCAATAGTTACTACTTTTATTTAGGTCTTATTTGTTTTTATCAAGATTAAGATGTTTGAATCCTATTATTAAGATTAAGATATTTGAATTGAAATATTAAAATGTGTGTTAGGACTTAATGCAGTAATAAATTAAGATGGTTGTTTACTTGTTTTTATTATTTGATGGTATATAATCTATTTTTATTTATGAACTTTATATAAATCACTAATATTAACATAATAATTATTTTCAATAAATATGATGGTGGGTGGTTGCTGTGATGATGGCTAACGGTGATGGAGTTGGTTGATGGTGATTGTTGAGGGTGGTAGCTAGTAGTTATGGTGGCGATTATGATGGCTAGTGTTGATGGATGATGGTGGTAATCAAGTCTGATAACTAGTAATTGTGGTAGATGATAGTAATAACTAAAGTTGATAGTAACTTCATGTCAATATGCAAAAATGTTTCGGCTTATTCAATAACAGATTGTTGCACATCTTGGGATGCCTATAGGAGAATTACCTATTAGATACCTAGGTGTTCCTCTTAGCACCAAAAAGTTATCTATTATGCGATGTTAGACCCTATTGGACAAAATGCTAGTCAAAGTGACCTCCTCACATCAAAGTTTATTTCTTATGTTGGCCGGTTGCAACTTTTAAAATCAATATTATTCTTAATTTAGATTTATTGGTCGAGTTTATTTTGTTATCCGGAAAAATCATTAAGCTGATAGAAATTGTATGTCAGAATTTCTTGAGGATGGGTGGAGTAGACATATCCATAAAGGCACTCATTGCTTGGGAGAAATTGTGTTTACCAAAAACCGCATGGGGGTTACACTTGTTGAACGTGGCAATCTGAAATAAAGCAGCATTTTATAAACTTCTTTGGAACCTATGTAGAAAAAAAAAAGTGTTTTGGATACAATGGTTCATATATACTATGGAAAAAGTGAACCACTAAGGAGTGCAAGGACAAAGCAAGCATGCTGGATAGTTCAAAAGCTATTAAAGACACAAAAATACATTGAGGAGGTAAATATGATTGAAATTGATTTGCTATAGATACGTACACACATTCTCAATCAAAGTGATGTACCAGAAGTTGATATGTTTCCACCCTAGTGTGCCATGGAGGAGAATAATGTGCAACAATTCAGGCTTACCAAAGTGGTTATTCATCTAATTATACGTGACTATTCATGGTAGACTATATACTAAAGATAGGATGTTAAAATAGGGAATGCAGGTCTGCCATCTATGTCCTCTCTGTGATATCAAATCAGAAAATATAGAACACTTGTTTTTTGAGTGCTCTGTAGCTTCTTACGTGTGGAGAAGAGTATTGCATTAGCAAGGAATCTGTCGACAAGCTATGAATTGAACTAGAGAAATACAGTGATATGAAACTATGCGCAAAGGCAATGACAATATTGCTATTTTTTTCATAATGGTATTTGCGGCATATGTCTATAAATTGTGCATGAATGGAAAGAAATCATAGAATTTTTCAAAATACATATCGTCGCAAGGATAGGATTATGTTTGAGCAAGCATGCATGGAGAGATAACTCGATTTTTAAATCAGCTAAATTACTATCCAGTCCAACAAATTGCATTTAGGATATAGGGAAATATTACATAGTGATTTACTAGGCCTGTCCACAGAGTTGGAGTAAACCTGTTGTACTTTAGTAATAAAATGTGTTTAATTACAAAAAATAACTTATATGATTAGCGATATGTAAGTTGTAACTGTGGTCAATATATCACAGTGGTTGAGAATGGTAATTGATGGTACATAATATTTGATGATAGTATGGTAATAATAATTACGGTGTGTCAAAGTTAAATTATTTCTAATTATAGTAAGTTTACATTATTTTAGGATAAATCATATACACCATTCGTGTACTTTTACTTGTCACTTGTCCCTAAAATAAATTTTCATTTTTACTTTTCACTTTTGACATATAAAGAAAAGACAATAATTATTTTTCATGTTTCACCCTCAACATTAAATACTTATTTTTCAAATTATTTTCTAAGACAGGGAGATAGTTTAGTAAAATACATATATCAATAATTATTTTCTTAATGAATATATCAAGTCAAACTATGACAAGTAAAAGTGAACCGAAAGAGTAAAATGGGACAGGGTTAGTAATTACAAATGTTCTTTTGGTACTCAAGAAATTAATTTTTGAAACTATTACTTCCCTAAAGCTAATAGTATGTCATTTTCCCATTTGCAACTCAGACGCAGTTAAGCTAATAGCTGCTGGTAGGAGAGATGACAAAGGCTATACACGTGAAAAATTGCGCGACAAATCCATCAATTTCCAATTCAATCATCTCCATAGCTCGGCAATTTTTCTCTACAACATGTGCAGTATCAGGCTTAGAATCAGAACCAGAAGGAGTACGCAAACTATTTGGTTCACCTATTGGTGTTTTACAAGATAAAGATCTTCTCAAGAAGGCTCCAAATGGGGAGCTTTTAGTACTATATCTTATTGACAGTGGGGCAATGGATGCAGATGCTAGTTTATACAACCAGCTTCTGAAGAAATGTACAGAATGGAAACGGCTGAAAGAAGGCAGAGTGGTTCATGAACACTTCTTGAGTTCGAGGTTTAGTCATTATACTGTTCCGAATAACACGTTGATTAATATGTATGCGAAGTGTGAGAGTATGGGTGATGCTCGCAAGGTGTTTGATGAAATGCCTGAAAGAGATATGGTTTCTTGGACTGCGTTGATTACTGGGTATTCGCAGAATGAGGATGCTAAGGAGGGGTTGGTTTTGTTTACTGAGATGTTGAGGTTTGGGTTTATGCCGAATCAGTTTACGTTTGGGAGTGTTCTTAAGGCTGCTGGAGCGTTGGAGAGTGGCGGTACGGGTAGGCAATTACATGGGGGATGTGTGAAGTGTGGATATGAAGAGAATGTTTATGTTGGGAGTGCTCTTGTGGATATGTATGCAAGGTGTGGACTAATGGATGAAGGGAAGATTGTGTTTGACAAGTTAAGTTGCAAGAATGAGGTTTCGTGGAATGGTTTGATTGCTGGGCATGCGAGGAAAGGTGAAGGAGAAATTGCTCTGATACTTTTCTGTGAGATGAAAAGAGGCGGTTTTCAGCCGACCCACTTTACATTTTCTAGTGTTTATGCAGCCTGTGCAAACATTGGAGCTCTAGAGCCCGGGAAATGGGTGCATGTTCATATGATCAAATCAGGTTTGGAACTTATTGCTTTTATTGGTAATACTCTGCTTGATATGTATGCTAAGTCTGGTAGCATTGATGATGCCCGAAAGGTTTTTGATCGGTTAGTGAAAAAGGATGTGGTCTCTTGGAACTCGATGCTTACCGCCTATGCTCAGCATGGACTTGGAAAAGAAACCGTAGAGTGCTTTGAGGAAATGCGTAGGATAGGACCTGAACCTAATGAAGTGACTTTTCTTTGTGCTCTTACAGCTTGCAGTCATGCTGGGCTTCTAGACAATGGAATGCATTATTTTGAATTGATGAAGAAATTTAAAATAGAACCTAATATTTCACATTATGTGACCATTGTTGATCTACTTGGTCGATCAGGTCAACTTGACCGTGCTGAAAAGTTCATTAATGAAATGCTAATTGAACCAAATGCAGCCGTTTGGAAAGCTTTGCTTGGAGCTTGTAGGATGCATAAAAATTTAGAGTTGGGTGTTTATGCAGCTGAACGTGTGTTTGAACTTGATCCACATGATTCAGGGCCACATATTTTGCTTTCCAACATCTATGCCTCTGCTGGTAGGAGAAGTGATGCTGCAAGAGTTAGAAAAATGATGAACCAGAGTGGAGTTAAGAAAGAACCTGCTTGTAGTTGGGTGGAGATTGAGAATGCTGTTCATATGTTTGTAGCAAATGATGATGCCCATCCACAGAGAGAGGAGATCCGTAACATGTGGGAGAAGATAACTGATAAAATTAAGGAAATTGGCTATGTTCCAGACACTAGCCACGTGCTTTGGTTTATGGATCAGCAGGAGAGGGAAGAGAGGTTGCAATACCATAGTGAACGACTTGCTTTAGCATTTGCACTTCTCAATTCTCCACCTGGGTCCCCTATCCGCATAAAGAAGAATATCAGAGTTTGTGGTGATTGCCATACTGCATTTAAGTTTGTTTCAAAGGTGGTAGACAGGGAAATCATCTTGAGAGACACTAATCGGTTCCATCATTTTCGCAATGGTTCTTGTTCCTGTGGAGACTACTGGTAGTGCTTAAATAATTCCCATATATGCAATGGTTAACTATCAAAGACTCATTTAAATTATCTGTGGTAACGTGAAATCATTCTGGACTTGACTATTATGTTGGACATTGTTGCAATTGGATGATGCATGTTTTCCTACCAAAATTGGTTGTTGGCTTATACACAAGCATCTTTTATATATGCAGTCATCCATCAAATGGATTAGAGGGCTTTTTTGCCTTATAAGGCTGGTTTTGACTACTTCATTGCTTTCTAGCACATGGTTAGAATCAGGCTACTCTCATGGTCTCTGCCACTCTGAATAGCACAGGAATGATAGCATAATGGCTAGAGGTTCTGGAAAATACTGGTGCCAATTGACGATGATTTTTGCACTTGTAGAAAATCAAGACCATCTTGCAGATTCTCTAGGGAAGCATCTAGGTATGAACTGAAGGGACCTTTATGCAGAAAAACAGTAAGTCTTTGATATTTTATCTACATTTCATGTTCTGAAACTGCAAATATTCATGTACTGACTGTGTACGTAGTTCCTACCATATGAAAGAAAATTTGTTTTGTCCCTAAATTTTAAGTACCTTGAGTTCTACCTTCTGTGTTTTAAGAGCTTGTTACATTTTCTCTTCATGCTCAGGACAGCTACACATATCTTGTTATGTACAATCTTTTAGGTAATAGTGGATGTGATTGCTTCATGTTCAAATTTCTAATAACATGGGTCGAACTACAGTTCTTAAAAAGCGTATATTTGCTCAGAGATCAATCAGAAACTTAAAGTGAAAAGGCCACTTCATTTTTCTGTCTTGTGTATATCCGGGTTTTATGCTGGGTTAGTTCCACATTAATGACGTAAAAATAATGTTACTTGATGCCGCATTCTGACATTTATGGTTTTACCTGTCAAAATAAACAGAAATGAGTTAATGCTTCTCTCTTGAACTTCAGGAACAATACAGTTGAAGAACTTGATAATGGGGTAGCAGTGTAGCAATGCAACTCAGAAATGCTGAAAACCTTCTCAAATTCCTCTGGGATGTGTAGGTAGTCAAAGCCTTGAGAATGGTACAAGAGCATGGATCCATGAAGAAACTATGGCAGAGGCCAAAAGGTTCTGGAAATAATTCCATAGCACTTGGTGAAGCAAACGAAAGTTGAGAATCTTGATAAAAAATGTGAGACTGCAGCGTAATGAGGGTAAGACAATCATCTTGGACCCTGAACTTCGAATTAGGTCAAAGATTGCTAGTTCATTTAACCCTTGTTACTAGGCTGAATGTCACAGAGAACTTAAGATTCTAATGTCAGCAAGTAGAAAGCACCAGTAAGTTCTCAATTCTGTCTTTAATCATTGTACTTTCCAATTACTTTCCCTCGAATGAAAACAAAAACATCGAGATCTATTCTGTGAGAACTTCTTTTATATATTCCTTCTCCTTCCACCTCTCCATTTCCTTCACATTCAATTAGTTTACTCCGCTCGATAAGTTCCAGATCATCTTTGTTAGTCATTATAATAGCATTTTTATCAAATGAAAACAGGACAGCTTGGATTCAGAGAACTATAGTTACAGGTGTAAACTAATGCAACTATGATTTGATCATTTCAATTATGTTTTCCTGGATTATATCTTATGCATTTTGAACGGGGACTGTATTTTGTTGATCGAGATGCAGAGCAGATGGAAGGATGTGGTGAAGAAGATAAGATCTTTCACCTGATCGTGTCAAAGAAGCTTATAACTGAAGTACTTGCAGTGAGAAAGCAAGAAATGTTGTAGACCAACTCAGTCAAGGGATGTCCTTCCTCTCTCCAGCCAGAAATCGCTGAAACCTAGCATGCTCCTGTGAAGTTTTCCAATAAGAACCTTTATTGTTGCTTGAATTCGACGTGGTAGCCAAAGGGGCAAAGCAATCCTTACCCCAGGGGTGTCACGCGACACTCCTTCACTAGAAAATTATATTGTATAGATAGTTCAATATTTTGTTCGTAGTTCTGATAACATGATGATTTAGTATAATTTAAGAGTAATCCAACATGAAAAATTTGTTGAATGTAGGATGAAGTCATACAATTCTATCATGACATTTCTAAAATATAATTCTTCCTTTTATAGCTTTGAATAGTATAAATAGGTTTCATTAGTGAATGAAATGAAATAAATACAAAGAGATGCATAGAAAAGAAAAAAAAAGGGTATTTTGTGAATAATCCAATTTACATTTGATATAACATAAAGTTTGATTAAACTTAATCACAACACCAAGGGACCTGATCTGTTCTCTACAGAGAACTCCTAAGCTCCATGAATGCAAGACAAGCTCAAACTCTGCGTGTATTCGATAGCCTTACGCCCAACACCATTTTAAGCCTCATTTCAAGATCATCAACGCTCTCCCAAACGCAGCAAGTTCAGGCTCATATCCTTAAAACTGGCCATTCCAATGATACCCATTTCACCAACAAGCTCCTTTCCCTCTACGCCAACTTCAACTGCTTTGCTAATGCAGAATCTCTTCTTCACTCGCTTCCCAACCCCAATATCTTCTCTTTCAAATCTCTCATTCACGCTTCTTCAAAATCTAATCTTTTTAGTTACACCCTTGTTTTATTTTCTCGGTTACTATCAGCGTGTATTTTACCTGATGTACATGTACTTCCTAGTGCTATTAAAGCGTGTGCTGGGTTATCGGCGTCGGAAGTTGGGAAACAAGTTCATGGGTATGGTTTAACAACTGGGTTGGCGTTGGATTCTTTTGTTGAAGCTTCTTTAGTTCATATGTATGTGAAATGTGATCAGTTGAAATGTGCACGTAACGTGTTTGATAAAATGCTTGAACCGGATGTGGTTTCGTGGAGTGCTTTAACTGGTGGTTATGCGAAGAAAGGGGATGTTGTTAATGCTAAAATGGTTTTTGATGAAGGTGGGAAGTTGGGTATTGAGCCGAATCTTGTTTCGTGGAATGGGATGATTGCGGGGTTTAATCAGAGTGGATGTTATTTGGAGGCGGTTTTGATGTTTCAGAGGATGAATTCGGACGGGTTTAGGAGTGATGGGACGAGTATTTCGAGTGTTCTTCCTGCAATTAGTGATTTGGAGGATCTCAAGATGGGTGTTCAAGTTCATAGTCATGTGATTAAAATGGGTTTTGAGTCTGATAACTGTATTATCAGCGCATTAATTGATATGTATGGGAAGTGTAGGTGTACTTCGGAGATGTCACGAGTGTTTGAAGGGGCGGAGGAAATAGATTTGGGTGGTTTTAATGCTTTGGTTGCTGGGCTATCGCGGAATGGTCTTGTTGATGAGGCTTTTAAAGTTTTCAAAAAGTTTAAGCTCAAAGTGAAGGAATTGAATGTGGTCTCGTGGACTTCAATGATTTCTTCCTGCTCACAACATGGCAAAGACCTTGAAGCGCTAGAAATTTTTAGAGAAATGCAGTTGGCCAGGGTGAGGCCAAACTCCGTAACAATTTCTTGTTTGCTTCCCGCCTGTGGAAATATTGCAGCACTAGTACATGGAAAGGCAACACATTGCTTCTCTTTGAGAAATTGGTTTTCAGATGATGTCTATGTCAGTAGTGCATTAATTGATATGTATGCCAATTGTGGAAGGATTCAGTTGGCTCGCATCATTTTTGACAGGATGCCAGTACGTAATTTGGTTTGTTGGAATGCAATGACCAGTGGATACGCAATGCATGGAAAGGCTAAGGAAGCTATTGAAATCTTTGACTTAATGCAAAGAAGTGGGCAGAAACCTGACTTCATTAGTTTCACGAGCGTTTTATCTGCTTGCAGTCAAGCAGGCCTTACAGAACAAGGGCAACATTACTTCGATTCTATGTCTAGAATTCACGGACTTGAGGCCAGAGTGGAGCACTATGCTTGTATGGTCAGCCTTCTTGGTCGCACAGGAAAGCTTAAAGAAGCCTATGATATGATTTCCACAATGCCAATTGAACCAGATGCATGTGTCTGGGGTGCTTTACTGAGTTCTTGTAGAACACATCGTAATATGAGTTTGGGTGAGATAGCTTCTAATAAACTATTTGAACTTGAACCCAAGAATCCTGGAAACTACATTTTACTATCCAATATTTATGCTTCTAACAACAGATGGAATGAAGTAGACAAGGTAAGGGACATGATGAAACATGTGGGCTTGAGTAAAAATCCTGGATGTAGTTGGATTGAAATGAAAAACAAAGTGCACATGCTATTAGCAGGAGATGATTTACATCCTCAGATGCCACAGATTATGGAAAAGTTGCGAAAATTAAGCATGGACATGAAGAATTCAGGTGTTTCACATGATACAGAATTTGTTTTGCAAGATGTTGAAGAACAGGACAAGGAGTTGATCTTGTGTGGGCATAGTGAGAAGTTGGCTGTAGTTTTAGGAATTTTGAACACTAACCCAGGGACTCCTCTAAGAGTCATTAAGAACCTTAGAATTTGTGGGGACTGCCATACCTTTATCAAATTCATCTCCAGCTTTGAAGGGAGAGAAATTTATGTTAGAGACGCAAACCGTTATCATCATTTCAATGAAGGTGTCTGCTCATGTGGAGATTATTGGTGATTGAGATTTGTAATCTTGAGAAGTTCCTCAAGCACTGAGAGTACCCGAAGCAGGATGTTAGTGAATCCAGTTGCGGCAGGATGCAACAGAACCAGTTGCATTTGTACAAAAATGGAACTGAGCAGCCAAGTTCAACCCTGGTATCTAAATCTAACAATCCAAGCAGTTGTAATCAACTCTACTTTCATAATCTCATCCAAATTGGCTTGGTTAATCTCTGATGCCCAGAGTCCTTTCCTTTCATAGCAATTGTCGCCTTGGTGTTGTCCCATAAAATGTGGTCTGAGAAGGGTAGAGTGACAGTAATTTGAGCATTTGACAGAACCTGGAAGCTGGATCTGTGAATCCAAAATGTGGGGTGGATACACCAGGACTGTCGCGTTTATGAGAGATTGGAACTCATCAGCCAAGTCTTATTCCAAATGCGAAAATCTAACATCCAAGCACTTGTAACCAGCCTACTTTTAAATGATATTATTTGTAAGTTCTTATCAGCCATTTTTAATAATATCAAGCACTTCTAATGCCATTTTTCTTATAAAAACAAGAAATTTACTTGTTTAACCCCTGATGCATAAAGTTTAATGACCTTCATTCTTCTGAATTGTTTGTTGAGAAAGTTGACAGCTTAAACATTCTTCTTATTAATCTAGTCTTCTGTGCTTCTTAGGGATGATTTACAGGGTTGCAAGTCATTTCTCCCTCTGTGTAGATTCTTTGCAAGGTGCAACACACTCCCTCCTTTTTCTTTTTGATTTTTAACAAGGACTAGCTTTAAAAGAATACAAGTCATTATTAAAGATTACATAAATGGGAAGGCTTTTAAAAGCTAAACCATTCAGTTAGTAAAGTAGTCAAAAGTCTCAAAATCAAACAATGAAGGGCTTTATCTGCAAATAATCAGAAGAAAAAAAAAACTAACAAGTGTACTCATGAAGAATTTTAGGCATCTAAGGGTAGTGATCAATAAAGCGGGCAAGAATTATAAGATCGTTAGGCGAAACAATACTTGGTGATTTATTCTCATAGATAGCATGTACCACATAGAATTAGTCAATGTTGGTGGGAGATAACAAAGTACTTGTAAATAAGTCGAGATGCGTGCAAGCTAGCTTGACCACTACCATTATTAAAAAAGAAAGATGGTGAGCTTTTTGCACGAGTAAATGCACGGAAACTTTAACTTGATACTGTTGGTCGAATAACTTCCACTGTATGGTAGATTGGATTTGAAGTAAAGAAACAATGTGCATGAGAATCTTTCAAAGTAAAATCGACATAACGTCTCAAATAAAACACATTACACGTGATTCACAGCAATGATAAGAGAAACAAAAACTAGCCAGTATTTCAATTTTTAGTTTTCTCTAAATTCTCAAAGATATCTACCTATCTATCCAATTCAACTTTTTAAGTTCCGGTCCCAAGCCCGCACAAAAGACGTGCAATTTTATCTCGTGATTGAAATCATGAGATAAAATCAGCATTTGAATATGAAGTCCATTACAAAAGTACTGTTTAAATGTTAGATCAATACAAACTTAGCTAAGAAGAAACACAATAGAACAAAAGGGAACCATAGACAATACCAATATTGAGACAAGATTTAGGCATTGGTGTTACACTTGCATTAAGTTTTGATAGATGTCCTTAAACTTGTCCATGATTATATGTATATATACAATACTCTTATGTATTTATGCTTGAAGGAAGTAGATACTCTATTATGGTAAAAACATCATATATACTGAATTGGATTCCATTTCCTCTCACAACAATTAGTAAATCTACAGTGTTAATCTACATTATTGACTTCCCAAGTGTTTCAGATTGCCCAAGTTACAGCATTCCCACTAGAAAGAAAACAGGACTAAAAATACAAACATTCTACCTAGATTCACTAGCATGAGTTTCAGAGCCTCTCAAGAACGATCGTCGCCACCATATCTGGAATGATTTGCTAAGGTTAGGGCATTCAGTACCATCCTTTGAGAAACACTTGAACCAATCCATAAACAGAACATATTGTTCCTTCAAAGGAAGAGTAAGGAGTGATTGACCCATCGCTTCCTCCAGTGCCTTCATGTCTAGGCCTTTTTTACATCTCTGTAACCATCCAAAGTCCAATAGCATCGGTCTAAACCATGTCTGAAGAAGCCCCGACCTTGCTTCAGAGCGGCAATGCATTTTCCCAGTGCCCATTGCTATGAATAGCATAGCTGTCACCCGGCTAAGCTCGTATCTGACCAATGGAGATGCGCATTTATGCATTGCAAGCAACTGACTTTGTTTGGTCCATATATCCACCAAGTCCTCCGCCATCTGGTGATCGAGCAAAATTTCAAGCAGCCATATGATGTTGTCAACCTGCTTAGATATGCGGTCAATCAGAGTCCGGTCTTCTTTCTTAGCCAATTTTACAGATGGACTCGTAGCAGTTGCCTCCTCAAGCAAACTAACAAGTGAACTTATACAAGATAGGCATATTGCAAATATATCCACCTTGTTCAGATCAGAGCAGTCCTTTTCATAGACTGAGCTTTTGCACAGGAGACCCTTGACTAAGGACTTTAGCTCGTTTCTTGAATTGGCATCAACGCAGGTGGTCACAGACCAAACAAGCTGCTTAGACAAAGTCTGTTGGGAATCTGTCATATCTAGAGCATAGAGTCTGGCCGAAATGTCTCTAGCTGTTTCATGATCAAACTTCATTTTATTAAACAATCTTCTCAATTTCTCTTCCTCTTCCTCAGTCCAAGGAACAGCTTCAAGGTACTTCAAACATGATAAAACACTCCGGTTGAATTTGATTCCAGCTGATACCTAAACATTAACCAGGGATAGCATGAAACCACCAAGACAAGTTGAAGATAGGGGAGAGAGAGAAGTCAAATACTAGCCAAACAACAAGGGGTGTATTTTATTGGTAGTGTGTATAAGAATAGTGTTGAATAGGCCAATAGGGTGTATTAGTAATACTAGAATTTTCTTATCCACTGTTTGGTTTCGTGTATTACGAGTAGTTCTGTCTTTACCCATGTTTATCCAAGTATTAATAATAGCCCATGTATTGCTAGTACCATGGTTTGCTATGTATTAGTTATACACCCTATAATACTGAATAGTGTGTGTGTATACCTAATATATATATTAGTTATACATAGGCACAAAATCGTACCAAACAAAAGATCAAATAATACCATAACTAATACATATGGTTAGACTTTCTAATGCATCCTGCCATTGATCCCATAGAGTTCATCACACAGTGAACATTTTTCCTTTCATGGAAGATGTAAGGTCAAATTTCTCGATTAAATAAAAGAGGATCTTCAATATATGCACAACAATTCAGTACCCTTGGAAGATGGGGACGAAAAAGCTTAAACTGGCACAACCCAGCCGCCGTGTAAAACCAATGGTGGAACAAGGAAAAAGAGACCCGAAACTCCATGCAGATAAGAACAATTACAAAACAAAGACACTCAGTAGAAGCGGACCCTCTTTCACATTAAATTCAGTAACAGAAATAGCAACCTGCAGCAGTTTTTAATACTTAAAACTAATTCAGCAGAAAAATTAGTAGAATGCAAAACTTGACCAGAGGACTGATTTGATAGGCATTTAGAAGACTAAAGAAACAAAAGGATGCACATGCATTCTGGGAAAACATACCAACCAAAAGTGTTTACAGGTTTTATTGGCCACAAGGCAAAGCTTTTTCCTACATGACATAACTTAGCAGTTCCATTATAACTAATACTTAGAAATTAGAGAAAATTATTACAATTTTTTTCTCCAAGTTAGAGAAAAGTTGAATAAGTTTTTGCTTCCACAATTAGGAAAACGGAGATTCACTCACTTCCAATCCTTTTCTTTATTTTTCATTCCTAGATGAACAACATTACCAGATTTTGCATAACTAAAACTGAAAATAATGCTAATTTCTATTTCATTGCAGTTAATCTTTTCTGAATTTATTCGATAATTAATCTTCCTTGGTCCATTTATTCTTTATCTCCTTGTGGGGGATGGATGGGAGGTTTTGGTGTTTATCCTCTGACCAATTTGTATATATTTGGTCTACTCCATTTCTTGGTAAATTTAAGTGAATGAACAGTACACAGACACAATTGAGACTGCATTTAACACGACATAAATCAGAATCCAATAGCATCATTCTCTTTGTACAATAATGGTCCCTATATCAGATAAATTTCACCTCTTGCAAAGATAATAGAGGTCCATTATAGCTCTCTCTAAGTTGTACCAAGAAAGTCAACAGTGCAAGTTGGTTTGAAGCAACTTGATAAAAAACTTGGAGATGAATAAGAAGATAGGAAATATGGGTAGTAACCAAGCCACAGCAAAGAAAAAAGAGTCATCCAAGAAATGAAGTGAAACTTTTATACTTGTATACCAGGGCATAATAGAAAAGTAACATTGGGAAGAGCAGGAGGTTCTTGGAGTTCTGGGAGTAGAAAGTTAGAAAGATCCACATCAAATACAAAAGTTAAGGGTTTTTTTGCAGGCATCTTACGGAGAACAAACTTGTTCCACTGTTTGTTAAAGCTCTGGCCATTTCAGGCACCTTAGTATGCATCCTGAAAGCTACGGAACTATAGAGCTTCATGAGATTTTGAAAGGTTGGAGATATCAGGAAGAATTTAACTGGATGATGAAAAGAATACAGCAAAGCAGACATGTTAGACGGCAGCATTATATCACACTGAGTAACTGAGGTTGCACCACCTTAAGAGCTTTGCAACTTTCATTGGGCAATTAGAAATTTGTTCAAGAATAAAGAAGAGGAAGTTCACTATAGAACTTTCCCTATAAGAGAATGGTCCCAGCCAAACACTAGACTTAAGGAAATAGTCAGACTTCTATTAAGAACACTGAATTAACCTTGTACCATAAATACGCCGGAAAGAAGCCTTTGGGGTTTCAAGGGACCAGCAGTGCAAGAATTAACCTCGGTAAACTGAACCAACCATGCAATTTCTAATGAGTCTATGTGGTTGTTCCAACCTTAGCAGCTTATCTAATAAGCCTTCAAGCATGGAATATAAGATGCCAACTTCTTCAAGTTCTCTACATATTCTTCTATATTTGATAAAACATATGGGATGTTCCATATTCTTAGATGAACAAGTAATTATTTATGAATAACCGTGCTATTTCCAATTGTTCTGCTAAGGTCTGTGTGCCTAATTAGTGTTCAAACATGGAATATATGTCGCCAATTTCATCACGAATTCTCTACATACTATTCACATTGCTTAAGCCTTAAAAACATGTGAGAAGTTCCACAGTCTCAAATAAACAAGTACTAATTCATTCAGGAATCACCATCAATGCACCCCAATACCTAATAGTCAATTGACAAATTTTCAGTTTTTAAAGTAACTCAACTACCTCCTCTGTCCCAAATTAACTAACCTATATTGACTTGCCAAATTTGATAACCAAATTATCCATATTCTATTTCACCTTTTCGGAAACAAAGCTTAATTAATTCACAGCATTTTCATCTTAGTGTAATAAGAACCTATTAATGCTTTCCAAATAAAAAAAGTTGGGACACTTGAAATGATTGATGAAGTAGTAAAAATTATAGATCTTCAGAAGATTACCTCGAGAACATCAATGGCGCGATAAGCACCGACCCTGAGAAGTTTCCGAGGAATATCATCCTCAAACATAAGCTCAATTGTATCGCGAAAAACACCTAAATTCTCCACATCAGGCACCTCTATCCTACACAAACCCCTCGAATTTTTCCGATAGTCAGCAATCAAATCAGCAAAAACAGAACTATTGGTACTAAGAACCTCAGAGCTAAGCTCCAACACTAAACCACCACCATTCTTTCCCTTCAGATTCAACCTCACATCAAAGATCCCCAAACTACAATCATCCCTAACCCCAACCCCACCACTAGCTTGCTGCTCACAATCAACCGGAGTCGGCGACTTGGGTATCTCAGGGAAACTAACCGGGCCGGTCGGGTTTAGGGTTTCATCGATAGAATCAATCGGAGAGACCCGACCCGGTGAGAGGATCCGACGTGGGTCAATTCGGGTCAGTCTGGAGGGGTTTTGAGGAGAATTAGGGAAAGAAGATAAGGAATTGGAAGAAGACTTCGTGGGTACTTCCGGTTTTAGAAAAGATTGGGTCTTCTTGGGATTTTGAGCCGGAACTACAGCTGGGTTCTCCGGACTATGTGGTGGTACAGTAAATGAGCAACACCAAGCCCGGCGATGATGTGACGGCGGTTCACGGCGGCGATTGTGGTGGTGAGGTTGAGATTTCAGGCGCGTTGGGTCGTGCATTTCGAGGGTAAAAAGCTTAAAAGATACAGAAGTACAGTATGTATGTTTGAAACTTTGAATGGTTCAAGAACTACACAGTCTACAGAGTACTCAGTTTGATCCGATATGTAGAAATGTGGAAACTTTACATTTCTTGGGAAATGGGCGTAACCATGTTCTTCTCTAGGGCGAAGAATTGGTGGAGAAGAGATTCTGATGCTTTGTGAAGCTGACGGCAAAAGCAACAGTATAGATACTGGCAAAGTGAGCTGTGAAATTGAATTTATTTTTTTCCTTTTTTTTTAATGCACTAAGCCTTCACTATGTGCAGAATCCGAAGAAGAATCAAACCAACAACAAATTATTGTATATCATCTTATCTTGCATTTACAAGAGCTATTTTATAGTTACAATATATGACCTCTTGATTACGTGATAATAACTTTATAGTTAAAAAATTTCCTTCCAGCTTATTCAAAATAAGTTGGAAGAGATGTTTAAGTCGTACGGAGTTCAAAAAAATCCAAATTATTAAGAAATTATTGTATACAATCTTATCTTACATTTACGAGAGCTGTTTTTATAACTTAAGCGCATGACCTCTTTAATTAGATGATAATAATTTTACGCTAAAAGTCTCCTTCCAACTTGGCAATAAAGTTTAAAAGTAAAATGAAAATTTTGATCTTAAATATTTTTTAATCATTCATGTAATTATAAATCATATTATTAAAGATATAAAAAAAAATCATGTTAAGTCATTTGAAAAATAATATTTTTTTAAAAAATGAACTAAAAAAGAAGAAGTGCAAAAAAATTGAGATAAAAGGAAGCAAGTATTTATTTCTTTCATCTTCTAATAGAAAAAAAGGGGAAAAGAAGATTTTGAATATTTATTTAATAAAGTAATTGACAGATCCACTTGTTGCCTTTTTGATTTTAAAGCCTAGTGGGTGCATAATGAGTGGGAAGAAGACTATATTCTATTTTAGATTGGATGACAAATGAAATATTTCTAAGAAATAAATTAACAAAATACAATGAATATTATTTAAATAAATTAAAAAGAAAATTGTGTTTTCTTAATAATTATGATGTATAAATTAATTTATGTACATCTTAATTAATTTGATAAGATATTTGTTATCTACTCCAACAAAATGTTAGCTTATATGTCCAAAGGGAAACATTCTCTTCAAAAAAGGGTGGCTTGGATGAATTTTCAAAAAAATAAATGTTCCATACATTTGAATTATAATAAACTTTTGGTAAGTATAACCTTCATAAGTAGTGGTTTAACTTATTCACATAATCACGTTAGTATTTGGTCCTTTTGGAAGTAACTTTCATAAGTAGTGGTTTAACTTATTCACATTAGTATTTGATCCTTTTGAAGAGACTTCAAGGGCTTGGAGAGAACAAGCAAAATTCAACATGTATTCCTTGAAAGGATCAAGGAAGAGACTAATGATTCATGATGTTATATCATAGTTAAATGTTATGGATTTGATTCCTTTAAAAATGTGATCGATCACTCTTTTCGATTGTGATAAGTCAATTTTGACCTATCCTATCATTCACATACCATTTTCTGATTCGCTCATATATCTAATTCGATTTTTAGCTCATAAAATTCATCAAACTCCTTTTTTTAGTTTTTTAGTTTTTTATTGTTTTATTTTTGTCATTATATGTTAATTAAAGAAGAAAAAGAAGCCGTGGAATCTTTAAAGTTATTCAAAATTAGTTAAATTTCTAAGGGATAATTATCTAACGAGACAAGATTATATATCATACTTATCTTTTTTTATCAAACAAAGATATTGTATATATTATATAATATTAAGGAGATATTACATTAGTAGTATATGCACCTGATCCTACAAGGTATGGGGACATAGGATCTCCTTGACATTATACTTATCGTTATAAATATAACTTTTTAAAATTACCAAACATAATTATTTTATGGATTTTCTAGCAAATACTCAATACTCACATTCAATTCATCCTCAACTGGTCCCATATGTTCCTCTCTCTCATTTTCTTCTAACTACAACTTAAGCCCTTATTCAAACGAGTGACAACCGACAATATGTTTGATGAGACTTCAAGAAGAAACTTAGGAGTCGTTTGGTAGAGTATATAAAAATAATGCAAAATATAGTGTATTCGTTATGTTGAGATTTTTCTTATGTAGTGTTTAGTCTAATGTACTAAAAATATCATGCATTGCATAATTATTTCTTAAAAAATATTTGTTTATGAAAATACCCTCCACAAATATAGTGGAAAAGGACGTGAAAAAGTTTTTGAGGGACAATTGTGTCTTTAATCATGCTAATGCATACTGTCACGCCCCGAGCCTACACACTGGACGTGGCCGGCATTCGAAGACCATTGTTGGCCTCAAGCAAACCCTTGGCTTGGCTTACTAACTCAGCGGAAGACTATATGCATATTTATAAAGATCAATAGCACACTACTCAACTTAACTAATGAAATAACTTAGAATGTTTAATAGTCAACATTCAACTTGGCCAAAATGGCAACTTAAATCTTAACATATGAAATGAAAAGTAAAGAAAATTGAATTCACTAATTGACTGTCTGATTATCTATGAAGCCTCTAAACAACTGAGATGGATGTCGGGGCAGGCCCGCGACATCCTAATGAACTAATACTAAAACTGAAAAACAATGTGAAGGAGTCCTCTAGAATGCAAAGAGGCTCACCAACAGACTCTGAACTGCTCACTGGATCAACGAATGCGCCGGATGTCGATCCTAGTTACCTGTGTCTGCATCATAAGATGATGCAGGTCAACTGACATCAGTACATTGAATGTACGAGTATGCGAGTTGGAATGCTAAAACAACATAGGCTCGAAAGAGATTATGAAAGAAACACCTACATTGGCTCTTCTCAACTCTTGAATACTTAAATAAACTCATTTCATTATAAAGCATTTTAAAACAAGTGCAATATAAAGAAAAACTGTTGAAAACATGTTGTCAATTCATAATCATAATATCATAAAAAGACAAATCATGCTCCATCTCAAAGTCTACTTGTGCAATGCATGAATGAAGTCTCATACCCCCATTCACAGTAAGCAGAACCCCTTGAGGAACCATGCTACTATTGTTGTGGGAGTTTCTCTAACCGACAACCATCACTTAAGAACTATAGTGATGACACAACGTTTTACCTCACGCTGCCGAGGCCCATCATATACCTTGCCGTGATATAAGAAGCTAACTCACTAAGTGGATCCACTAGTCTATGCCAAAGGATTCATATAAAAAGTATAACCCTTGTATACCCATGATGACTACATGGTTTATGGGGGCTGTGAGTTATCTGAACTCTCCCCCATATCGGTGCTCAATACTACTCCCAAAATATACTAGCTCTTTATGTTTTAAAAACATACTTCTTCTGTGATTTGAGATTAGTGCTAAAAACTTAGCTCAAAGGCCATCTCAAATATCTCAGTTTCCATGTTTGCTTCATTTAGAAAGCTATTTCTCTTTTCTAAAAACTAGCTCGAAGGCTCTTTGAAAATCTCAGTTTCCGTTCTTATTTAAATGTGAAAACATTTTAAATCTTTTTGGGAATACTTAGTCCCCATATACTTTTGAAGAAATGAACTTCAATCTTTACTCTTTACTCTTTACTCAACTTGAACTGTAAGTCTTAAAACAAAGTTAAAAGCATTTGCAAAAGACTTCTCGAAAAGACTCGAAAAACTTCCTAAATTTGGCTCTTAACTTTCCTTGAATTTGAATTTATGGATTCAAGGTTATGATTCATGTTTTTGGACGATTTCTAGATGTTTAGAAGTTATTTAGAGTAGTTAGAATCAATAGGAAGTGTTAATACACTTTAGAAGGACTTAAATAGTCTAAACGACGAAAACTGGTGAAAAACGACGATTTGGGTGCATTCCGAGTGCGTCGCGCCAACCCCAACTTACTGGGGCTCAAATCTAGCGCACTGCTGGCGCGCCGCCCCTGCCTGCCTGGTGCTATGGGGGCGCGTCGCGCCAGCCTCCCTTCAGGCAAAATTCTGACGAAGTATGATCTTGTTTTCTGATCCTAAATCGTTTTAATTCGATTCTTTTTCTCAAATTCACTTTAGATTCATGTACCCAAATCATATACACAAAATCTAACCCAACAACTTAAAGAAACAACACTTAATCATCAAGAAATTCCTTAATCCCAACTCATGTTCAAGAACGAAATCAATTCAAGAACAACTATCAAGAACATCAAATTCTCAATCTTTTTAGGACGAAAATACGCTGAATTAAACATGCTTGGCGCGTGGTGAACTAAACCAGCGCTATGTGATCTCACATACCTCTTAGGGATCAAACCCATGGCGAAAATCCGCTACAACACGCAAGGATCTCGACGGACGCTTGATCCTCTCTTCTTTTCTCTTTTTTCTCTTATTTTCTCTTCTTTTCTCTTCTTTTCTCTTCTTGAACTCTCAACTAAAACCTTAGGCTAATTTTAGGACTACAAAACTGAACCGAATAGGATTAGACCCTAAAATATTACTAAAAACGAATTAAATCTGATTGGGTAAGGAAAAGACCAAAATACCCCTCACTATTTTCGGCTTAACTTTCCTTAACTTGACAACCTAACTTCAAAAGGTCATATCTCACTCATCCGAACTCGAAACTTAGCAAACTCGGTGGCGTTGGAAAGATAATTCAAAGATCTTTCCTAAGGTACCTGGTAGCACACGTAACACACCCTGATCTAGGAGTTATGGTCGTTTGAAGTTGACCCAAAACTCATACTTAGCTTAACTTGCAAAATTTCAGATTTTGCTATTTCTAATTTAGTTCTTTTTCGAACTCAAGGTGCTACATCTAGTGAACTTAACACTTAAGAAATTTTAATTCCTCGGTAAAATCCTACTCACAACGAAGGATGGTTCAAGTCTTAGCTCAAAAATTTTCTGGGGTGTTACACATACATTAGAACTCATTGCATTGCTAATTAATGTGTAGAAATATATGGTATTGCATATTAATACACTCCTCAATACGCAATAGAAGAGTCTTTGAAGCATAAGTTCAAATAACAAATTTTCGAAATTGTTACTAGTTTTAATGAGTGATGTTTTTAAAAAATTAGTGTATTATTGAGAAGTTCATATCTTGAATTTGAGGATATATTTGTGCCGATTTGAAGTGAATTTGATGGATTTTTCAAAGAAAATTTAAAGGCGAAAGTTGAAGAATTTATTGAAACTGCCTAGTGACGGTATGTGTTGATACAATTAGGTTGAGCAAATAGATACAATTGATATAAAGCGAAAAGATACAAAACAAACAGATACAACACTATGAATCGTAATTACACAAACTATCACTATATCTGATAATTAGACCTCAAACTATCATTGTTGCTAACTTTTAAATATTTTCAAGACTACAACATTTCTTGGCCCAATTTATATTCTTAGCCCAAAACAACCTCAACATTGGGCCTAGTTTGACTTTTCTTTCATCAGCCCAAAAGCTCCCCAATTGTCTGCGGTCTCCGATCAAACTACCAAGGCAAAAACCCTGTGAGTTAAACTCCCTCTTCGTGGCCTTTCTTCTTCCCTACACACATGGCTTCATCGCCACCATTTCTACTTCCATCTCTGTCATAAACCCATTTTTCTTCTCTTACACATGCATACAATATTGATAGATGGACGTAAGAAGATTGAAAATTCCCAAAACCATAGCTATATTTTCACATATCAAACGCCCTTTAACTTGTGTGATTTATACTGCTTCTTCAGATCAAATCAGTGAACCATTACAGAAAGCGCAGTCAAATAAGCCTAACCCCATCTCAGAAAAGAAACAGAAAAACGGATTAGATTTGAATTTGCGGAAGTGGGTTGTTTCAGTTCTTTCAAACCCACCTGTAGATTCGTTAAAGATTAAAGATTTACTGACCCTTTTGACTCCTCAGCAGTTTGATGCTATTTTCTTGGAAATTTATTCGTCTTTGAAACCATTGAATGTTTTGAAATTCTTTCACGTAGCGTCTGGTACTTGTGGTTTTAGTTTTAGTGTTAGATCTTATTGTACTTTGCTTCGTTTGCTTGTTGCTTCGAATCATGATGTTCCAGCTAGGTTGCTTTTGATTAGGTTAATTGATGGGAAACTACCTGCATTGTTTGATACTTCACAACAAAAGCATGTAGAGGTTGCTGTTTCGTTGGCGGAGTTGAGTGGTGTGTCGGATTTTGGTGTTGCTGTTAGGACTTTTGATCTTTTGCTTCATTTGTGTTGTACTCAATTCAAAAATGTCGGTTTTGATGCTGCATTGGATGTGTTCAGGTCGTTGGCAAGTAGGGGGGTGTATCCTTCTTTGAAAACTTGCAACTTTCTGTTGAGTTCTCTTGTGAAAGAGAATGAGCTTTGGAAGAGTTATGAGGTTTTTGGGATTCTGAAGGATGGTGTTGAACCAGATGTTTACTTGTTTAGCACCGCGATCAATGCGTTCTGTAAAGGGGGGGAGGTGGAGGAGGCAAAGGAGTTATTTCGGAAGATGGAAAACATGGGTATTGTGCCAAATGTTGTCACTTATAATAACCTTATTCACGGTCTTTGCAAGAATTGTAATTTAGAAGATGCATTCCTTCTGAAGGAAGAAATGATATTAAATGGTGTAAACCCAAGTATTGTCACGTATAGCATGCTTATTAATTGTCTGATGAAACTTGAGAAATTTGATGAAGCTGATTGTGTGTTGAAAGAAATGTCAAACAAGGGGATTGTTCCGAACGATGTGTTGTATAATACCATCATTAATGGTTATTGCTCAGCAGGAGATATTCAGAAAGCTCTAAAGGTAAGGAATGAAATGCTAACAAAAGGAATTCTCCCCAACTCAGCTACTTACAATTCACTGATCAAAGGTTTCTGCAAGGTAAATCAAGCTAGTCAAGCTGAAGAATTCTTAAAAGAGATGTTATTACATGGATTGGGTGTAAATCCTGGTTCATTCAGTAATGTTATCCTTGTACTGTGCATGAATTCTAGGTTTGTTGCTGCACTACGGTTTGTTAAGGAAATGATATTAAGGCATTTGAGGCCAAATGATGGGTTGCTGACCACATTAATTAGTGGGCTTTGCAAGGAAGGAAAGCATTCAGAGGCAGTTGAGCTCTGGCATAAGCTACTAATGAAAGGGCTCACTGCCAATACAGTGACCTCAAATGCTCTAATTCACGGTCTTTGTGAAGCTGGTAACATACAAGAGGCTGTTCGGCTGTTGAAAACAATGCTAGAAAGTGGTGTTAAAATAGATAGCATGACTTATAACACTCTTATATGTGCATTTTGCAAAGAAGGAAACTTGGATGGCGCCTTTATGTTGAGAGAAGAAATGGTGAAGCAAGGAATCGCGCCTGATGTTTCAACTTACAATGTGCTGCTACATGGGCTTGGTGAGAAGGGTAAAATAGATGAAGCTCTGTTGCTCTGGGATGAATGTCGAAGCAAGGGACTTGTCTGCGATATTTATACCTATGGGGCCTTAATTAATGGTTTGTGCAAAGCTGACCAACTTGAAAAGGGCAGGGACCTTTTCCATGAGATGCTCAGACAAGGCTTAGTCCCAAATTTAATTGTTTATAACACTCTTATTGGAGCTTTTTGTAGAAATGGAAATGTGAAAGAAGCCCTTAAACTTCGTGATGACATTAGAAGCAGAGGCATTCTACCAAATGTTGTCACTTATTCCTCTCTTATACATGGCATGAGCAAAATCGGGCTTATTGAAGATGCTGAGAACCTTATTGATGGGATGCGTAAGGAGGGAGTTCTACCTGATGTTGTTTGTTATACTGCATTGATAGGTGGATATTGTAAGTTAGGTCAGATGGATAAAGTGAGGAGCATTTTGCAGGAAATGTCATCACACAATATACAGCCTAATAAAATAACTTATACAGTCATTATTGATGGGTATTGTCAAGCTGGTAAAGTTAAAGAAGCTAAGGAGTATTTCGCCGAGATGGTACAGAAGGGAAATACTCCTGATTCGGTCACCTATAACGTTTTGACAAAGGGGCTTTTAAAGGAAGGGGAAATAGAAGAAGCCTTTTCACTTTTAGATCATATTTCCCATACAGGAGTTGATTTAGATGAAGTTACATATACTTCTTTAGTGAATTTACTTCCCCAGAGATCAGCAAGTGCAAACCAAGAATGAACTGACCTGGCACAAAGTTCACACTCATCTGGTTGGACTTTTTGCTACCTCACGTTTTTAACGCAACACAGCTATATACTTGCTTGAGTACAGTTGGACATTTGAAAAGCACGTATATCTGCCTGATTTTCTAATGACACAATGGAGTCAAGGCAAAGTCTGCACATTGGGTTAGATTATCATCTTTGAAACTTAATGATTCTTCTCATTATAGCCTGTTTTTGCTGATTCCTTCATGTTTTTGGAAAAAAAGGGTTGCATCAAAATGCTAAAACTCTTATATGTGATTTCTAAGAGATAGGGGCGTCATCCTAGTATTGGAGATTGAAATAATAGGTGCTTGCATTATCATCTTCAACCAGTTTCAGCATGTTGCCACAACCATCTGTTGTTGCTTTTTTGAACTTCTTGTGTCATCTTCTTGCATTGCCTTCAGTATTTATCTTTGATCGTATGATTTTACTTTTTCAATATACATTAGACAACCATGTCTCTTTATCTTTTTCATGTTTTCTTTCTGATCCATTTATCTGGGTAGTGATTTAGTGCTCTTGCATTGTCCTCAATATTAAGCAGTTGTCTTGGAACTTCAATGCTGATAGATTTGTGTCACACCTCAAACCAGCATATACATATAATATCATGCCATGCAATATTTTCCTCGTCCGTGGTCAGCCTTGACATGTAAAACGATGGCCAAATTAATAATTTGTGCGTCATATAGTCTTTTAAAGTTGTATGAGTTTTGATGGGGCTTTACAATTTGTTTCACAGTTCCAGTACCTGTCCTAAAAAGTCCCATTGTTTCATATTCTCGTGACTGATCTGTATTATACTTTCTCTTGAAATTTCTCATTGTCTATATCACTCTCATTCCCTCTTGGAGCTAACATGTACTGAATTTTCTTTTTTTGCCTTTTCTTTTGATTTCTAGAAACTGGTTCGTTATTGTGGGTCCAGATTTCTTCCTTGTGCTTTGAGTTAGTTGCAAATGCTGGGAAGATCAAGGATCCAAGCAGCTGGTGGATGGTTTTATGGTAATGTTTGTATGGTTGTCTAATACATGTAGTGTATTTTTTTCTGTGGCACCTCCTTAATTGTGTTTGTTTCTGTCATATGTTTTAGCTTTTCCTTACTGTTCTAGGAAAAGAATGACTTTCTAATTGAACCGATTTTCTAACAGTTCCTCCTCGTTTATGGAGCCAGTTTAACCCATTCAAGAATTAAGCTAAATAAACAGGAAACGTTCCATGTTTTATATTCTTAAACTATTTGTAGCTTGGACAAATTTTTGCTGGATTGGAAATTCCTGATAGATTATGTGCAATAGATTATGTTCCTTTTGGCTTTTTATTGGAAAGAAAGAAGATGTCCTTAAATTACTAAAATTCTGCTTTTTCACTTTGAGAAATTGACCAAAGACCAAATTGCTTAGAGAAAAGTTGGTTTTCTTAGATATGCAAACAAATTAGATGAAGGACGTGATAGGAAAGCACACCTCGACTAATTCCACAGGATACTTGCCACCTCCCACCAGCAACAAGTACCTGGTAACTTTGTTCACCAAGGCTAGGACAGATGGGAAGAATCACCTATTTATTTTTTTTTGTCTCCACTGAGAATTGAACTTGAGACCGCATGGTTTTCAACCACTTCATTGACCACTAGGCCACAACCTTGGGATTTGGGTGCTCTTAATTAATATAAGGAGTTTTAGGAGTTGGGAACTTATTTTGCAGCTCCATAAATGGAAGCACATAGCTTTAAACAGGGGTGAAGATGGTATATATTAGGTTTTGAAAGGAAGGTAGTGTCAGCTTATAGGTTCTGTTCCAGATGCTGTGAATACCCAAGATGGATAAGGATTCTTGAGCTCTTTTCATCTATCATTTATATACTGGTATGGAAAAGGTCAACTTATGAAATTAAGGACAAATTGAATGTGGTGGCATATAATTTTCAAAATATAGGACATTCTAAAATTGTAGCCAACTATATTTTGCTTTCAATTATTTCCATATAGTTGATTTGCAAGGGATCGCGAGTCTTTTTTCGTTTAACTGTAAATCCTTAGTTTTTTTAAAAAACATCATTAAGATTCATAAGAGGTTTAAAATTGAAAGCTACTCGTGTTGGTGGAAGGTAGCAGATACCCTGTGGAATTAGTTGAAGTGCGTGGAAGCAGATCTGAACACCACGGTAATAAAAAAAAATTGAGAGCTACAGATTCCATATAAAGAACAACAAAGAATTTGAAAGCTACAGTATCGTCCCTTATAGATGACAATTTTTTTCAGCAGAACTCCTTTATTTTCTAATATTGAATTTTAGTTAAATTACTTGGACTAAGTAGTTCTTAAGCACCACTACTGGACATCTAGAGCACCACACAAGATAGCCGTCTTCACTTGGTTGTGTTTGCAAGGGGAATTATCTTGATAGCAGATAACTTAAGAAGGAGAAGATGCATTGTTGTGTGTTAGTGGTGCATGTGCAAGAAGCACGGAGAGGATGAGGACCTCCTTTTATTGCATGGTAATTTTGCATTAGAACTATTTATTGATGTATGCAACATTCTGCATCTTATGGGCGCTTCCTAGAACAGTAGCCAAGACAATGGTGAGGCAGAGATTAACAGAGTGGAAGTCAGCCCCTTTCTGTTTTCTTGTCTCAGGAAGCAAGAAAGCGCAGAACCTTTATAGGGATCAAGAACCGATGTTGAGTGTCAAATGTTCTCTTTGTGATTTTCTTACAAGGATCTATATACAATACACATAAAAGGATTTCTCTCCAAAAAAGAGAAGACTGCCCCTTGCTTTCTTTTGCTTTTTGGCGTAAAATGGAAATGCCAACTTGCTGAGGGTTGGCTAGATTTTCGGGAGTCCTAGTATTATGATACCTTTATAAACTTATCATACTATCATGGTGAAGTATCAATGAATTCTCTAATTATCAGGAAAAAAAAAGATATAAAGGTTATGCAATTGAATGAAAGACTTCTGTGTATCCACTTTGACTAAAAGTGATATTTGATTTTGATTTGTAGACTAATAAAAATTTAGAAGTAGTGCAACCATGATCTCATGGTCTGAAAGTAAAGATAGGTCTATCAAATTGAAACTCAATGGAGATTTGCACTCAAAATTTCATTGAAAAACATAACCCACAATTTTCTCTTGATAATTGTTTTTCGTGTGTTGTCTTCACATCCTTGTTGATTGGTATTGGAAGGAAAATAACTAGTTTTTTTTTTCTTTTTTCCATAGGTTTGTATATTCCTCAAGCACTGCTTCTGATATACTTTTGTTTGTAGTGGAAGTTATTTTTTAAAATAGTTTTTCTTACTTAGACAAGCAACTACCTAAATCTCTAGATGTCCTGTTGTCAATTGTCATAGGTTGAAAACACATTGTGTGATCTGATCCTAATGCCTCAAACTTCTCCTGCCACAGGATAGCAGATAAGTCCAAGATTGCGCTGGCCCCCTAACAGTGACCTTTGGTTGCTCTAACCAACTCCATGCCCTTGTATGATGGAGCAGACTGTACTTGGAACTGCACTTGAAAAGCCAAAACCTACTTCAGCCACGGGGAGTGTTCGTGCAGATAAGACAATAATGGTAGGGCCACCTTGGCCTAGGACCATCTTGTGGAGAGCATCAAATGGTACTATAAATTCGTTCAGTTAAATCAAAGAAGTGTGCTGTTTTAGTCACCTAAGAGATTGCTTCGTGTATGTTCTGCACATCATCTGCTATAGATGTCTGCTTCTGTTCGTTCACAATTGCTTCTCGGTTCTTCCACAGCTATAGGTAATGCATTTCGTATGTAGGTGTCCATTAGTTCCTCACTTTGTATTTTCGTGTTTTCTGTTGACCAACCATCCCATCTTGCTGCTCTTGTGGTTCTTTTCAATTACATTAAGAGTAATTTCTTATATATAAGCTTGAGGAAGTTTAAATATTTGTCCTGATACCATGAGAGGATGTCACTTTTTGCAGGCTCTCAACACATGATGCATCAGTAGTGTAATCACTGAAGCAATTTAGTCAGGATTGCCATGTTACTTATGTGTTGAAGGGAGCATGACATGAACCGGGGTAGTCGCAGCAGGAGAAGTACCCCTAAACCCCTGAGATCACTCAATCCCGACCTGTCAATCTCTTGTCATTACTATCTGGTGCGCGAAGGGCTACTCATGCTTCCCAGACATCACACATTCTCAGGTTGAGTCAACAGCTCCCTAGAAAGTGAAATAGGTTCAAGGGAGGGTTGTAAATAGGCTGAAGTGGGAGCGCAGAACAGTTTCATTGATGATCTTGATTTTCGTGGTTTTAGTTGAGGTGTACAAAAACTGGCTCGAACACCACTAATAAAAAAAAATGTTTACACTTCAATGATAATACTTCTGTTTTCTAGGAACTGTTTATCCCTTTAAAATTTTATATGCTCAAAAAATATTTTTTTTAAATGTATTTTTTTAATGTCACATGATTGGACATTAGATGAGTTCATCTTGGATGTTCAATGCCTATGGCTCAAACAGGTCAAAATCAGACATCATTTTTACATCTCAAGTCCGTTTATATCAAATATATATTTTATATAAAATACAAGGTCAATGTCACATATAAATATATATATAATCCTCAAATTAAAATTTTATAATTATAATTCCAACATAACTAATTTCAACCGAACGACCTCTTAACATATTCTGTATAAAACATTAAATATGTACTTTGTAAAAAACAAAAAAGAGTTACAAAGAATGAAAGAACTCCCAAAGCCTCTTAAGAACAAAAAGCCCTTATTACACAACTTTCTTGTGATACATATCACAAAATCTAAAACAAAATTTTAATTTATACAATCGAACGTAACGTAGCATAACAGAAGTTTTAAAACAACGATAAAAAACACCCTATAGATTATAGTTTCAAACTTTTGAAACTAATGCTCCCATCTTCATGTACGATTTTTTCATCCAGAATGCTTTATATATCGAGTTGTTTAAACTAAAATGGAGCAGTAGCAATGTCTCTAGTTTCTGGATTAATCCTTAAAGGATTTGATAAACTCTCTAATTCCTCAGCATATTCCATTATAACATCATCTTCTTTGTCATGTACACATTGAGAAACTGGTTCTAATCCCTATTAAACACAAAATTAAAATAAAAGGTTAGACAATTATACAAAAATGACATGATAATATAAAATTATTTATATTTCACCAATGCATACAAGCTAAGCTAAACTCATACTTTCTGTCTCAGTTAATGTAACACACTTTTAATTTTTAATAATATGTCCAAACACAAAATATCACCATTCTAAAATTAAAACAACCCTTAAAAAAACATTTCACACATAAATTCCAAAAAATTATTTAAGACAAAAATTTCAAGATATTTCTTCTTTCTTACGACTCTACACCTAATAAAAGAAATTCACATAAATTTACTGTTCACCAACTTTATATCAACCAATAGATACGATCAGATTTAGAATTTAAATTTTATAAATTTAATTTTTTTAAATGTTAATTTTCATTATATCTTAAAAATCTGAATTCATATCTATTATTTATCATACTTTTACTGAATTTTTAAACATAAATTATATTTAAAAAATTATGACTTTAATTAAATCCGTATTTATAATGATAGGTCCAACACAGTTACACAAAGGTGGTACAGCTAATTAATTAATTTCACCGGGGCAATTCAATTGCGCCATGCAACTATACACTACGTACAATAAATAAAGACCCTTAATTAATTTGCATAATCGACTACCACTAATTATGGGAAAATAAAAATAGTACACGTAAACCAAAGTTAGGTATTCATGAATATTAAAATTCTTTCACTTTTTTTAATAAATAAATTTATTAATTACCTTTTCATCACGTAACCAACTAATATACTTCTTGTTATTATTTTTTTACACGTAGTTAGTTTTAAAAAGAGTTATTTTGCAACAATTTTTTGTTAGTAATTAAAGACTTGAGATTTTAGAAAATAATTACCTCAGTGAAAATTCTCATAGCTTCTTCTAAACCTCTTGTATTAATTACGTAAAGTGCCGCATCCTGCAATTCAAAAAAAAAAAAAACCATTAATTAAGACTTAATTTAAAATAAATAAATAAATATATATATATATATAAAGGTGATAAAAATGAAAGTAAAATTTATCAATTTTGTATTGAAAAGAAGAAAATGAAACTATATAAGTCGAAGGGTGATTAGTTGAACGTAAGAATAATTAAATTTGAGGGGGGAAACTATGTTAAGCCTATCAAAGGGTGATCGATTCAACATCCTTTTCTTTATAATATACTTATATTTGATCAAATATTACAATACATATATTATTAATTCTTTAAAAAAATTCTTAATTTGTCCGCTATTATATTAAAGAAAAACGAAAATTAACATATAATTAACACCCTTAGGCAAAAACTTATTAAATTAAATATTTATATTAAATTTTGAATATCGTTAACGAAATATATAGAAGGAAAGAGAATAACTTACTCTAGCAAACTGAATTTGGTTGAGATTAAGAGTTCTAGGCTCATTCTCAATTGATGATGTTCTGTTTAATGGAACCATTGATGAACCTCCCATTTTGTAATTTTTGCTCTATTTGATTTGTTTCCAAACAGAAATATATATAATATGGTTGAATAATATTGTTTGTCCACAAAAAATAATATTCCAAACTTTATTTTTTTTCGAAAGATTTGATATTCTTATAGCTTTTCATGGTATCCATAGACACCTTTATATAGTACTAGTAAGTTTTCATACAAGCCGCCAAAGGGGGGGTGGGGTGGGGGGTTGGTGGGGGGCGGTGGAATAATTATAGTTAAGAAAAAGAAAACACATTGATTCGTAAAATCTATAGAAAATGATGTTTTTATATTAATGAGGCTTCTAGTTTGTCATTGTTACATAAGTTCCCCCTATACAATCTTAAATTACAACAACTTCCAGTATTTTATATATATATATATATATATATATATATATATATATATATATATATATATTAGGAGTATTCTTTTCATTTCAATTTTGTCTGTTTTATTTTACACAAAGTTTAAAAAAGTAAAAAAAGATATCTAGAATGTGTCAAAATTATTCTTTAATTTTGTGGTCTTAAGCATGTGAAAAGTTAAAACTAAAGAGCTGACAAAAAAGAAAAGAGACATTCTTTTTAAAATGAACTGAAACAGAAAAAATATGAACTATAAAATGATAGATGCGTGACAGTGGGGGTTGGATGGGTTGGGAGGGTGAAGAGGCAAAAGAGGGGAAGAAGATAATTAATATGAAATGTTAACGTGAATCTTACTTAGTTACGTGCATATTGAACATCCTAATTAATATATTTTGACACAAATTTAAAATGAGACATGGAGAATCATTCTAATTGAGTTGCTTCAATTTATTGTAGCATTATTTTTTATTATTTCAAAAATGAATTATTTATTATTTATTAAAAAATAATTTTTCATTCGAGATACTTAAAGCCACATAAATCTCTCTATGTTTTAATTTTTATGTTCAATCAAATACCAAGTTAAAATAAAAAAGTATCTTTTTAGGTAAAATCCACTTCGAAGTGGTAGTGCATATCTACGTAAAAACATGGGACGTTAGCATAATTTCTGAAACAAGAAGGTAAAATTTGAAGTTCTACAAACTAAGAGGGATCACCTATAAAATAAAAATTAAAAAATTAAAAAAATAAAAATAAATGAATCATATTTTTTTATTAATATTTTTATAATAAAAAATATATGAGGCTTGGATAAATTAGAACACCACAAAGTGCAACGTGGCAAAAACAAATCTTCCACATTTTAGGCTACGTGGAATTTCATGACGGATAATATTGGACACGTGTATGCTATATTTATTCACCTAATCATATGTTCAGTTATAGAAAGTTCTATAAATAAAATCAAATTGTTATTCAGGTCTCAGTTTATATTACTTATTTTTCTTTTCAGTCCATCTCAAAAATGAAATAAAATGATTTATAATCATATAATCATAAAAATATCTAACTCTTATTTTAAATCACAAATTTCAAAAGTCTTCATTTTTTTTTTATTCTGTATAAAGTCAAACTAACTCGTATAAAAGGAGACAAAAAAAATATTATTTTCTAAATAGTCGAAATATAAGAAGTGCTTACGTGTCAATTGCAATTTACAACCAATAACATAACTACACGAATGTTAAACCTTAATTGGACAACATGGACGGACAAGATCTGATAGTGGACACGTGTTGGATGTGTAATAAAGTTTGTTTTAATTTTTTTGAGATTGATTTTTATGTTCGTAAAATATTAGTACAAGGTTGGTAGATTTCATAAATTATGTAGCGTCACGATTGACAATTAGGTTAGACAAAAGACTTAGAAAAATGAGTTGAATCGTTATCGATATCACACCATCTCACATGCATTTAGATTAGATTGACTTAGAAAGATGATTTAAATCGTTATCAATATCATATGCGACTATTGATAAGGATGTATTTCATCTGTCTCCGTTTATGAAATATTTTTTTCTTTTTTAAATTTCGTGTTAACGTTAAACTAAGATGAGACGAAAGGAATAATATCGGTTAATTTGGTGGAAGGAAGAAATTTTAGTTCTATTGTTTGGTAGAATTTTAGTTTGACCCGATTCGATGTGACAATTGACAAACAATTATTGGCAGTGATTAATTTTCTTTTTTCAAAACCTATTTATTATATTATAGAATAACAAGGAAGACGTATGATTTTTCAGACCTAACATGTTTACGTGATATGTTTTAGTACTAAAACTTGTAATATTTTTACTTCATGTGTTTGGTTATTTTGGGTTGTTATTAAGGTTTTATATAGATGGCTAGTGCACGCAAACAAATTCAATGTTTAAAATTTATGAATTTTAATATTTGATATTGACGAACATGTTTTTCAAAAAATATATAGTTTCCTTGATGAGCTGAGATTAACAATGAGAAGTTCAAATAAATCTAACCCTAGATCTCAAACAATCATTTTTTATGGTGGATAGTATGACAACAATGACGACAACAACATAAGTCATAATATCCACTATGATCCGGCTAGTGACCAAAGCCGAGTCAATTCATATTAAAATCAGAAGAGGGAATTCAATGTCAATTGCCATCTCCTTGGCACACGTGACATTTATCACCTCTACCACGTCCTCCTTAACGTCCCTTGTTATCTCGTAGGGTCTAGAAAAGGTGGGGTATATGCAGACCTAACCCTGCCTTGTTGTGATAGAGAAGTTCCCGATAGACCCTCATGAAATACAAATCTAGAGTTAAATGGATGCAACTAGGTGACTCAAATACTGAATATTTTTCTGTTGTGTTGAAAGAAAGCAAACTGTAGAGCTTTACCTAAATGGAGTTCAGTTGACTGATCCTAGAGTTATTAGAGAAGAGATTCTACAATTCTATAAAATTTTGAAGGCCCAATATATTATATTACAACTTGTGGGGGATTTGGGGAGGGTGAGGTGTACGCACTAACACAGACCTTACTCCTACTTCATGTCGTAGAGAAAATATCTCCGATAGAACCTCGGCTCAAGATATGCTATGCAGTGGTTTGCTAGAATATACAGACAGAATACAACTGGTGCAAAATGTATAGTTATGTATCTAGGACTATTACAACATCATACCAAGTGATATTCCACAAGTGAGGTCTGGAGAAGGTAGAATGTACACAACCTTACCACTACCTCATGGAGGTAGAGAGGCTGTTTCTGAAAGACGCACAGCTCAAGTGCCGGATCTAGAGCACACAAATCTAAAAATCACAGATTACAGAAACTGATTTTAGTCTGCATACACTTAATCAGCCTCTCTACTGATCTCAATTATTTGGCATACCTGCTAAAACCTTCCCAAGCTAAGGATGTGTAGAAGTTACATGTATCCTTGAAGTGATTGTTATCAAGAAAGATATAGAATGTGTTCTCTCAAGTCCATAGGAAGATTAAACCTAAGCAATTTGAAGTTATGGATCAGGTGGACAACAATTTTGAAAAAACTTTGGTTCAATCACAGGCCAACTGGTAGGAACACACTTAGAAGTGGAAGAGTTCTGGTGCAGATACAATACATTACCAGAGTTCGGAAACATGATAGCCTGAGGCGAAATTCACAATATGGCAGCATCTTCATAGAAGTATAGACTGCAAATGAACTTATCAAGAGATGTATGAATACAGGTTAGCTCATGTCAAACTCATGACGAGTGAGAAGAGCATCCATTTGTGGAATGTGCATCTGCTAAAAGGCCTAAGTACTACGATACTTACAAAGACAACTTAACACAACAAACTACCTGGGAGGCTGGGACATGGAGTGGTCTATCAAGGACTAGAAAGAAACTCAAATGGCACGCAGATGTCAGATCCTTAGAATCTTAGCATTATATGTATCCATGTAGATCAGAGATTTCACAACCATATGACATAACCCACCCAAATATGCGGGGTGAGAATCAAGTCTATCAGAATCAAACAGAATTCGAAACCAAGAGAAAAGTTGTACCTTCGTATTCTTTCTTGTTACAAAAGATTAAAATCATGCATGGATAAATGGAGATAGAAGCACCTTAGGTTCAGGAGTAGAGATTTTGTTGATGAATCAAGTTCCAACAATGTTTTTGGTTAAAAGAAAGATGACAAACTTACCTGAACACCTGAAAGGAAAATTGGATTAAACATCATGACTGTAATGCATTTATGACCATTCAAGGAAGGTGTCAGTTACTAAACTCAGAGCACTAGTTGGCTTTATAGCTGAGATGAAATGAAGATGAAAAGGTGTTCCACTTGAATTAAATTGAAGTTGGTTTAGCAATATCTTAAAGACAATAAATTGATACAATTCCCATAATGAATTGAACCATAACATCTCCACATGTGAAAAGCAAATGAAAGCCAAACTAAACCCAGAACAGAAGGCTCCATGCGTTTTCTTAGAAAAATCTGCCTTTTCAACATTTGACACACGGGTAAAAGAAAAAAAGGGGTTTCCCAGTATAACTGACAAGGCGTCGTTAGTGCATCCATCAACCCCAAGAGTCACCTCAGCCTTGACAAGTATGAAGGAGCCACCACAAAGAGCAAATATGCTCAAATACAGCTTTCTTTGCTCTCCCAGTATAACTGACAAGGCGTCGTTAGTGCATCCATCAACCCCAAGAGTCACCTCAGCCTTGACAAGTATGAAGGAGCCACCACAAAGAGCAAATATGCTCGAATAAAACTTTCTTTGCTCTCCCAGTACAACTGACAAGGCGTCGTCAGTGCATCCATCAACCCCAAAGGTCACCTCAGCCTTGACAAGTAAGAAGGAACCATCACAAAGAGCAAATATGCTCAAATAAAACTTTCGTTGCTGCACCCCTGAAGACAAGTTAACAAAACAAACAAGAAAATGAGACACCATGTCAAACAATCGAGAACACATCAAAGACTGCAGCGAGTACCTGCAGCCCCACTGACCATAAATTAGAGGTTTATGTAACCTCGTCATAGATGCTGCACAGTGTCTACATTGTAAGAAGATCAAATCACCTAAAATAGAAAATACAGAGAAAAGGAATCTTTTCCCCTACCCTCTAACAGCCAAGACAGGCCACATGGCTACATAAGATTACATGGTCTGACGACCAGTCACAATATTTATATCCTATATCTCATTTTTGTTGTCCACAATCGCATTTGTGTAGACAATCAGATCTAACATGAATGCTTTACCACCAAGCAGAATTGTCATCAGAAAAATGAGATCTACCTCTTTCCAGGTTTTGGGTATCGAGTCGACTCTCCTCTGGTTGCTTGTAAGAGCTAACACTGAAATTAGTCGCAGCATTATAACCCTGATCTGCGTTATTCTGAAAATTGTAAGCCTGCAGTTGACATCAATTAGTAAAGATATGAGAAACCAAAGAAAAGATAAGTTCCATTCCACACAAAAAAGAAGAACAAGGTTTCACCATGTCAGGATGATTCACTTGTTGAGTGTAACTTTCAGGGAGCATCGGGAGATGATGTTCGCCAATATCTTGAACTATGCCCAAGGAATTGCTTCCAAAACAAAGCTGCTGCATGCCAATATCGGAGTTATATGGCATACAGAAATGGCCCGGCACCAATTGTCCAGTTCCAATGGTTTCAGCAGGGTGATTTAAAGGGATATCAAGATCATTGAGCTCCATATAGGCAGCGTCTTGTGGAGCTTCTTGTGGCAGGATCACGGGGTTAAGACTATAATTAGCTCCACTACTTGCAGTGAGATCAGGTTCCAGCTGCCCTACTCTTGCCCAGAATTCGATGTCTCCAAGGCCGTCAAATATATCATTCCCATCAGTAAAAGCAGTAGGTGGAGCATTTACATCTTGGTGAAAGTTCTCTAGCTTCTGCTAAAGGAGGAATCTTAATCAATAATCATATAATTAAACAAGTTCCAAACATACAATAAATGTCATACGATTAGCTATGGTATAATATCTTGAAGTAAAAAGCAAGCAACTGAAACAAAACAGGCAATAAAACTATAGTTCCTAAACCCTCTGATAAAGCCATTTAATAGATGAGTTTTGACTACAGGCAGAACCTTGTTGAAAACCCTTAACCTCTTGTCATTTAACTTAAAAGCAGCCATACCAAGAATAGTCCAAACAGTATCAAGCTGTTGATATTGTCACAAACCAATCACTAACAACAAGCAAACTTCCATTTAACTGTACTTAGTCAAGCTCTGATTTAAAGCAAAACGGAGAGAAGAAACTAATGCAAACAGTAGAATAGACAACAAGGGAAGACTTAGCAAAATATTAGGAGGTGTATGTCCATGAAATTTTCACCTTTTTCCGGAGTTAAACGCCCACTAAAATGACATTCTATGACAAACATGCATTTGAATGTTAAAGCTCATCTCAATAGATTTATAAACACTACAGCATACGCACCTGATTAGTCTCATTACCACCAGAAAGCAAGGAAGTATCTTCTGTGAATTGGGTAAATAGACCAATCATCTCGTCATCTAGCTCATCAAGAGCCATCTCATTAGTACACATCTGATCATTAGATGGACCTGGACCAGGGTTGACCAGGCTGGTATCTACTGAACAACTCTGTTTCTTAGGCAGTATAGGCAGAGCAGAAAAAATATTGGACGATATCGCTTTTAGCTGATCTGAAGGCATCCAATTGATAGAAGATACATTGGACAGCTTCGGTTCACTAGGTAACTCCTCATCATCTGGTTCATCCAAAGGCAGTTCTTGAACAGAAGGCTGAATAGGAGATGGACTCAGTTCACTTGAAGGCCAGACAGATGTGCTTCCTGGGCCAACCACTCTGGTTGCATTTGAGTCGCTGGGTTTATCAGGCCTACCAGGTGGAGCTGGAAAAACATCTGAAGTACAAGGTTCAGCAGGAATCTTGTCATCTTCCCAATCTTCCTCCTTAAAAGGTGCTCCGTACTGTGCACCATTTTTTGGACCTGGCCCACTCTTCTGGAATACTTTACAAAGCACATATGAATCCTACAAAAACAGGTATTTTGATGAATGATAAGATTGGCTAACAATAAAACCATAGAATTTAAGGAACAAGAGATATCAATGTCTTTTTTTATGAAGTTGAAAAATTGATGACGAAAACAAAATGCTTGATGTAGGGACAATCTACAAACAAGGAACACAATATGCAATAGTTTTTCTGTTTATTAGATGTTTTCACCTGAGTTACACTAACTTTTCCCAATGCCAAATATATTGCTCAAGCATAGGCACCATGTGACATGACAAAACTTGAGAAAGCATCAAGAAAAAAGAAACAAAAGGTTCAAAAAAAATATGAGAATGACTTGGTAATGCTGAACTACGGACCTACCTACCAACTCATTGCTTTTTCTAATCCAAATCAATCCTGCAAGCACAGTACCATAGACATTGCAAGTCATGATCACCAAGGGAAGGATCAATGAGAAATAGATGCAATCTTTAGGAAGCTAAAGCTCTCTAAACAATGTAGGAGAGTTTGTCTCAGTACACTTCCATTCAAGGAAAATCAAAGATCTACTCACCAAGAAGAATTCAAAATTAAGAAACCCCAGAAGAGATAGTAGGGGACAACATATTAGGGAATGTCTCATCTTAATATTATCCCCACAATATTAAATTCCAAGAATGAGAAAACAACACACTTAACACGATGGTCCAGTCAAAATTCTTCACATATGGAAACTACAATAGCGCCATAAAGTTCTAATCAGGTTCTCGCGGATGGAAACTAACTAAATCCCATTTCGGTAAACCAAGTGCAAACAGAAAAAAGGGGAGAGAGAATACTCCAAGGAACTATCATTGGCTATGTGTACCTACTCTTACAAGAAAAAAGAACATAAAAAATGATAATAAGAGTTAGGTAGTAATTTAGCCAAGGTAGGATAAAAGTACCTGAGCAAATCCTGCATCAATTGATTCTTTATCTTCAAACTTGTATTCGTGAATTACCCAATCAGTTCTCTTCCCTTGCGGGGGATGACCTAGGTGAAAAACAAGTGTTTTAACTGATCCAACAATCTTTTCATCGTAAGTAACAGGCCTATCTTTCCCAGTAGTTTTCCAGTATCCAGTATCAGTAGCGCGATTCATTCTGCCTCCACTTGCATACTTTCTCTCCCTTGGGCAATAGAAGTACCACTCTAGATCTTTACTTTTATAGCAACATTTGTCTGGCAGAAGATATTAAAACATTACACAAAGTTGAAGAAAAACAAGTAGAATCCGCCCAACTTGAAAAGAAGGGTAAGCTTTTGGTGGAAGTTTGTTAAAAAAATTGATTTTGCTAAGCTTGGTTTTCCTAACAAAATAGAAATTTGAAGGAAAAGTATGCCAGAGGTAAGGGGTTCCTATATTGTTAGAAAAACCAAGCTTAGCAAAATGAAATTTTTTAACAACCTTCCCATATAAACTATAGACTGATACCTGGAAGGTCCCATGGGGAGAACTTGTAGATGTTTAGTTCTGTTATGCCTTCAAAATGAAGTTTTTTTCCCGTGATCTTTCGTTTGAGATAGTACATAATCAGCTCAACATCAGTAGGGTGAAAACGAAACCCAGGCGGAAGCCTAGCCATTGAAATGATCCAAAAAAAAGAGAACTAAATTCAAAGCAGCCCAAAAGGACACGCAGGTGAAATCTAGACTAAAAGAGCTATCTGCACAAAACACCAGAGCCTCCAAACCCACCCCTAAAACAATAAAAATCTCAACAGCTGTCAAGTCCAATGCCGAAACAATATCTTCCCTGAGCACCACAACCTTCTGCGATTCATGAAAAGGAATGCACTCCAAACAAAGAAATGATGCTTCTTGCTGGAGCCAACAGACATCTGGTGCACAATCAAAAACCTGTTATTCATGAAATCATCAGCCTCAGGTATCAAGACCTAATTATAAGAATTCAAAAGAAGCTCCACTAGATCACTGCGTGCAAAGTAGACATCTCCATAACCAACACAAATAACAAAACAATCACAGATTGACAAACACCAAATTGACAATAAAACAAATAAACAAACTTTATCTAGGAATAACTTAAGCCCTAATCGCTAAATTTGAACACCGATTCACCTGGATGAGCACAACTAAAATCAATTACAGACACATTCTCCCCATTTAAACTTCACATGGTAAAAATAGGAAGAGCCCAAAAGACAAAGAAAAGAATCGGTAGTGAGGGAAAAAAGCAGAAGAACTACACCACAGGATATCAGAAAATAACCACTGTGATCAAACCCTTAAAAAGCCCCATATACAAATTTCGAAAAAAAAAGAGAATAAAATTTGACAAAACAATCATCAAAAGAGAACAAAATCAAATCAAGAATTGCTGACGAGTAACTTACCCAGATAGGAACCAAATCGGAGAAAGCAAAAAACAGCCTAAGGGAACAGAATCGGAAGGCAGAGGAGATATATAACACAACAAAAAGGCAAAAAAGATCAAAAAATTGACTAAATTAAAATAGCAATAATCAACTTCCAATAGAATCAAATATCCTAAATATTAGACCTTGATAATAAAGCAATAGAAGTACAAAATATATCAGTTCAAGGTAACAACAAAATACACAGAAATGGGCAACACAAGAACCACCCCACCTCCCTTTACTACCCATCAATACAAGTTCTAAAAAAAACAATAAAAAGGGGGGAAAAAAAAACTTCACAAAATAACCATTAAAAGAGAACAGAATCAATTGACTAAATTACCATCACACTAATCAACCAGTAGAATCAAAAACCCCTAAATAGAGATTTCAACAATAAAACCAGTTCAAATGCAACAACAGAAACACAGAAATGGGAAAAACAATAAAGAATCGCAGTGATCAATCAATCCCTCAAACCCCACATACAAATTTCAAAAACAAAACACAATAAAAAGGAAAAAGATCATTTTTTGACTAAATAACAATCAATGGAGAACAGAATCAATTGCCTAAATTACAATCGCAGTGATCAACAAGTAGAACCCAAAAAAAAAAAAACCTAAATACACATTCCAACAATAACGACATATAGAGAAGAAAACTAAACCAGTTCAATATATCAACAAAAACACAGCAATGAGCAACACAATAAAGAATCGCAGTAATCAATCAAACCCTTCAAACCCCACATACAAATTCCCAAAAAAACACAATAAAAAGGAAAAAGATCAAATTTTTACTACATAATCATCAAAACAGAACTGAATCAAATCAAGAAAAGTCGAAAAGTAGCTTACCCAGATACGGACCGAACCGGAGAAGGCGAAAAAACGATGGTGGGGTGGTGGAGGAAGTGAAGGGGAAGGCGGAGGAGAGCTACAAGTGAATCAAAATTGCAGTGTTAGTAGGGTTTATATAGGCAGAGGGTTTTTTAAGCAAAGAGCCTTCTATGGTAATCTACAGTTTTTGATTGGTTCACTACATTCATACTCTATTGGAGGGCATTTTAGGGAAAAGAATAAACTTAATCAACATTTACATTTCTATAATTAATAAGTTTAATTATGTAATTCGCTCCGTTCATTTTTATTCGTTCAATATTTGATTTGACACCCCTTCTTTAAAAATTATATAATTATATCCTATTAACATTTGAATATTATAAATTTTAATATTTCAAAAAATTACTATAGGTAATAATAAAAATAAATTAGAAACTGAATGATAAATTTTTCTCAATTTTTTAAAGTGGGCATGAGTTTTTAGTTTGTTAAATAAGTACAAGTGAACAGATCGAGTAATTGTGTAGGTTGCGTTTCTTAAATATATGTTATTATCTTTTTGTTATTATATTTCTTTGTTTGCTTAGTATCTTGCAATTTTGTTATCATATTTACTATCATGCTTTAAATTATGATAAAATATACGTATATTTTATTCTTTTGTTACTCAATTACGAAATTATATTATATATATTACTCCTTGTAAGTTGTTTGTATTTTGCTTAAATAATTGACCCCTCCACTAATGAATTCTGATAAATGTAGAAATTATCTCTAAAATTTATTAAACCACTACAGCTCATTACTTTCACTAATTTTTTATATTATTTTACGAAACTAGAAGTATTATTTTTATTTTTTATCGTATATACTTATTGACCTGGTCAAAGACACATAAGCAATGACATAGTTGTGATACTTCATCAACTCATCATCATCTCTCATTATGTCACCAATCCACCATACTATAATCTTTTATTTTCTCTAGTCAATTGTATGAATTATATGTATTAATTGAAAAGAGAGTTGCTCGAATGGTAAGCACTCCTTACTTCCAATTTTAAGGTGGTGACTGTGAGTTCGAGTCACCAAGAGATAAAAAGGTGAAGGCTCTTGAAAGGAGTTAAAAGAAAAGTTATGTATACTAAGATTTTTAAAGTATTCTTAAAGGTTTGTAGTCCGATAAGTACAAGAACATGACAAAATTGTTGTAACTACATAGCCATGGCAATGTATTTTCGAACTGCTTTTCAACCATAAAGAGATTTTGGTACCAAAACTTGAATATATGATAAAGTCCTTCCATTTCAAATAGTTCAGAAGCAAAAATTAGCCATTTCTCTTTTTTTTTTTTAAATATAAAGGAATTCAAATGCCAAAATGAAAATGAAACAAATTATTCTATCATTCACATTGAAATGAAAATACATTAACAATTCTTGTCATCGGTATTTGATGATATTAGTACTAGAGTGCATTAAATCGAAATTCTATATTGCTTCTTTAGTTCTCGATCATACTCCTATCCTTGTGAGACCAAAAAATTATTTTCGATAGACCCTAAGCTCAATCAGGACAATTTGAGCATTTAGCAACCTATCGTGAGAATTCGTCGATCAAAGATTGCAGTAAAAAAAGGTGTGGTGGACAAATTGCACTATGAAGAGGTGTGGTGGACAAAAAATATTATACATTACAACTCTGCTGTTTCAGATATCTCCTGGTGAACACAAAGAATCAAAGACTTGAAAATCAAGAAATAGCCGGCAGCAATTTTCCTACTGCTAATCTAAATAATGCTTTTGACAGAATAAAAGGAAAAATGAAGAACAAAATTAAAGCAAAGAAGCTATTGTACAAACCAAATATCATGTTGCACCAGCAAACTCATGATTCAATTCAAACAGCCGTCTCTCGCGTTCTGTCAGCTAGCCACCACTGTTGCATTCTCTTACACACAGCTCTGTACAGTATGTACCCACGGGTGGGTATACTCGACAAATCTCTTCACTGAATCTTGAGACAACCCATGCCTTTTGTCCAATAATCTTGAAAATTGAGTGAAACTAGAAATTAAAGCTCTTCTTGAAGAGAGCTTGCACCTGGTACATTTCAATACAACATTCGCAGGTACAACTACAAATTCCTCAGAAAGAGAAGCAAACTGCAAGGACAAGCAATCCTTTAACCTCGACTGAATCAGACGAACACATCCATATAATGAATTGCTCTTTCCCAACCAAGCCCCTCTCAGCAAACTAGTTAAAGATCGGTTCTCTTCACACGTATAGTCAGGTTTCGGTGTGGATAACTCACTTTGACCTCATAATATCCCATTTAAGACCCTCTGATAATAATCATATTGACGAGTACGCCACGCATCCAAGCTACTGCTAATCAAAGAAAGTACCAAGGAAACACATTGCTGGCAAAGACAAACAGAGCATAATGATCAGGTAGATGATAAAAATAAGGAATTAATTAAGTGCAGGACCAGTAAACAAACCTCTTCTGTTAAACTAAGATGAAATCTCTTTCTTAGGTTCTGAATTGTTCGGGGACCACCCTTGAAACAAGGGTAACCAGAATCCTGATATAAAGATCAAAGTGAAACAAATTATGCGTTATTAGGAGATCAATGTTTAAATTCAATAAAGACGAAACAGTGTTTGACGAAGCAAGTATGCTTAGTAACTCAATCACATGATACAACAGTCCAGCTAAATAGGATTGAGAACAGGAATACAAATTGTGTAAGCCAATCCAGGGAAACAACATGGCCCCCCATATGCCAATCAAGGGAAATAACATGACCGTGCCCAGATAGTAAACAAGAAAATAGCTCATCTCAGAAGTGCCCTTAGACTATCGCTCATCCAACCTTCACAAACAACATTCAAACTGTCATTTCCAGTACTAACCCTGAAGACAAAGATTGGGAAGAAGCTACAGATTCATTAAGACATGCAAGATCAATCATAGAGTTTCTTCTTTCATTCTATATAGCCTGTTTAACTCTAAAGTAAGCACTTCTTAAATAGTAAGCTTTTGGCTTCCTAGAAGTTTGGCTAAACAAACTATTTATCTCACTTGTGGATGTATGATGTTTAAGAGGTTCTGAGATTCTCTGTGATGATTTTGCTTTCTCTTATGATGGATCATTCTGTTTAACTTTGGATTAAATTGTGTTCCTTTCTGATACTTCACAATTAAAAAAAAAAAAAAAGATAAAGAAAAGGTTAAGAAAAAGATGAGATGAAATGAACTGAAAGGGAACCTCCTCAACCCATTTGTAAGCCCAACCAAGTTACACACCCAAGAGGATTTTTAAGTATCCCCTTTTCTTTTTCTGAAATAGGTAACTTAGGATTTTAAAGTATTCCTTGTCTTCTTACTTTGTAAAGTGGCTGGCCAGCTGTGGAAATTGTTTACTAGCTTCAGAGGTATAAGTTGGACTGTTCCAGGGAGAACAGGACAGGCTCTAGAAAGCTGGAATATGGAGGGCAGTGGCAGCACAGACGAGTAGATGGAAAATTGTCCCAGCTGTTATTTGGTGGACCATATGGAAAGAAAGGAATTCTAGGAATTTTGATAACAAGAGCAGCCCTCTGCACAAGATTAAAATGAACTGCATTATCACTTTTTGCTATTGGTGTAGTTCAGAGTATATAGATGACCCTGTGGCTATTGTAGACATTCTAGGGTCCTTATAAAGATGAAAGGAGGATCTAGGGATAGCTTCTCTTTTTTCTTCTTTTCTTTTCTTTATCTTTTGTTTATGCCCGACACACATGTGTGGAGGGACGATATGATGTAAATTTTGGATACCAGCTTTGAGCTGATGATTGATATACAAATGTTACCTTTATCAAAAAAAAAAAAAAGTATTCCTTGTCTGTCATCGGCTGTGCAAGGTTTCTAATGAAGTTTATAACGGTCCTGAACTACTTATTACCCAAAAATTTATAATGATACTGAACAAGTTTCAAGGTTTAGATGCTCGGGTTACTTCATAGTACTGTTCCATACAACTTACCTTCCACTTCGTTTGGCATCACTTAGCCTATAATGACACTCCTCCAATTCAACCATCTTATTTTTTTTATGATACTCTTCTTCTGGAGGACTAATCTAGATATATGATTCTTCCGTGTTTTGACACCAAAATCTCATCCAATATGACTTCGCCGTTTTCTTATAATTGCAACTACACTTGCAGTGCTTATATTATCTTAATTAATGAAACCATCCTAAAACCGAACATACTTTTTTCTGCAAATAGAATGCCATGAAACGTCATCCTAAATACTATTGGTTAGCTCATTCATAAACAAGCACAAGTTTAGGCAGTTACTTCATCTAAAGCAACAGTTACAGGAACTGCCTCTAAATCTCCTCCCTGTGTTGTCACACTTGTGAATAATCCCTCATACATATCCTATACTACACTTAAATGGATTTCTTTCTTTTCAAGCACCATCAAAAGGCTTCTCTGCACTCCATCATATCCTTTCTCTTAAGTTAATGAATACTATATGGAGATCCTTCTTCCTTCCCAGTAAATTTCAATCAATTTTCCTTAGGAAAATATACATTCTTTGTTGTAAATCCTTGGTCTTCTCCAAATAGATCAACTCTACCAGTATAAAGGAATTTGAAGATTCAGAACCAAAGCCTTATGATGAAATGGCTATGGAGACTAGCATCCAGTGAACAAGCACTATGGAAAGAACTTATCAAGCAGAAGTATGAAATGGAGAATCACTGGTCTACCAAAATGGTCACTAGTACTTATGGAACTAGCAGAAGTATGAAATGGAGAATCACTGGTCTACCAAAATGGTCACTAGTACTTATGGAACTAGCATCTGGATGGCCATCAGAAACTTTTGGCCAAAATTAAGAGAAAATTGCAGCATTAGAATAGGAAATGGCATGAAGGTCTCCTACTGGGAGGACAGCTGGTTAGAACAAGGCTCCCTAAAAACCCTCTTCCCAGATATCTACATTCTGAACCAACAACAAAAAGACACTGTGGCAGAAGTTTGGTCAAATCAGGGATGGAATTTGAGTTTTAGAAGGCCCCTAAATGATTGGGAGATCCAAAGACTAGTAGATTTCTTTGGAATCCTTGAACAATTCAAAGGAACCTCTACCTCCCAAGATGGATTGTTTTGGAATCATAACTGCAACGGAAATTTTAGTGTGAAGGAAGCTTACAAAAAGTTCAACTCTTTCACCCATCAGATTACTGTCTGGCCATGGGAACTTATCTGGAAAGTTAAAATACCTCCTAAAGTGTCCTGCTTCACTTGGCTACTAGCAAAGCAGGCTGTTTTGACTCGGGAGAACCTCATGAAAAGGGGTATCCAACTGAGTCCTAGGTGTTTCCTGTGTGGAGAAGAGGCTGAAACAGTTAATCACCTCTTTCTTCACTGTAGGATCACTAATATTTTGTGGAGCATTTTCATCAATTCGAAGGGCCTACTTTGGGTGATGCCAAGAAATATTGTCCAGGCCCTGAAGATATGGAGTAGCTTTGCCTACATTTCTGGTCATAAAGAAAGATGGAAGATCATCCCCACCTGTATCTGGTGGTCTGTGTGGAAAGAGAGGAACCTCAGATGCTTCCAGAACAAAAGTAACAGCATCGAGAAGATGAAGATGAATTGCTTGGTTTTATTTCAATTTTGGTGTAAACAGGAGTATATGGAAGATCTAGAATCAGTATTGAATGCTTTAGGCACCTTGTAATTTTTGTTATTTAGGATTGAAGATCTTCCTGATACTCTCCTTTTATTTGTAATTAGTAAACCTGTAACAAATTGTGGCAGGTTTGATTTTTTGGAATATAATACAAGACTGTTACCTTCTCAAAAAAATAAAATTCTCTATGGGTAGAAAATACAAAATGAATGAGGTAAATTTTTCTCCTCTACTGCCAATTTATGAGACACAAATGGTAGATTCTTGATTCTGTTTATGACAGCTATATGATCTTTATAAATTCAGAAGAAGACAAAAGTGATGCTCCCAAACACATACCCCCTTAAATAAGAAGTAACTAACATCTTCAGATCTTCTCTTGATACCGTGACAAGTCAAAGAAGTATATTTTAATTTGGGATATCGAGGAGCAGTACCGTAATTTTGTACTGCATCTTTGACAGTTCTTTTTCTTGATAGGTGCATCTTTGATGGTATTTTAGAGATTAAAAAGATTAAAGTTGGAGAAAAGTCTTCCTTTGTAAAGGCTTAGCCTGCCAAATATGGAAGTCTAAGATACTGAAAAATGGGAAGTTTGCAGCATTAGAACTACAGGACATTTCTAATCCTTTCCCAGTTTTACAAAATTCCCCCAGTCCCCATTCCACCCTCCATGGTAAGTGAGATTCATATATCAGAAACCAAGGTTTTACATAGTATTAAATATATAATGAAATTATCAATGGGAACTGTGTATCAGGGTCTACCTGTAGCATCTCGACAAGAAGAATTATACGCTCTGCGTGCTTCCGACATGTGAGAAACCCTTGGATGCATAGAACCTGAAGACAGGAAAAAAGGCTTAAAGCACAAAAAATACAAAAAGAAGTCCAGATACAAAATACAACTCAGTAAACAATAAATTACTTTGAAATAATCAAAGAACTCGCTTGGAACTCCTTCAGCATCAGAATCCATGATCTAGCACAAATCAACCACAACATATGCTGAGAAACTGTATCAAACACCTCCAGAAGATAAAATAAAGGGTAGAACTAAAAAGTTAGACACGAGATTCTTCAGCAGCACATACCTCAAGAAGTTCACGTGTCAATTTAAATGGTGCACTTTCAAAATTTACACCTCCAGGTGAATTAGATAGCATGAAACCAAAGTCAATGTGTATGATATGTCCTTCTTCATCCAATAGAAGATTTCCGTTGTGTCGATCCTTTATCTAGCAACAGAAGCAAAAAGACTGGTAATCATTGCAATACCTACTGTACTAGAAAAGTTAATTTTGCAGAGATTCATAGTAGCCACATTAAGAAAAATCAAAGAAAAAAAGGACAGATTTCAATCATGCAAAAACATTTCTGGAACCCTTGACACAACAAACATTTGACACTGAGAAACAAGTGAACATTTGAGTGAGTGTGTCAAACGGGAGTACAAAATAACGCACTACACAAACTCATGCTGTTACATCACAAATAGCACACAGCCATTACTTTTCTTTATAGCTAAGTGAACAGCATATTAAAACAAAAAAAGCACAATAATTGTGTTGTGACTTGTCAGTAACATTATGATATCCTTACATGTGTATCTATTTCCATATCCAGGAACCTTAGAAACAACTAGTTCCGACTAATCAAATGTGAGAGGAAACTGAGGAAGTCTAAAAGCTGGATATCCACACCGTATACAGAGGTAACTGAGGAAATCTAAAAGCTGGATATCCACACCATATGCATTCTTCATGCTGCACCTGATGCTAAGAGGGATAAGACAATGGACTTCAGTTTGTGAATTCTCTCTTTTGCCTTCGAAACATCTGAGATCCCTTTCTTTTCAGATGGCTCACCAATAGCATGCAACCATTATGATTGTCATAAATCACAATTAGTTGATTAATTGAATCTGAACTAGAGACGGAATCCATGAAGACTTTTCCTAAGGAAACAGGAAAACCAACTTTTGGGCAACCCACCCATGGAAAACTAACATTTAGCATTTCTCTACACATTGCGACATGTCATACTCTTTATCCTTGAATAACAACAGCACCACTTTTTCTACCATTGTGACACATACTACCATGAAACATTCTCATTTCTTAATGGAGAGTCTGGTGTAGTATAATTGTAAATGTGACAGATAAGTCTTTGTGACAAATATACAACTTGAAGAAGAAACCTAACTGTTTCTGGCTTTGCAAGGCCATATCTCCCTGCTTGTCCATTTTCTGCTATTTGATTGTGTTCTAGCTCTTCCATTCCATCCCTTTAGAATTAAATTTTGCCCAATGCTTTTTAGCTCTATTTCTTGCATTCAGTGCAAAGTGCAAATTTTATTGTCTAATCAGCAGTTCCATTTTCATCTTTGAATTACAATGGAAGTTGCAGACAATGACAGTTGTCGTCAAAGATATGATGGACTGTACAGAACCTGTTTAGTTGAGCTAGGCCTTCAAGGGGGGGAGAAGAAGCAAAGAAAGGAATGTAGCTCCTTTGCACTAATGTGGTAGTGCAGAGAGGGAAACAAGAGAGCCTTGGGGAGGAGAGCAGTAGAAATTACTATTGTATAGATGGAGGGGATAGTCTATGTTTCTTCGTAATATTCAGCGCCACGTAATCCCTGCTAGCTTAGATGTCTGGTAAAATGTAAAAATCATAGTTTCGAATAGGTTCTCAACTTCTTGTTTACTACTTGAATACCAGGTGTTCCCATTTGATCAATACAAGTGTTACTTCATCAGAAAAATCCAATCACTTTTAAGACAAGCGTTGGCATACAGATTTAGTTGTTTTTTACCTTTCAAACACATCTTTTTCCAATTTTCATCTCTTCTTTTCAATTTTATGGGTATTGGGGCGCAAGAAGAGACTAAGATGTGCAATAAATAATCAAAGGATATGGCTAGCATGTAGCCCATGTAAAATGGATCTATTTTGGTGAAACATATTAGAGAAAAAAGCATCTGCTGACAACAGAAATATATGATCTGTGTTTAATGCTTCTTTATGCAATCATAAAATTATACAGAGATAAGTCATTCAATTCACCTGCAAAAGGTAGCAAACCAGAGAATATCCAGCCATGCTTTCAACGAAATTTCTCTGCATGTAGAAAAATAAAGGAGGACAAAAATGAGTCTTTTTATTTTACAAGTCCCAAGCCCAAGTGAAATTACGAAAAGGAAATTGAAATGCGAGCTAAGCAAACCATAAGAGAGAAACCCTTAACTATTCAACTAGAATTATACAATGAAACAGGTTAAAATTGTTGGAAGCATTAACTTATCATCCAAACAATCTCCCAAGAGAAAATCCCTTCGAAAATGAAGGCTCAACAACAAAGATACAACTTAATTTAGTAAAACTAATTGCAGTCATTGACTAGAGCACATCAGTCCATAATTTTCTTCTCTACACTTATTACCCAAAAAATAAGGAACATAAATGACAACTAGTCGATAAGGAGTGCTTCCCTCATCATATACGCACTTTTATTATGCTTCAAAGTGAAGCGCACAGGAGTCCCCAAACTTCCGACACTTCTGGCATTCCAAATATATTTTAAAGCGAGAAGCAAGAAAGTAATATGCCTCCCGGAGAACAAGAAATGAGAAACAAAGCACACCCTTGTTTGAAGTAATGTGCACAATTCTCATATACAAAATTACAAATGTTAATTTTGTAATAAACATAATTAAATTCAATATCCAATATCGCAAAATGACTACACTAGACCCAACCCAAACCAAAAGTAGGGCCGTCTGCTATTGAGTAGCAGTACCTGAATAGTCCTACATGAGGGGGGTGACAATGCAAGGTAGGGGAAAGAGGAGAGGCCTAATACCAAGGTCAGCAAGAAGGCCAATATATATGGTAGAGGAAGGTGGTAGAAATTAAACGGAGAGGGTTGTAAGGACTGCCCTGGAGGGTAGGGGGTAGGTGGAGAAAGTGATGAGTTAATAAAAAATAAGAGGCTAAAAGTGGAGAAGATCAAGAAAGAGGATAAGCAAGGACTATAATGGTTTCCTCCATCTCCAATATGACAAGGCACAATGTGAGAAAAGACTCATCAGAGTGGGAACTTCAACAATTGCAAAGGCTAGTGTAGGGTGAAAAAACACTTTAACCAAAACAGAGCCAACAACATATTCAGCCTTGGTGGCCAGGGTTACTCGGTACATGTGCTGGTAGGAGGTAGCATGCACCTGGTGGAAGCGCAATCTGACCCAAACACTACCATCACTACAAAAATATTTTTTTCCCTTTTTCCTTGGTTCAGTAAGGCTTTCATTCCAACAAGCTCTATCATGCTTCAACTAGACACAGAAGATAATTATCTAAAAGATCAACACAGAACATAAGCACTTAGTGGGTTGCTTTACTACAATTACCTCCAATAGAAACAGGGGAAGTATAAAACGAAGGCACCTTTGAGAAATTCAAGACAGTAGTAAATCACAAAGGCTACAAACTTTTTTCATTACGACGTTTACCTGAGCAAGCTTAAAGGTAGGAGAATTCTCCTGATACTTGGCAACATAAAATTCACGTAGACTTGTGATGTCAGGAAATCTACTTTTGATAGAATGAATTGAGGCCTGCAGAACAATGATTAAAACCGCTGTCACGAATATTCACAACAAATAAAGAACACTCAGGTTATCAAGAAAAAAGCAACAATTTACCGTATCTGGAATTGTTTCAATTAGAGCAGTATAAGAGGATGTAACTAAGACTTCATAAGGACGCAACCAAAGCGGCAGACCAGCTTCCTGGAAGATATCTACCATTTCAAAATACTCAAACAATATGAGCAAGTAACTTGAGAGCATAAAACATAATTCAAGGTCAACAGTAAAAACATTAATCTCCACTGACATTGGCATATCTAGGAATGAAACCCTAGCTATAGACCTAACAAATGCAGGAGGATGGGGAGAAAAGGTCAATCTTTCGGTAGAAAGTTTATCGGGAAAGAACAGAAGCCTTCTTGTGAGCTAGTAAAGATGTAAAAATACCGAAGAAATGACTCCCATAATGAATTAAGGTAATTGACAAATAAGCATAGTATTTACCAAAATCATTTCCTGAAGTTTATTCATTAATGATGACAATCATTGTCTTATTTCATTTTTATCTTTACATGTGCTCAATACTATTCTTCACTTTATACAACTCTGTTGTCACATTAGTTCAAGGTGAGTTAAATATGATTTTCACTAGAATATTAAGAGTTCTAATTGCTTTTGTATTCACCGAGTATTTTAAACATTTTTCAAATTACGAAAGACGGTGATCACAAAGACAGGAATACACAGAAGAGGACTGTGTGCCTTATACCAATAAAAAGCTCAAAACAAATAAATGTGAGTCCCAAATCGACTTGTTGGATATCATAAAGCCAACTATTTTACATATTTTACACCAGACAAGAAAATATGTACATGATGATTATCTATGTGAATAATACCAATTAAGTAATATATCCCTGCTTAAGGAACCAACCTTGCAACCCAAATCCCAATTCAACCTGTGAGGCCTATAAACAAGGTTGAATATCTACTAAAAATAGGCTAACTTATAGCGGTGGTGTTCGGACCAACTTGTGCACACCCTCAACTATTCCATGCGGATATGTACTACTTATCACCAATATAAGTATTGGGTAATTTTTCTCACCAAACAGAGAAAGATCGACAGAACTCATCCAGCAATTTTTTTCTGTTGGGATTGAAACTCTTGAGTGCACAATCATCATGTTGAAGAAAATAGAGAAAACCTCAATATGATAAAAGATCGCCTAGCTAGATAAGCCCTCATATAATTTGACCTCCTCTTTCAAAATTCACTTGCTTAAGGAACAAATGTTACTCGCACATATAGCTCTGCTAACCAAATGTTTCAGTACTTCGTATCATAGTACTATATAAGTGTGATGAGCAAGATTTGACTTACTTGAATTCCTCATTCATTTCTCTAGGCAAAGTTTGTAGTCATCAAATTTTTCAGAATATTTCCTTTCCTAAGCTTCTTACGAATTACTAGATTACCATATTTATTATGCCATGTTCTACATCTGTTTCGTGACCATATGCAAGAACTTCGCCTATATTACCTTGAGTGCTAGTTTTTATCAAATTGATTTCTTTTTAAAAATTTCCTGCATCCAAATGCATTTCAACCTTTAAATTTTAAGATCTTCGTACTGAATATATTTTAGAGCAAAAGCAAAAAGATATTACCACAAAAAACATTCTGCAGAAGGCACGAAAAAAGATTAAGAAAGCAGATATGAGTTACATGACAACTGGTCCCATGCTCTCTTATTTATAACAGTTCATGTTAAGGGAAGAGTTCTAGACCTCTACTAAACTCAATTCAATAACTCAGTAATAACTCGGGGTCAGGGAACATTTATAATGAGCTACCCCCACCCCACCCCTACCCCCACCCCCACCCCCTCCCACCCCACAGTAATATAATATCAGATCCTCCTTACATATCCCCTCATCCAAAAGTTGCATTGGCTTCGTTAAGACAAAAAAATTAAAGCAAACAAAGCCAAAGCTATCTAAAAGCAAAAAGGTACCGCAAAATAAAATAGCAAAAAACATAACCTATAAAGAATACCAATAATTACACAACAATGGAAGATCTTTGAATCCAAGATACTTACCGTAGAAGTGGGAGATAAGTTGTACAGCAAGATGCTCCTGTCTGCAATCATCACCACTCTTCACGATGAACTATATGAACGCCAGAAATTAAGCATGTTAGCTGCTATTCAAAGAAAAACATAATATGATATTGAGAAACAATTGTATATACCCCAAAGTATAGAATAAAAGGAAGCAGCAAAGATAATGGAGAAAATTTTGTGGACTCAGAAAATTCTTTAAACAATCAATTATCAACTTAATTTTGTCTCACTTCATCCCTGTTTTTCTGGTGACAAAAGGAATGAAAAAATAACAAAGATAAAAAGGCACAAGGGAAAACAAAAAACTTGTGGGAGAAATGCTTGAAATTTTTGAGGTTCTCATGGGAGTTTGACAAGAATACTCAGCCTAATTATGTGGGTTCTCTCCCTTACACCTGAGTGAAAATCCAAATGTGTATTCAACCTGACTTGAAAGAATTATATAAAGATAGAGCACAAGTATTTTTGGACTGGGAAACATACTTCAGGTTTTATGATTTAGCTAGGCTAAGATCTTACTGGACTTCTTTGTAATTATAAGAAATCTATCCTTTGGACATAGGTTAGTACTAACCAACAGTGTGCTAGACCCTTAACCCCCCGCCCCCCTTTTACCATGTCTTTGTTCCCTCTGCTGACTCAGGTGGCAAAAGGATGAATAGATTCCTATGACAAGGCAAGAGGGAAAAAATAAGACATTTAATTTGGTAGAACAGGAACCGTCTCAACTGAAAAGAGCACAGGAAGTCTGAATATCAAAGACTTGAGAGCTCAAAGTACCAGTTTGCAGCATAAATGGCTTTGGAGATTTAACAATGGGAGGGGGCTTTATGGAGGAAGGTTATTGTAACCAAATATGGCTCAACTCTTGAATTAAGGAGCAATCATAATACATGTGGCATCTGGAGACATAGGAGCACACTGGGACTCCTTCCAATCCAAGACCTCAATAGTATTTGGAGACAGCAGGAAAATGCAAATTCTGGCTAGACACTTGGCTTGACCAGTAACCCCTAAAGGAATAGTACCATCTTTGTACAATGTGGCACGAAATTCTGAAGCTCTCTAGTCAGATTACTGGATTGAACAAGGCTGAAACATCAAGTCTACGAACAATACCAATGACTGCGAAATGGACAGCTTATGTCCTGATGTCCATCGCTTCTCAGATGTCATAAGATCCCTCTCAGTTTGCGGACAGATACTATACAGTGGAAATCCAATGCTAAAGAAATGTTTACTGTCAAATCTTGCAACCAGCAGCCAAAGCCCACTGTTGCTGATAACTGGCCTTCGAAATGCATCAGTAGAAACAGAGCACCACTGGAAGTTGAATGATGTGCCTGGTTGTTAGCCAAGGAAGCCAACCTTACGCACAAGAATCTACAGAAAAATGGGAATAAACATCTGCAGTAGGTGCTGCCTTTGTCAGAAACAAAATGAGGATGACAAGCTTTTTTTTTTCTTCATTGCTCTTTCACCTCCCAGATCTGGATCTTCTTTTTTAACATTCTGAGTGTTGCTTGGACCATGCCAAAGACCACAAAGGAGCTATTACAATGCTAGCACTTGAAAGGATTCCAAAAGACGGGAAAACATGGATGGTCAGTAATAGGTGGACTGTTTGGAAGGAAAGAACACGAGTTTTCGAGGCAAATGGAATCTGTAATTAGCATTAAGCATAGATATACATCTTCACTGTTTTTGGTGCAACCTAGCTATTTCAAATTATGTAATGTGTAACTGAATATCAATGAGTTACATTTACCAATGAAAAGATCGCTAGAAAAAGCTGAAACCCATTATGTGTACATTATGTCTATTATTTTTAACAGGGAATATGTATATGATACATATCATAAGTAGATTTATATGTGTATGTCCGCATGTCCTAATCATTAGCAGCTAATTACGAGCATTAAGTAGAGAAACAAACAATTTTACCAAGGATCAACCTTTCTCTTTATACATAAGGCAAGCACACATGTCATACTAACTTATCAAAAATTACGAAGAAAATATTAAGGAGACAACAATAAAAATCAGATGGTGGGACTCACAGATCTCAAGTCCCACCCAGGTAATTTCCCATAACCAGAGCATTTGCGTATTCTTTCCTTCTTGACTTCCCAGAGTTCTCCAGAAAGTGCATCACTAACCTTGGGAAGACCACCATTTGTGACCTGTTTTCAATGAGATTATCATGCACATGGAATAATAGGTTCTATTTAGAAGAGGAACAACATCTGACAACGTCTCTACCTTAGGTTGTGCATCAGATGAATCCTGACCAGCACCTTTCAAAGGGAGTCCAGGAGGTGCTTCGCCTTTTAATGCAGCTAACTGTAAAGAGAACCATGTTTGTGATTTCTTCATGTATGGAGAGGTATCAAAGGAACAAGTAGGACACATGAACAAAATTATCATGAATGGTGATATTTATAGAGCACCATCTATCCCAAAAGATGAAAATATCAAAGAAACAACGGTAATCATCTTTCAAAAGAAAATCCCAGGAAGGAGTTAGAACTTAGAAGACATCACATGAGATCTCAGACTCAACGAGCAACAAGATGCCTAACTTAACAGAAGATTATGACCTGTCTTTTGCTTGACAAAGAATAACAGTGCATCAACACCTACTCATCCAGCACTCAGTGACATTAATGTCTCCACTAGAAAACAGCATAGAAGAAGATAATGTTGAACTAATACATTCAACATAAAAAGCTCCTCAATTTCATAAAAAAATTCAGTTTCAGTTCTCACCAGAGCAGTTAAAACTAACAAATTTGCAACGATGGATCAGAACTCCAAGCTCTGTGACTTTGGGGGCGTGGTTCATCCTTATCTAATGGCTCCCAACAAGCACCATATTATCCATTATCTTTCTCCACTAACCCTAGATTTCTAAGAAAATGCAACTGCTTAGCAGTGTGATCCTACTACTAAAACTGATGGGGGTGGATGTCCACCTGATCCCCTCTTAATAGATCAAAACAGCAGCATATCTAGCTATAACGTCCCGGTGACTTAAACATACTTCTTTAATGTCTTGATGCATAAATATGAAGGACAATTGATCATATAGAGGCTAGACCAGAAGCATTGATGAAAAGACAAATAAAGAAAGGCATTCACGTAATTCACGAAGATCAGATATTACACTTGATCTTATCCAAAAGGCAGTACTGCATCTCATGAAGATCCAATAAGTATACAGAAACTTCACGCAACGAGTGTAAAAGAATTTTCACATATGCAGCAGAGATGAAGATTACCTTAACTTCCTCGATGGCTACTGTACTGGGAACCCTTCGATGCTCTTTCTTTCTTGGTGGTTCTTGGTCCACTATATCCTCCATCCTAACACCAGGATCTACAGTCAAGACAACCCGTACCCATTCTGAATCAATAGCATCTGACTTCAATGGAAGAGATGGGACCTCTCTGCATTTACTATAACTTTCTGAAGCAGAACCAAGGCTGCAATGATCTATTGCAGACTCTGATTGCATCTCTACCGAAAAATTCACTCGCACAAATTTCACTTTAGCATCCCATAATTGAGCCATTGCTTGGTCTATGGCCTGAGATGCAGACCTTGACATTCTGTCATTGTGGTTATCCTGTCCTATCCAAAGAGGATAAGCCCAAGGAGGAGGCTTTGGCAATAGAACATCTCCATTTGCCAGAGGGATCCCTCCCTTAGATAGCTTTTGAGAGTTGGATGTGTCTTTTAAACTGTCATTTGCATGAAAGTGAAAAGGAAGGAACAAAAATGAGGCAGTGGTAAACAGAAACAAGCCTGTTAAAAGTAAGTCTGTCTTTGGGTCATAAACGTTATCAACTTACTTGGGGCTTTCACATTTTAAAACTTCAACACATATCAAATAAGGAGCCTTTTCTCTTGAATTCAAGAGAACAGCTTCATCTTCAGGAATATGAAGAACACGATGCATCCCCTTTCCCATCGGAAAGCACACTCCTGTAGCATATCCAAGAAATTAAGACAACAGAATTGAAACTAAAGCTGCAAAGGAGATATATCTTGATTGAACTGAGAGTGGCAAAGGGGATATATTTTGGCCAAATTTGCGTCCACGTGAACTGAAATATAAAAGTAGGACAACTGTCATAGCCCACATTACATTATATCGTACAATCTTAATATACGAGACTCGCTGCCAAATCGAAAACTCTGCCTATCTGTTAAATGTCTTCAGAACCTGATTTTTTTATAACCTGCTTTTACAGGTAGATCCTCCATTTCATTAATACTTGATCAGCCTTCACACTCAATCTGCCTGAATTCACGCGACCAATTTAAATGGTAAGACATTCTAACTTCAAATATTAAGACTAATACTCCTGATTTCCCACTTTTTTTTGACCCACCAGCAATACACAAGGTGAATAAAACTGCTTTGACCTCATACAACAACAACGATGCCTCAATCTAAACTAGCTAGGGTTGACTTAGGCTATATGAGTTCTCCATATCTATACCACTCCATTTCGACAATCTTCATTCTGACACTCAATAGTATATATTAGGTCTCTCAGACACTAGTAAGTTTTTTAATTTTCAGTTGACGTGCAATTCTCTAAAAAACTCTGGACAAATAATAAACCTAACGCAAGTGGCTCAAAAGGTTTAAGTCTTAATCCCAACAAATTGACTATGTAGATCTTTCACTTTCATTGTGTTCTATTCTTCGCTAACTCAATACGAATTCCAAGAGGCTGCGTATGTGAGTCTATAGACAAGTTCCCTCCACGTGCGTTGACCTCATGAGCTAATTATATTTTAGGTAAAGGATTGGTGGTCAAAAATAAAGTTCTCTATAGTTTCTAAATGTATAATGTTTATATCCAGAAGACATATATATCAATCTGAAGCTCAACAGAAAGTTGATCAAATAAACAACAACAACTACATACCCAGTGAAATCCCACAAGTGGGGCCTGGGGAGGGTAGAGTGTACGCAGACCTTACCACTACCTCGTGAAGGTCGATTGTTTCCGGAAGACCTTCCGTTCGAGTACAACTAATCAAAGTATGAATGAAAAGGGAAAATGACAGTGAAGAAAATATAGCAACTAATGCAGAAACAGTAACAACAACACAATAGTGCAATAACTGAAACACCATAAAAAACACATGGTGGTAGAAAGCAAAAACACAACTCTACAAAAATAAAGTTAATATTGATCTTTATCATTTTCAAAAATAAGGTTAATACTATGACAAACACCACTAAGCCTAAACCCTTCAGGAAGCAAGACAACACTCCACTACCCACTAACCTTCTACCCTACTCCAACCTCCACACCCTCCTATCTAAGGTCATATCCTCAGTAAGATGAAGTTGCATCAAGTCTTGTCTAATAACCTCCCCCCGTACTTTTTCGGCCTACGTCTACTTCTACTTCTCTTCGCACCCACTATATCCAACCTCTATGCTTTTTTTATCAAATCAGCCTTTTTTAAACGAATTTGCAGTTTCTTATTGCTAAAAGGTGACCTCATCTGAACTAACAGCTCTGTAAGCACACGTTTTGAGAATTTGAGCATGTGTACCAACCTTTTTTTTATATAGAACCATTTAACCTACATTTCATTGACCTCCACACAATTCAAAGGGGTGAACCATTAAGGGAAGGATGATGTTTCAGACAAGGAATGCATTTTCTAGTAGAACAGTAGAAAGAAAGCGGACATGACAGGAAACAAGATCCTCAAATAGGGAAGTTCTTAAGTGAATAAAAATGTTGGTCTAACTGATTTACACAAACAGAAGCAATTATAGCCAAATAACTGCTTTGCACCAAATAATAACTTTACACACCAATGGATGCTTCACATTTAACAAAGGGAGCGTAGGAAAAGGAGAGGACAGGGGTGAGGAACAGGCAGAGACAGTCAACCATCTCTTTTTGCATTGCAAATGGACAGATCAATTATGGAGAATATTCAGCAGCCTTAGGAAGATCACTTGGGTGAAACCAAGAAACATAGTACAACTTCTAAATTGTTGGATCAATGTGGGCAATACTACAATCAAGGAGGAGAGATGGAAGATTGTCCTAGCTTGTATATGGTGGACAGTGTGGAAAGAAAGGAATCAAAGATGTTTTGAGGGCAAGAAGAACAATTTGCAGAATTTCAAGATGAATTGTATAGCTCTTTATTATTTTTGGTGTAAACAGAAAGTTTTAGTACAGGCAGAAGAACTTCTTGATGTTTTAGACTATTTGTGACAAACAGCACAGATGGAGTCTGTTTAGTTTGTAATACTTTTGGAAGGGGGGCTACTTTGATGTAGTATACCTGTGGATAAATAGAAGAAAAAGTTACCATTCTCAAAAAAAAAAAAAAAGGAGAGGACAGGAGCAAGTTCAATAATTTTTACGAAAGGAACGTGTAGTCCCCCTCTTACAACTTAATCATCACTTGAGTGGAGTGGGACCACTGTTCAGAGAAACCGCCTACCTGCCTTTGCAGGGAAGGAAGTAGGATGCACCAATGGTCAAAAAGACATCTCTTGTTTTCCCAAAGAGTAGGAATTAATTCAAGGTGAAAAAGTTAAATAGAAAAGAAAAAGAGATTAAAAGAGAAAAAGAAACTGAGAAATTATGAAAGTTAATTTTCTTATTTCAAACTAAGTTTCTTGAAGCATTAGTGATGCCAAAGAAGAGGCTTGTTAACAAGATAAATACTTCCACTGTGGTAGCAGATCACACTTGCAATGACTTTAATCTCTCAAACCTCTCTTTAGACCAAACAGAAATGATTGTGCAATAAGGAAATGCACCTTATTGACACACTAACCATTCTCAACACATAACAAAGGATTGAAGCAAGACAATGGCATGGAAGCTACAAGACGACAAATCCCAACAGTTGCATAAAAGAACCATGTTAAAACCGACTGCTCTTCCAATATATGATATAATTACATCTGCAGGAAGTATTCCTCAAAAAAATTTATGCCTTTAGGTGGAAATCCATCTCAAAAACCTCTCAAGACCAAAAGGGCAACTGAGATAATAGATAGAAGAAATCAACACTAACACATTTGTATTGTAACCTATAAGGAAATGCAAACAGTTGACTCATGCATTAATTTCTCAGTACACGTATACCTCCACTGTTTTGAACATCCGCTAGATGTGCATTGATCTCCACTAATGACTGGAAGCAGAAAAGCGAATGTCAGTGAGGGGAAGTGTTAACAAAGGTACCATACCAAAGGAAATGTGAATATAACAAGTTAAAAGTAGAGCCACCTCACAAAGAGCACTTTTGCGATCCTCGACTGGAAACACATCTACTAATCCATAAGAAGTATCGCACAGTGACTGCACAAAATCAAGTGATTGGTGATAGGCCCCTTTCCGAAATTGTGACAACCCATTATCTGGAAGTGGAGGTTTTGCATTTAACCTCTCGTGCTGCTTTGGGGAGCCAGGACGTTTCTGCGGAATAAACATTACTTGAGATTTAAGTTACAATTACCAGCATACTATATATGTCTTTTTTTATGATAAGGTACCATCATACTAAATATATCAACTCCTCAATTACAACTAGATTCTGCATGATTGCAGAGGAGGCTGGTGCAAAGAGCCTCACATGAAATATATGTGCATCCATAATTTAACAAACAATGCTTCATCAAAAAAAAAAAAAACAACTAACAAACACTGCATCACATTTCCATCATGTCATCACAACTCAAAGCACTGTAGATTATTGCAACTAAAGAACCATGGCATTCAAATGACTTTCTACAAAGCTTAACAGTACTGATAATTTAGCCAATATTGAGGTGTTACGGTCATGAAAGAAAAACTAAATGGAATGTCTATATCTGGTAGCAGTAGCACAGTAAGGTCATGTGAGAAAAATTATAATGGAATGTCGATATCTGGCAGCACTATCACACAGTGGCCTAGGAAGATTCAGTTAAAAGCAAAACTCGCAATGTTACTTCCGCTGTTGGATTGAAACATATGAAGCCTATCTGGCTTGGTTTAGCCCACAGAGGAGGGGTACGGTGAATTGCAACAGGTGTTATACGTGTGAAATGGATATTGAAGACACAATCACCAGTTTTTGCCGCCGTCTTCTGTTAGCAGTTGTAAAGCTTGTTTTAATACATTTTTGGTCTGTTAAGTAGGCAATGCCTGTTACACTCAACGATATTCTTTTGCATGGGAAAGCAAGGAAGATGATCACAGAAAGCAGTAGATTGTGTGGGCGCATAATACCTCCGGACACCCCTGTACTTGACACCATTTACTCAGTGCATACCTGAACTATTTTTTGTCCAAATTACCCCCCCCCCCATGCGGGGCTAGTTGATAGCCTCAACCTCCCTAACCAATCTCACCTGTGGTTAGTGAGAGTCACGGGCTGCCACATGGAATTTTTGAGTTGTAGCCAAATCAAAAAGGTTTTAGCCTTAATAATGGGAGTTGTAGCCATGTTTAAACTCATTAATTTTTGGAATCATCTATTTTGGCCAACTTTGTATTTAAACATGACTACAACTCCCATCATTAAGGCTAAAAACTTTTTGATTTGGCTATAAATAGTGGAGCTTTAGCCAAGTTTTTTAATAGATTTGGCCCCAACAAAAGAAGAAAAATATAGTCATTGCATCTAAGGAAGTAATAAAAAGGAATACACAATTGGGGTAAAATATAAATTGTATATTAAGAAGCAAGAAGAAATACACAATTAGAACAAAAAACATTTGTATATGAAAATTCACTTGGAAGCTGATTTTTTTTCTTTTTCTTCTCCCACACGCCTAAAACAGAGTGTATCCATGCTCTTTTCCACAACAACATCCAGCGATTAAGTCTATTAAAGTTTTCAACTACAGTTCTTGGGTATTCATGACTAATAAATAGTCCAGGGGCGCGCTGAATAAACATTGAGGGGTCCCGTTGCATTATGCCATTATGGAGGAGGCTGGAAGGGCAGGAACCTAAGATGATGATTTGAAGACAAAATTGAAGCTAAACATAGACTAAAATTTAGGTACTTCTATCTTTTTTACTTTTTGGTTTTACATGCAAAATGTGTATGAACAGTACATGTACTTGACTTTTTACGCTTCCTCTTGGTTAAAAGGGAATTATATTTATTTATTTTTTAAATAATTAAAAGGGAACTATATTTTTAACTACTTTTTCGATAAATCAAATTTCATTAATATCAACAAGTCTGTATTATAAAATATCTAGCTTATCCGTCCTCACAAAACTATCCTGGTCATTATATCAATTAAAAAACTAGGGTATTTTCACGTTAATCCAAAAGAATCCATGAAATAGCAACATTCTTTCTCATATTCTGGAACATTCTCTTATTTCTGCCATTCCAAATTAGCAAGAAGATGCACAACGGTATAATTCTCCATACTAACTCCCTTTTCTACCCACCCTCTGAAATCACCAACTGTGATTTCCTCCTCCACAGTTCTTAGTAACTTCCATGAGATATTAAAGAAAACCAGCAATTCTTCATGCTAACTCCCTCTGTCTTTCCCCGGTTCTTGATTGACCAAAACCATGGTGTTTAGCTAACAAGTTATGACAAGGAACATCTCTCCAATCATAAAAAACATCAACAGAGATCTGCAGTTTGCGAGTAATGGTCTACATGTTGAAACTAATAGCAGTAGCATACAAGGCATAATAACATAACCAATAATTTGTATATCACACTAACAAATTCTACTTCAGGGCTGCAGTGACAACTACACTTTGCAGGTGCGCAACACCATTTATCATGTCAAGGCAGAATTATGATTTGTTTTTTAAGGTGATAAAATGATTATAGTACAACCAGGCATAGATTCTCAAGATAGAAAATTAGTATGCGGCTGGGTCAAGGGGACAGGTAAAATTAGTTTCATCCTTCTTTTATGATGTATTATCACTAAATTTTTGAAACTCAACATACCCAGAGTAATCCCACAAGTGGGTTCTGGGAAGGGTAGGATGTACATAGGCCTTAACCCTACCTTTGTGGGGGTAGGGAGGTTGTCTCTAATAGACCCTCGGCTCCAAAGAGATGTAAAGTTGAAGAACGGATGCAAGAAAATACGACAGCAAAATAGCACAATTGAATAATATAGAAAGCATAATTGAATTTTGGGAAACATGCAAATGAACACCATACTCCCTGGAGAAATATCCAAAACAAGAACCTTTATACAAGACTTATGTCTGTTGTTATATCCTTAAAACCACCAACAATCTGGTGTGTTGATGGTGGAACGGATTCTATATAGTCTAACATCAAGTGCCATAAAGTTAGTGAGGTGATCAAGTCCAATGAAACTTTAGCCTGTAACACTACCACGCTAAGACTTGGAGCCAAAATCAAGGACAGAATTTTCCTATGAAATACATTTTTTTTTAAATAAAAATGTATTTCGAAATACATTTAAGAGACGCATTTAGTTTAAAAAGAGAGAGAGAGAGAGACGCATTTAGTCTTTACTGATAAAATTCACAAGAAACACGAGGGAGGGCACGGATATACCAGACTTGAAATAATTATATTCGTGAGGATACATGAGGGGGGTGATAACTGAGATGCCAAGCCTCGTGAAAGTGAGTAGACACTAGACAGATTTACATATGGCATTATAAATATACAGACTTGGTCCTTTCCTTGATTTAATTACTGAGGGAGTTATCAGCAACTGACAAAAGTGCAAGCGATTTTAGTGTACTTACCTCTTTGTTCCCCTTTGAAGCAAAGAGCTCTGAATCTTCAACTGAACGGTCACGATCCTTAAACAGCTTGCGGAAAAAGTTCTCAGTTCCAGGACTGCTCTCAAGAAAACTGCCACCATTACTGCTTTCATTTGATGCTGACAGTTTTGAATCCTCTGGATGCACTCGAAAGAGTCGACGAAACAATGGAAAATCTGAAGGCTCTTCTTCCTCACCATTTGCATGCCTCCTAAGATTGTCATCAGCTCTGTCATTACCATCTTTCTTATCCTCAAATTTTTCCTTAAAAAACTTTTTGAAGAACCCTTCCTTTTCATCATCTTCAGAACTCCTTGTTGATTTTTCAGCTGTTTCGTTCCTTTCTCTTACATCCTTCTTCTCCTCAAATTTTTTGTCCTTCAAAAACTTCCGGAAAAACCCGTCTTTTTCATCATCTTCAACAGGTTTGGAACCTACTTTATCCTCCAAATCATTTTTATTATCACGAAACATACGTTTGAAAAATCCATCTGTACTTGAGTGCACATCCTCATCATCATCCTTGTTGGTACTCAAAAGCCTCTTGAAGAAACCATCCTTCTCTGATTCCTCTGCATCCTTATCCACAGATTTCCTAGCATAATCATCTTTACTATTACTAAGAAGTCTGCGAAAAAATCCATCTTTTTCTGACTCCTCTTCATCTTTGTCCACTGATTTCCTACTATCATCATCCCGACTCTCTCTTAAAAACCTCTTAAAAAAACCATCCCTCTCCGGTTCTGCATCATCCTTTTCCGCTGATTTCCTCACGTCGTCATCCCTACTATCCCTCAAAAGTCTCTTCAAAAAACTATCTTTTTCTGGTTCTTCATCATCCTTCTCCACGGATTTCCTGAATAGCAATGCATCTCTTACTTTTGGACCCGGAATCAACTTCTTAAAAATCTTATTTTCCTCAGGCGACGATATTTTACTTCCAAGACCATCATCCTGTGGCAATGAACTCCCTGAGGGTGAAAATGACAGAGACCGCTGTACAGCTGGTGGTGAAGATGTCAAGGATAATAGCTTCTGTTTTGAAGACAATAACTTATTAAGCATCTGATTCTTTCCCAAGAGATTAGATGAAGTGTTTGGGGGTTTTATCAAAGGTGGCCACTCACCCATCAAAGTAGCAGCAATCTGACACTTCTCCTGAAGCCTACTTATCCCCTCATTATCATCTGTATCCTCCAACTCCGCCATCAAAAACCAGTGCACTTTTAGGGCAATATGTAATGACTTCGAACACACATCGATCACAAACTTATCCAACGAGGGGCTCGGTTTATGAACCATCATATACGATATCTGAAACAAGTAACTCTCAATGCCAGAAAGTGGAAGTGTGTACATTCTATTACACAAATAGTCCCTAACACCAGGATGATCATGCTTATAAAGGTAGCTGACAGCGATCCACTCACAGAAGAACGCAGAATCAAAGAATCTAATAAGCCAGCCACTCTCTCCAATATCCTCACTTGTTGGGATTATCCGAGTTACCTCCCGAGGTGACTCGGCCGGCTCTCCTCTCGTCAATCCCAATAACCTCACCATTGTCAAATCATCATAACAATCATAAAACCCTAAAACTCAAACCCTAACCCTAGATATTTCTTTCCAATTAACAGCTCCTTTAAATCATATGCACTTACTATATACAGTAACCAATTCAAAATTCGAAATCGTAGCAACTTCAATCAGTGGAAATTCAAAGACCTTCAAGCTACTGAATTAACTAAATTCCGATCAAATCACTAAGGAGAAAATCAACCGAACTTCTTTAAGAAGAAGCAGAGAGATATTTTGAATTTTTTTCTTAATAAATGAAAGGGATCCGACGAAGATATCCAAATATATACCGTCCGACGACGGTGGAACGACGTCGTATCACCTCGATGAAGCTCTGCGGTCGTCGGCGAAACCAACCCAAGGGAGGAGGTTGGGGTTGGGGGGAGGGGAGCGAGGTGGGGGACGTGATCAGAGGCGTATTATAAAAATTAGGTGTGGAAGAATGCAGGGTTGGTGCTAACGTGCACTGAGGGTGTTGGGTGAAGTTTCAACTTTCAACCTCTAGTGAATAGAGAGTGAGAGGGTACGTCATTGACGGGAAAAGAGAGCAATATAGCAAAAGCGAAATTCAAAATACTAATTTATTAATTAGTGGGTGTTTGGACGTAAAAATTGTGAAATTACAAAAATAAATAGTATTTATTTTAAGTTGACAATAATATTTAAAATTTGAAATTGTATTTTTATATCATAAATTGGTGTTGTTTTTGTATTTTTGTGAATAATTTAGAGTGAAATTTGGGAATGGGGTTCTCGAGTTTTGAAAATTCAACTTCTAGGTTGAATTTTGAAAATTTGTACTATGTTTAAATAGTTTTTCAAAAAAAATTGAAAAATACAACAAATAATATTTTCAATGAAATCTCACAAAGTGATTTGAAGAGGGTATAGAGTGTACGTAGATCTACTACTACCTATCCGACGTATAGAGGTTGTTTCTGAAAAAATTTCGGCTTAATCAAATCAAAATAATAATTGAAGAAAAATAATTGTGGAGAGAAACATGACGACTAATAATAAAACAGTGCGGAGTATATATGCAAGGAACTGTAACAAGTGTAATCACCTAGACACGTGAATAGGTGGTATCAGATACCAAAAGCCCAAAACTACATGAATGGGTTGATACTACAATCGACATGGTGTTTTATATTACCACCAAGTCAATTACATGAAAAGGCTAGTAATAAGACAACTCTTAATTGTCTATAAATCTTATACCCTTATTAGTGACCTCCATATCCTTATATCTAAAGTCATGTGCTCAGTAAGCTCAAGATGTGTCATATCATGTCTAATCACCTCTCCCCAATATTTCTTCGGCCTACTTTTGTGTGTCATCGGCTCCACTATAACATCTCACCTATACGATATTCACACATTTCATTTGCACATGTCCAAATCATCTTAATCTTTTTTCCCTCGTCTTGTCTACTGTGGAGGTCACTTCTACTTTGTTCCGGATCCTCATTCCTAATCTTATCGTTTCTAGTATGCTCACACATTCATCTCATCATCCTCATTTCAACCACTTGCATTTTCTAAACTTTAAAATCCTTGGTTGGTCAATACCCTGCCTCGTACAACAAGTTGGTTTAATCACAATTCTATATAACTTACCTCTAAGTTTTGGTAGTATCTTCTTGTCACACAAAAAACTCTGACCGCAAGCAAACCTTCACTTCATCTATGTCGCGCCAATACGATGTATGACATTTTCGTCGTTCTCTTATTTTCTTGGATAAAAACCCCAAATACTTATTTTGTTTCTCTATTGAGACAACTTTTGTATCAAATCTCACCTATATGCTTGCTTCATGCGCCAAATTACTGTATTTACAATTCAAATATTATATCTTGATTCTGCTTAACCTGAACCTTTTAGACTCCAGATTTTGTTCCATACCTCCAACCTATCGTTAACTCCATCTCGAATCTCTTCAATCTAAACAATTTCATGTGCAAATACCATATATCATAGCACCTTTCTCTGAATATGTCGCGTCAATTCATTCATCACCAAGTTAAATAAAAATAGACTAAGCATTGATCCCTTGTGTAATTCCATCTCAAATTATCCATGATTAAATAAATACTTAATTTTTTTATATGAAGTGAAAAATAAAATAAGTTGAAAATGAATCAATGTAGCTTTTAGCAATTTGAATTAAAGAAATGCGAGTGCAAACTAAAAAGTTATATCATTATCTAAGGTGAAAAGGCTTAAAACTAAAAATAAATTTGTGAAAAAGGGTTATTTTAGCTTACAATTATATAAGGTGCAACCCCAATGATGCAAAGAAAAAAAATTATTAAACCTTTCGGGGTGTATAATTATACGAGCTAAATTGTATAATTTGTGTTTTATTTTTGATTAATTAAAATAAACGTCATTCATAAAGAATCTTTTAAAATTCGTGTAAGTTCATATAGATAATATTAATTTTTTATATGAAATAGTTTTTATTTTAAAAAATAGATAAATTATCTTACGTCAGAAATAATATATATTTTTGTTCAAATTATCAATAGAATTATGTTTATAACTTTTCTAATCGTTGAAATTTAGCAAACAATTGCCATGCAACATATTGCATTAGGTCACTATGCATAGAATACCAAAGCAAACTTCAATTGATATAACGTTAACTTGTTGACTTTATACCATAATTGGTATCAAAATTAGTTAAAAACAAATAAGCCTAATAATATTGACTAATACTAATAGGTTCGTTGTATCCACCTTGAGATGATGAAACTATAAGCCAAATCATGCAAATAAATACAAAAAATTAAGAAAAAAAAGGTGTTCTTTCATATTATATCAATTTTTTTCATGGCATTTGAAAATTAACAAGAAATTTTATACGTGTCTAAATTATAAATGGCAGGTCAAAATTACTTTTTTTTAAGCAAAAGTTAGGTCAAAACATAAAAAGTGATTGTAATGACATGATTAATAAAATTGACATAAATTAACAATTAAGTGCATATGACCTGCTTAGATGATTCCATTATTAATAACAGTGACAAATATCAACAATAACGCTATATATACACTTTTTTTAAAGGTAAAAAGGATAAATATACCTTCGAATTATCATAAATGGTATGCAAATACCCTCCGTCATACTTTTGGGACATTGGTGCTCGTGCAATTCAAAAACTAGAGCATATACACCCTTTATATTAACGGACATACACATGTCACAATTTTATCAACCGATCCGACATTTATTAAATATGAAATCGATAGATAAGATTGTGTCACGTGTCCCTATGTAGTATTCCGTTAGAGTGAATGACATATATGTTCTAGTTTTTGGATGACAGGGGAATCAATGTCCCAAAAATATAATGGAGGGTATCTGCATACCATTTACGATAGTTCGGGGTATATTTACCCTTTTTCCCTTTTTTAAATGAGAGTATATCCGTTCTAAATCACAATATTGAAGGGTATATTTGTCCTTTGCCCTAATTTTTCGAAAAGATAAGAGACATAATTTAAGAAGTGGCCTGAAAAATGCTTGAGAAAACCGGCGAAGCTGACATGCCCCGACGGCTGACCCAAAACAAAGCCATTCAAAGATTGCAATATAAGACTGAAATTTGGGAATTGTGATTTTGGATAAACCCTAGACTGGAATCGAAAGATTCTCTATCCATTTACGTAAATTCAAGCTCAATTTCTACAGTAACGCCCAAATTCACTGCATTTTCTCTCTCATCCCCTATAAACTCGATGCAATTTCGCAGGTTCTACACCTCTCTAGCAAATTCTAATCGCAACCCATTTCTCCTTTATCGAAATATCACAAACCCTTTTGCTGTTTTCGACCCGAACCCACAATTTCTCTCTACACAAAGAATCTTGAAATACCGGGTTCAAAGGCCAATTTGTGTGTCCAAACGTTTTGTCTCATCATTTCCTGCTATGGCAGAAGGAAGAAGACCTACCCATGTGCCTATACCACCCCCAGAAACTGCTGATAAGGCGGAATTGTATCGAGCTCTTGAGGCTGCGGTGGGGTCGCAGTTTAGTTCAGAGCCATTGGCACCGGAGCCTCATCCTTTGATTATTGTGGTTAGTGGTCCAAGTGGGGTTGGTAAAGATGCTGTGATCAAAAGGCTTAGAGAAGTTAGGGAGAATATTCATTTTGTTGTGACTGCGACGACTAGGGGGAAAAGGCCGGGTGAGGTTGATGGAAAAGATTACTTTTTTACGAGTAAAGAAGAGTTTTTATCAATGATTGAGAGACATGAGTTGTTGGAGTATGCATTGGTGTATGGGGATTATAAGGGTATACCAAAGCAACAAATTAGGGATCATATGGCTAAAGGATTGGATATAGTGTTGAGAGTTGATATACAAGGTGCAGCAACACTGAGGAGGATTTTGAGAAATTCTGCAGTGTTTGTGTTCTTGGTGGCGGAGAGTGAAGATGCACTGGTTAAGAGGTTGATTGATAGGAAGACTGAGACTAAAGAGACTTTGCTAGTGAGAATTGCCACTTCCCGAGAGGAAGTTAGGCATATGGGGGAGTTTGATTATGTGGTAGTGAATAGAGAAGGGGAGTTAGAGAATTCTGTTAAGTTGGTGGAGTCTATTATTGATGCTGAAAAAGCTAAAGTGAGGCAAAGAACAGTAACGATTTAGAGAGTGTCTGTTTTCGAGTTTTTTGATCTGTTTTTGATTAAGTTGAGCTAACACTCTTAATGTTTTCATGTATTCTATTTATGCAAAATTGTTTTTCCTGCTTGTGTTAACCGTGTTGTGCTCTTGGTTGGTTAAAGTAGATGAAATGTTACTTCTTGCCTTTGACTGATGACATAGTTGTTTTGTTATAGTTTACTTTTGCGTTCTAATTTGATACTTGCTGGAAATTTGTTATGCTTGTTCTTTGGAGGTAGTCAGATTTTGTCCTGAAAGAGAAAGGGAAATACTTTTCTTAAAAAAAGCTTTCTTGATTGGTGTAGTGAAGCCCACATAAGTTTAGTCTCAACATGGGTGGTACTCTATACCTAGTTCTCGTCATACTACTGAAGTCGTCCTTCAGATCAGAGGGAAACTACTTTTTTTTTTCTTTTGACATCATCAGTTTTTCCTATGGTTACTGTACTGACTGCCTTATCATGAACCGGTAATGGAGTGTTGAAGGTGCAATTTGTTAGCGTCAAGAGGTTGCTTTTCTTGTCTTATTAAGCCAAGCATATTACCGTCTTGATTATGATATTGTGTGAAACGAAAGGCAATTCTTTCCTATGTTAATAGTTTCATTAGTTTGCATCTCTGCCCATTGTGCCCCGTCTGGAACTTGATGCATCTGTTTATGTTCATTTTGAGTAGTATGTTATGTGTTGCCAATTCTGTTAAGCCTATTAATCATTGTTCTGCATAAAGATAGAGGATGATCCTCTTAGTCTGTCTATTCATCTGAACCAGAACAGCTCAATTAAGATTTAATCTGCTCTTTTCATTCAATTGTTGGAAAAGAAAGATAAATCATATTCAGTGTATGCATGAGACTCTCTCTTTCAGTAGTCTTCTCAGCATGGGATGAAAAGCAAGGTACAATTATCTCTTTGAATTAGCATTAGAAAAGAAGATGGGAGACTGAAGTACCATTTAACCTTCTTGTAGCATGGGTGCCAGTAGATAATATTATACAAATTTTAGAAAATATCTAGTTTGCTGCTACTAGAGTAGCCTGCAGAGTTTATTAGAACTACTATAGGATCAGAAGAAATCTTGCTATCATCCTGTAGTTGCTGAATGATTCTAGCTATATATGGGCTTATGAACCTTTAAATATGCATATTTTTTACTCTACAGGGTGTTATTGAGGCATTAGAAGCTCTGTGATTGCTTTCCAATTTGTCTGTGAGACAATAATACCTTGGAAGATTGAGATTTGTTCTAATTTGCTAGCATTCTAATTTTGTTTGCTCCATGCTACTCTAATAATGGTCAATGAATTGGATTGAGAATTACGACTCAGATTTCCATTTGTTCTAATTTTGGTGAATAGAGTTACCTGATATTTATTGTTGGTGGGAGGTGACATGTATCCCGTAATCATAATCCAGATGCGCAAAAGTTGACTCGGACACAAGAATATTTTCAAATTCATGCATAGAATAACCTTTATCTTTATGATAATTTATTTATGATATTACACTATCTTTGAGCAAGAATCATATTCTTCTAGCTAGGGAGAATAAAGAAAGAATATTTCAGATATTGGATAGGAACCTTCGTTAGATGTTTGATGGGAACCTTCGTTATGAAGGAAGGTCAACTCTGTTATTATGAATTACATGTGCATTTACAGGGGAAGCTTCGTTGTGGATACAAAGCATCCAAGGTCGTGGCTTAGTAGCGCATCAACACGCTAAAGTTGTTTAGAAAATTTAAAATTACGATATGATATTCCAAATCTTTTTTTTTTTGAAGAATTTGAGATTTATTTCAACTTAAGAATCTAAATCATATACTCATATATATTCAAATGCGATTTCATATTGCATGTTCAAACGCAGGCAAACGGCTAATTACTTGTTGTTAATCTAATTATTATATACATTAAACTTGACTATCAGTTAAACCTTTTTACCAAAGCTTTCTTGTGATTTCCAAAACCGGCAATTAGCATAGTACCCTTGTAACAAGGAAAATTTTTAGCCTCACATTGTTAGCCTTAAACTATTTTATTTTTTTTGGTAATAAAATTTTATTTATAATATGTAGAAAGATCTTAGCCGGCTTTTATTTTTATTAATTATTAATTTTAGTTTAGGAGTCTATAATATTGAAAGAGGAAGGGTTTTCTTAATATTTTTTTTTTTATGAATGAACCACAAGACAATTATGGCTAAAATTCTCTTCATTTTCCTTCATCTCTTTGCTTTATTATTCAGCTTTCAACAATTCTGTGGTAAGCCATAGATTGCCTTTTTTCTTCTTTAATTTTGTATTTTTTTCTCAAGCAAAATTTATGTCAAATTCACAATAAAAAAATTATATGCTGGATTTGGTGTTCTAGGATAAATTTTACATACCTCATAATTATTATATTCATAGTAACTTACATCTCATATTAATGTATAACTTTTGTAATTTTTTATTCCAAGTTTTGTGCTTCTTCATATATGCTTAAACCAAAAACAACATATGCTACCTAATGATCACTAATTAATATATGTATATTATACATATTAATATTAATATACAGTACATATATATTTTTGGGCTAATAGTTCGGTAAGCTATTGCCTCACCAACTAGCTAATCAGATGCGAGCCCTTCGTGAGCCAGATTCCTCCTTTTGCTCCTCGCCTAGGAGTTATTAATAAGTGTTATTATCTACACGTTATTCACTCATACGCTACTTTTATCTTTTAAATAACCTGATAATATAAAAATAAAATAAAAATAAAAATTAGAACCTCTTCTCATATTTTAGCTTATGTCCCATTTTTATTTTTATTTTCAGATGGGAAGGTAATGATGGAGTATATTGGAGCAACAGGCAAACCAATAACATTTGATGATGTTCCAATTGATGAGGGAATTGACTTTCATTTCATTCTTAGTTTTGCTATTGATGCTGACTCTTTAGGGAACCCACAAAATGGCAAATTCTCACCTTATTGGGCATCAACCCTAACGCCAGAATCAGTTGCATCAATTAAATCCAAATACCCTAATGTCAAAGTCTTGGCTAGCCTGTCTGGTTGGAGTATAGGTTCAAAAGTCCTTAACTGGTATTGTTGAATTATGTGACCGTCTCATCTTATTAAAATTATTAGTTATTGCATGTTTGACTAATTTTATACATGGTTCAAACTAACTTATAAGTACCTCATAACTTATCTACGCGTCTGATAAACACTAAAACTACTTGGATAGTGGATACTATTTTTGTCATTAGAAAAAAAAAGTATTTTTGAGGTCTTGATGCTTATCAACTGTTTTTAATCAACTAACTCAAACGGACTCTTAATTATATTATGTCTAAACAGGTACAAGCCTATTGACACTCAACAATGGCTATCAAATGCATTCACTTCCCTCAAATCAATTGTCAACACATATCACCTTGATGGCATTGACATTGACTATGAGAGATTCCCAAAACACAATGAAACTTTCTCTTATTGCATAGGAGAATTAATAACTTTCCTGAAGAACCAAAGTGTTATATCTATAGCAACTATTGCACCATATTATAGAACAATTTTGCCATACATAGAGTTATACAAAAACTATGGAGATTCAATTGACTATGTAAATCATCAATTTTATACAGATAAAGTTACTACACCAAAAGGTTATTTGAAGGCTTTTGTTCTAAGGAGTGAACAATTTGATAAAGAGAAAGTAATTCCTAGCTATGAAGTGGATGGAAGAGGAATTCAAGGTGATGCATTTTTTGATGCTTTGAAATTATTGGAAAGTAATGGATTTCATGTTAATGGTGCAATGATATACTCTGCTGATGCTTCCTCTGAGGATAATTACATTTACGAGAGGAAAATTCAAGCATTCTTGTTAAATTCTACTAGTGTATGAAGTATATTAGTGCGATTTGTTATTTTGTAATTTGTAATATTGAAGCGAAAATAATAAGGAGATTTCAAGAGCCCCACCCTAGAAATGTGGGGCTTGTATTTATATGGATTTTCATGTTACATATTATTTAGAGCCGGCAATATGGGCTAGGCCTGTTGGGCCGGCCTGGCCTAACCTGGAATTTAATAGAGCTGAGCTAAAATTTTTGGAGCCCATTTAAGAAAATGACTTTTTAGCCCGGCTTGAATAAGCCTGTTGATTTGTGGGGCTTGAGAAATATAGGTAGGGCCGGCCCGTGGGCCGATAAAAATTAATTAAAAAATATAATATAATATTAAAATTTAAAATTAAAGAGATCCAAACTCAAAATCTATTTAAAGTTTTTTAGAAAATCACTAAGTATAGAAGTTGCATCCACCATGAAGATGTCCAAACACTTGTTGCTAGTCGAAACTGGTTACATGGTTTTTCTCAAACTGGTAATATATTTTTGTGTACATTTAAATATTATAATTCTCAATTTAGTTATTTTTTAATATTTAACTAATTGAAACCGCATATAAATTGCAAATGAAAATGAAGATGTTAAGACAACCTTCCCACAAGTTGATTCAGATATGCTTGATGAAGATGATCATGAAGTGTTAGATACGCCATAGGTTTCATGAAGTGTTAGATATGCCATAAATTTCATGATTTTGTAAGGAGTTTATTTTTTACTTTTTTATGGTTGGAATATTGCCATATTTTTTGTGTTTTATTGTGATCATTGCAAAACAATTAGATTAATATTTCTATTTAGATATTTATACTTTTACTTGAAAAAAAACTTAATAAATATTATAAAGATAATTTTATTTGTAGATTTAATTAACAAGTAGTAACATTAACACCATCTAATACTGTTTTGTCGATATTTATGATAATATTTTTAAATTATAATTTATAATTTAATTTAATAATTATAAAAATATATATAACTTTTAAAAAAGTGGGTTGGCCCAACAAGCCTGTAGCCCACGTACTTGTGGGTTGGGCCGATCGTTTTCTAGCCCACACCAAAAATGGGCTAGCCTGGCCTGACCCGTAAAATATCAAAGCCTGTATGGGTTTAGCCCAAATAGGGTGGGCTAGCCCATATTGACAGCTCTAAATTTTTATTAGATATAAATATACTATTGTTAAATTAGTACTTTAGATTATAATCTACATTAGTTATGTATGTCTCTAGAAGTATCATTGTTTGACATTACATGAGAAGACCATATGTCTTTCTTTGTGAAGGAGTGATTCGAAATTATGTTAGGTAATGATACCTTCTGGGAAGGGGGGGGGGGGGGGGCTGAAGGCCTAACAAGTTCAATTCTTCTTTTCCATCAAAGGCGGTCCTTTTTCTTTCCTCAAAGAAGTTCCATGAGTTATGAAAGAAACTTTGAACTCATATTGGTTATGAATTGGGGAACGAAAATTGAATTTTATTAGATGGGCTTCTTGTCTTGCCATCTATCAACTTTTTTGTAGATGTTCACTTACATCATATTCACAATAGGCCTAGTCAGTGAAAAAGCCTACAAGTGGTAATCGTTCTATGTCCAATCCACCTATGAACAATTATCGCCTACATAACCTACCTCAGGGACAAGAAAATAATCAAAACAACTTCAATATTTGCACAAAGAAACCAGAAGAAGAAAATAAAATAAAAGATTATATATATTTAACTTTCATTTTTTTCTCGAGTTTGAATTTAAAATTTAAAAGTAGTACTTTATACTGAAATTTCAATTGTAGAAACTTTATACAAATATTTTTGTTTCAAAAGTGATTATTTTTCAATTATTTCAAATAATGGATAAATATTAACAAGTGGCCTAAAAAATCCAAATTATTTTTTACGTTTAATAGTGAGGGTTAGAGTCACGTCATTATCTTAGAGCTTCAATTTCTATAAGTAAAACTCCATGATAACATCATAAATTTATAATTACAACATGACAATAACTATTTATCATTTTTTTTTCAATTTTAATAAGGATTTGTTACATTACATATCCACCACCAGGATAATAACCGAAAAATGATAATTTGGTATATTATTTTATAGTTTACACATAATAACGTAGATTTATTTTCTTAAATATATTTGACCAACGAATGTAATTATTTTTGGCCAATGGTCAAGACAAGTGAAACTTGCCTTGTGTACAAAAATTTGGGCCTGAATTTGTAGAAGATGTTGGGTCTTGGCCCAAATGTGGATCCGCTTTAGCCCTTAACATCCGATTCTGATCACAATTCACCAATTTCCATAGCAGAGGAAGAAGAAATAGTTTACTCCAATGGCGTCTGGATGGGGAATTACAGGGAACAAAGGGCGATGTTATGATTTCTGGATGGATTTCAGTGAGTGTATGTCTCGATGCAGGGAGCCCAAGGACTGTGTCCTTCTTAGAGAAGACTACTTCGAGTGTCTTCATCATTCCAAAGAGGTAAGCATTTCGATTCATTTGATTCCGATCTTTTGAATATTTTCACCTTTGCTTAAATTGCCCTTATCCTGAAGATCTAAACAAGTCAGCATTTTGTTTAGGCAACTTGTCCTCAGCTGTATTTAGGAAAGTTAGGGTTTTTTTGAGATTTGATACCGGTGTGTAAATATTTCAAGTGATTGAACATCCTATTCTGTGGAGTTTCCAATAAAAGCTTCTCAGATTTAAATTCCCTCAAAGTATGGGTTTTTTCATTCCTCCAACTTTAAATATATGTGATTCTAAGCTGAATTTGGTGTGCTTACAAGTGTGGGAGCTGTAGGAGGAGATAAAGAGGGCTTATGCATTACACCAGAAAGCTGACTTGATATCTTAGTAGTCACTATAGTTATTGATGAATTACCGCATTTTGTAAATTGACAATGTAAGTGACAGTGTTAATGATTAGCTGGAACTATGGAGAAACAATTTTGGAATGCAAGGTTTGTTGAAGTAATATAGTATACATGCTGACAATACTGTAAGTTTTGTCCTCATAAGAAGAACCAAAGTAAAGTGGGATTGGGCGAGATTATATTTTCTAAATGTAAATAATTTAGATATTTGAGTCTAGCCTTACATGAGAACGACATGATAGATGAAGATATATCACATATGATGAAACTAGGATGGTTGAAGTGGAGGAGGTGCTACATGATTACAATGTGATAGAAAGATACCTAATAAAGTCAAGGTAACTTCTGTGGAATGGTTGAGACTAACAATTTATATCATATATGGTAGTGAATATTGGTCCTTGAAGTGTCAACATATCAATAAAACAAGTAACATAGAAATGTTCATGTTAAGATGGATATGGAGTCAGCAAGATCATACAAGATTTCATCAAAAAGATCATACAAGATTAGAAACAACACACCAGAAAGATAGTTCAAGTAGCACACATAGACATAAAATAAGAAAGATTGCTGAGATTGCTTGGCCATGTAGAGTGGAGGACCTCCAGATATAGTATTCATTTATACTTGTACTGCATATCTTGGAATACCAAGGAATAGATATATTTATAAAGATTATGTTTTTATGTCAAGAAAAATCCTACATCTGATGAATCATATGGGAAATGGAGAAAGTGGGTATTTGTTAGTCAACCTATTGGAAAATTGACCGAATATGCATATGGCTGATGTCAAGTGGCCAGGCATCATGACTGATATACCAAGTATGCATGGATATGATTTCAAATGTTTAAATTTTAATTACAAATAAAGGTCTGTTTATCAGTCTGCTTCATTATTTCAAACTTGAAATAGAGATCTCGAAGTTTGAGGAGAGTATTCACTTACAAAATATCAACTTTTTTCCAAGTGAATTTCATGTCCAAACACTACTTCAGCTTCCAAATATCCTTTTTCAATTTCAACTTACTCTTCTTTCCCTTTCAAATTTCAACCAAATCATGTCCAAATGCCAATTGATCTTGTACTTGGTTTATATCAGTATAGCTGTTACTTTGAACTAGTTATAATGGAGTAGTTTCACTGGTTCCCTTTAAGCTTTATTTGGGGGAAATTGATGGTTACCGTCGATGATAAAATTTGGCCTACCAGCATGCCACATTATATATCTGCTAGATCTTTTCATTTTTTGGATCATATCAAACGCATTATGCAGCTAAGCAGCTGAGCAGGACTTAAATGCAAGTAGGTGCTCTGAAGTCTTGTCATGTGATAAGAGATCTATAAATGATATACTGTGCTGATTGAAGGTCTTAAAATAAGACGAGATAGACCTAAATTAATGGAGGGAAATTGTCTCAAAAGACCTTTAGATTCTTTAGATTACAGATATTTTCTCAATATTTGTAGAACAGATGTGGATTTCCATCCTTTGTCCATTTTAGAGTTATACCTGGACTTATTAATTTGATAAAAAAGTTATACCTGGACATACCTCTTTGATCTGTCTTATTTAGGGTCTCTCATTCTTATAGAAAATAAAAATAAAAATTTAGGGTCTTTCAAGTGATTTGTTAGAGAAGCCATGAAAGCAAAGACATTGCTGTAAGTAGGAAATGAGAGCATTCATTTTTCAAGGATTGAACTGGAACAGCTGTAGTTAAGCGCCTTGTGTTCATTGACTCTTGTCCTATATCAGTAGAAAACATCACAGCAGCTAATTTTTTATGGAGTCTTAGAAAGAGCCGAATCTTGATTTATACTGCTATTTTCTCCTCTTATTTGATTTTGGCTCTTTCATTAATTGATCTCCTTGTCACTATCAGCATTACTATCTACTCTTCTTAGAAGCATTATTATTTTTTCTCTTGGGAGTGCCTCAAGCTGCTGCTGAGATTTTTCTCATAAGTTGGGGGCTTGAGGCTAGGTGTTTTATGGTCCTGAGGAGATGTATAAACCTCATTAGTTGATGGAGGAATTATATTATAAATTGATGAAGTAGTAGGACAGAAGCTGCAATAGCTGTTTATAGATGTCACCCAGTGAAGTAGCAAACCCTCTTTCCATTTTCCGTGTTGGGAGTACACATTTCAGTTTGTGTAGCTCATATACTACTTGTTGTATTAATAGATGCTTAATTATCTAATATGTTGATAAGTGAAGTAAATGATGGAAGCCTTTTCCAAGTTTAGCTACTGCAAGAATTTACCTACATCTAGGAAACTGTGCTTTCTTAGACTTAATTGCATTAGTTGAGTGAGGAAGGTACCTTCTACTGTGATGGTGCCAAATTAATTATAACTTCTGTTCTCAAAGTCAGGATTTGCTAATCCCTGACCTTGAGCAATCACATATTTGTATATAGAAAAACTCTGGCATTTAATTCGACCCCCCCACCCCCCGCCCCCAAAAAAAAAAAAGAAAAGAAAAGAATGTGATGGAAGTATTTAATAATCTCAATGGACAGTACTTTTCTCTGCTCAACTAAAAGTGATATCTTTCCTCCCTGTTTATACAATCATCCTCTGCTCATCTTAATCATTAATTTCAATGGGCAATACTTCTCTCTGCTCAACTGAGTGTGATGGAAGTATTTAATAATCTCAATGGACAGTACTTCTCTCTTCTCAACTAAAAGTGATATCTTTCCTCCCTGTTTATACAATCATCCTCTGCTCATCTTTTCTCAAAAACATTTAGAAAATGATTGCTCAAATATATTCATAAATCGTTCTGGTACTTTTCATTGTACTCTTTAGTTACACGGTTGTTGTTTCCTTCACTGCAGTATCAACGTAGGAACCGAATCTACAAAGAGGAGCAGCGCCAATTGAGAGCTGCTTCACAAAAGAAAAAGGAAGGTGTAGACGGTGGTGGTGGTGGTCATCACTGACCTTTATTCTTGATCAATCATGGTTTTATCAACCAAAAGACATTGAAGTAAACTGTATGTTGTTTTGAATTTTTGAAATAAAGAATTAAATCAGTTGCATTTGATGTGAGCTGCATCATTGAAATGACTCAGTTCAGTTTCTTTCTCATATGGCCTTCGTTTTGTTGGTGATATGCAACATATGTTTTAAGGGCACATTTACTTCTCACCGTTGGCACTGGACTTATGTTATCAGTTCTTTCTTTGAAATCTGTGACTCTTAAATAGAGCAATCATTTTCCTCAAGTATATTATGTACAAAATGAAATTCGCGGTGATCCAATCTGGAAGCCTGCATCGTAGAATGAAAAGAGCTAGGATTTTGCTAAATGATATGTAACATCCTCAGTTTCTTTACCTATTTTGATAAATCCATAACTTGTTATATGTAGATAACCTGATACAATATAGAGTGATGCACCTCAGTCTCATAAAAATATAGAGTGATGTACCCTTTTACCTAAATAATGAATATTGACTCTAAGTTCAATATAGTAAATGGTTATTCATTAGTCTAAACTCCAAGTTATTGGTAGAAAATTAATGGGTGCAACAAAAGCTACCAAACCTAGTATACAGCAACTACCGTAGTTGAACTACTCAGGAAACTCTAACATGATGTTGTAATCATTTACTTATATATAAACTTTAAATACAAACAAATTAAACACACATACACACACAGTGTATTCCTTTCCATGCATGAACAATATGGCTAATTGGATGAGCACTTGCAATTCAATTCATAGTACAAGAGTCTCCCCAATTTTCCCTTCTGATTTTGTGAAGAGTGAAAGCTTTAGATCAATCAATGGAGTTTACTATAATATCGGAGATTATGAATATTCACAGTCTAGAAGGGTATTTCTCAATAGCTACCATTTTACCAGAAGGAACATGAGTTTCAAGGATTTGTTGAAGAAGTTTTTCAAAAAAATTAGTAAGATGGCCATGTCTGTATCTCTTGGAGTTGGTGAGAGATTTTCAAAGAGGAAGATTAATGTTAAGGTTTACAAGTTGACATTGGTTTGGTCAAGATTTTTTGTTGCTAAATGCTACGTACCTTGTCCCTATAAATACTAAATACTCATCACTTGATCTTATTCAAAAGGATCACAAAGGTATCTATATAGACATTGTATTATGTCATATATGTTTGATATATATATATCATTCCTTTTTACTTCTCGTGTGGGGTGATTTTTTTTTATAGGGGAAAAGATTGATATTTTTCTGAACTTTATCATTTACTGTTTGATATATCCTTCGTTATAGAAATGGCTCATAGATACCTTTACTGTTACACAAATGACTTATATATATATATACTAGATATGAGACCCCGTGCCAGCACGGGGCCCAATATATGTTACTGTTTCTGTTTTAATTTATGTGGTACATATGAAATTTGAAATTAATCAATTTTTTAGTATGTTTTTATATATTTTAAGTTGCTAATTATTTGTATTTAGAGTATGTTTTACGTAAATATATTAGAAATCACAATAATTAACAAGTTAATATAAAAAAAAACTTATAAAAAATTCATTGACTTTTGAAATTTCATTTGTATCACATAAATCAGGACCGAGTAATATATATGAAAATTACATAAAACGTACTATAACTCATAATAATTAGCAACTTAAAATATCTATATATCTATATTTCTCCCAATTTATGCGGTATAGATGAAATTTTGAAAGTTAACAAAAACTTTTTATATGTTTTGAAATATTTTAAGCTATTAATTATTATGATTTATAATACTTTTTACATAAAAAAATTATTTATATAAAGTATAAAAGAAAAAATTTAGAAAAAGGAAACATAAATGTCAGCAGGAGTCCAATCTATGTTAATTTCTATGTTTTAATTATTGTAATACCGATTGAATTTGGAGAGCCAACTAAAAAATTTTGAAAGGATTTTTTTTATAAATTTTAAGTTGTTAATTATTATAATTTATAATATTTTTATTAATTTTAAACCAATATATGTTTTTCTCTGTCTCAATTACATGAGACATATGGAATTTGGAGAGTCAACTAAAATTTTTAAATATGTTAAGTTGTTAATTATTATATCTTATAGTACTATTACGTGATTTTCAAATAAAATATGTATTTTTTAATTTCAATTTATATGTCATTGATATAATTACATATATTAAGTAATGATGAATTAATGTGTAAATTATGTGACACCTATGAATTTTGGAGTGTAAATCAAATTAGTTATATGATTTAAAAAAAAACGGTTAATTATTACAATTCATAATACTTTTTATATATTTTTTAAATGATATATATATATATATCTTTATGATATTGATATTAGTATTATAATAAATTAAATTTTATTATTTTAAATTTATGATCTGAATTGTCAGCCTATGCCACATTATAAAATGTTCCAAAGTAGATATCAGATTTACAAAAATGTCGATGCCAGCTAAAGTAATAAAATAACATCTAAGGGCATGAACCTATATATGTATATATAAAGTTGAATATTGACAATTTGATGTGGCATCTCTCTTTGACCAGTATTTGTATTCATATTTTTTTCCTTTTTTTGACATTTTATCTTTGTTTTGTATTTTTTATTTGTACTTAAAAAAATGTATTTATGTCATACCCGATTAATTATGCCCTTTATAACATCCATTACACTAATATAAATTTAAGTAAATGAAAATGGAAGATGAAAAGATAAAAACTATTCATTTTTTATAACTGTTTATAATTATTTAGCCTATAAAATAAAAACAAAATAGTTGAGCATTTGTAACAAATAAGAACAAATTTCTTCACTTTGGTTCTTCTTCTTCTGATGATAATGATCAATATATGGTATCAACTTTTGTCGCTAAGATGTCCATCAAATTTCTAGGTCATGTGACTTTTTTAACAAAAGAGAAAGAAAGAATATCTCATTATTCTTGTGAAGACATTGATGTAAAGAAAGAGATTATGAAACAAAAAATTCTTTTCAAAATAAAAGACATTTTGAAAAAATGTTTATTCCTCCTACAAGGAGAGAAAATTCATTGTGATTGAGAAATTTATAAGAAGCCTGATTAGTGTTTCAAAGGGTAAGAAAAATTATTTGGAGAAAAAATTATTCTATTTATGGAATTCGTATCAAATTAGGAGGAGAACAAGCAAAAATTTATTTTGTGACTTGAAAAGAGAGAAAATTAGATATTATTTCTTTCAACCTCATTATTCTTCTAATTTCTTTCTTCTTTTATTTTGTCTTGATTTTTTGTATCTTTAATTAAAGTTTTTTTTTCTTATTTATCTTTAATTAAAGTTTATATATATTTTCTTAAAAAAGAATTTAAAAAGATGATCATATTTAGTTCCTTTCCTCATCAATGCTATTAATCTCATAATTAGTGTTATTTATATTATTTTCTTAATTACTTTTTTTCTTTCATTTAATTATTTATTTGAAGAAATTAGTTATTATAACTTTATAAGAATTACACATGTATTTTACATAATTGATTTGTTATTTTTAAAATTTTTGGATCATTCTTCATCTTAAAGTTTCTATCTATATGTAATAATAAAGCTAAAATAGAAAATGTGGGGGTGACACCTTCTTAGCAATAGATACTTATTTATTCTGATCAATGTTTCTGACATTTTTTGTTATTTTTTCCTTAAAATAATTGTTGCCTCGATTTTTAGTTTTAGTTTTATTTTTGTAGCATTTTCTAATTTTAAAAGATTGAAAAATTTATATTGAAAATTTACAAAATATAAAAAATGATTTATTTAACTCCTATCATCATCAATATTATTATTAATTTGTTTTACTTCTTTTCTTAATCTTCATTTCATCATTAATGTAATTTATATCATTTTCTTAGATATATATATATATATATATATATATATATATTTGTGACATTTCTTAGAAGTTAGGATTACTATTTCTATAATTTTTAAAATTTTTGAATTCTTTTGTCATACTAAATACAACATGTTTTATTATAATTACATTTAATATATTAATCAATATGTTGTACGAATGAAAAGAAAATTATCATTTCACAAAAACAAAGGTTAAAATATAATTTATTATGATTAAGGAAAGATAAAATTATTATTCCAATATCCATAAGCATATATAATACATTAAAAATTAATTGAAAAGCTGTAAATGGAAAAGGAATCACCATTTAAGGAATCATTATTATTAATTTTTTGGATCATTTCTTCATGTAAAAGTTTCTATCCATACGTAACAATAAAGTTAAAATAGAAAATGTAGTGACACCATTCTTACTAATAGATAGTTACTTATTTTTATATTTTTTTTTTGACAATTTTGGTTATATTTTCTTTAAAATAATTATTGCCTCGATTTTTTTTTAAGCTTTATTTTTAATTTTAAAAGATTGGAAATTTTATGTTAAAAATTTTAATAATAGAAAAAATGATTTATTTAACTTTTATCATCATCAATACTACTAATTTTTTGACGTTTTTTCTTAATCTTCATCTTATCATTAATGTTATTTATATAATTTTGTTTAATCACTTATTTTTTCTTTTTTAACTCTTTTATATATATAAAGTTGGATATGTAAATGATGATGTGACATTTCTTAGAAGTTAAGATTACTATTTATCTAATTTTTCCATTTTTTGAGTTCTTTTGTCATACTAAATACAATATGTTTTATTATAATTACATTCAATATAGTAAACAACATGTTCTAGGAATTAAAACAAAATTATCATATCAGAAAAATAAATGTTAAATTATAATTTTATTATGATTAAGGAAAAATAAAGATATTATTTCAATATCCCATAACCACATTCAATACATTAGAAATTAATTGGATATAACTGTAAATGGAAAATGAATCACGATTTAAGGAAAATAAATGTTTGCAATACCATAATAATTAAGGAGAGAGTAAGATATTATTTTAATATCCTAATTCGGAACTTTTAATCTACTACTCAATTAAAAATAGAATGCATTTAATAACATCAAAAAGTTATTAGTTTAATAGTTTTTGTCATTGTACTAATTCAATTCAATGAAACTTAATTTTAAAGATAAAATAACAGCTTCATTTTA